CAAGTTACGTAGAATTCAGGCACATGATATATATGCCTGTCCTCAGAATATCATGGTCGCGAGCACTGCTGGACGCCTTTGGTCTGAATCTTGAGACAGTGGACTTGCTATGATACTTGACCATGGCCAAGGAGAATGACCGACACGAGTCTGATTTTCATACCAGCGAAGCATACTCAATGCTCGAATCAAAATCTTTCAATGTCATCCCGGTGGGTTTTGGCATTCGTGTATATCTTCTACTCTGTCTTCTTCAATGCAACAATCAATGTGCTTATGAGTAACGACTTCTCCCATGTTTCATATCCACTTTTTTGCCCATCGTCTTACCTCTCCCGCCTATTCCCATACATTCACGATACTCTGACGTGGGAGTCCGCTGGGTTGTTCAGCCTTGTGGCGGGACGCTCTCTTGATGAGAGGTCTTCGCAACAGGAAGTCTCTAAGCGTTCATTCGTTAATGTCGTATACCGCAGCACATTCAAGAACTATCAGTTTATGCTTGAGCGGACGGCCGAGGGGCTCCAATCATCTCCCTTCGCATGATATTCGGTGTGTCAATATCTGGCGCCACCCCGCCTCACCTTATCACTACAGAATGAAGCAGCGCCCCGTTATAGTGAGAAAGATGTACGTCCTGAGAAAGATGGTGCATGGCATCCTCATCTCACTCGTTCAATTGCTGAAAATCCTTATCATTCCACAATGCGCGTACAGATTGACACATCATTGCCTTCACACAATCATCCCGCAGCGATGGCCATCGTAGCCTCGTGAAGTCTACAAATAGAGGACGTCGCTCTCTCATACTTCGCAGACCCACTCTCTCCCCACCTTCTACTTTTTCCAGCTCGTTATTTTCTTTTTATACGCGTCTCGTCAAGCAAAATAAGTTTAGGTGTAGGCGCTAGCCTACCAATCCAGCTTACGCACATGGCCAGGTGTGGAATCGGAGTTGTCGCTTGCAGCAGCTGCACCGGCCACGGCCATATCTACAGCAGCAAGGGAGCACAACCAAGCGGCGATCTCAGCGGCACCACCAAAAAAATGACCCAGATATTCGAGTCTCATACATGATGGGAAAGCTCCTGTCGCTGCTATGCCTGAACGGTCCTTGGACAGAGTAAGTCATTTCTCGTTGGCGAGAGTGGCAGTGGGTAAGGCTGAAGAGAACTAGACTCGCAAATAGACAGTAATAAAACGTTTCAGGGGTTGCAGCGATGTCTGCTTACGGGCTTTTTTGGTATGAAGGTTAGGTCAGGATTGATCGAGATTGGGCGAAATGATATTAACGGACCCTCTTTTTGACAGCTATGAATGAATCCTTGGCTGATTTTTCAATTCATTTGATGCATGACATTTTGCTAAATCGATAACAACGTGATTTTGAAGTTGCTGTTGAGCTCAATTAGTATTTGTCCCTTACTACTGGCAAATAATCCCCATGACCATTTCCTTGAATTTATCTATAAGAACTTCACCGCACAACGCAGTCGTTTTCTCTGCGCTCGATATTCAAGAGCTATCATTATCTTAGTCTATCAAGAAGTTCCGCTGCGACTGAGAGGACTGGTGGCGATTGAGCAGGTTGAATGACATTGTGCAATCGACGACCACATTACAAGCACGGAATCAAATTATTGCTGCGAGTAGCTGGGAGGCATTTCATAGATGGTCAACATCCTTTCCATTGATTGTAACATTAATGCTGAGTAATCATTAGAAAATACGCTAGAAACAGATCGTCCGCCGTAATTAGCTTAGTGGTCCCCTTGTCCCTTCAACTTCTACATGCTGAAAATTCTTTCTCGTCTCTGATGTCATCCATGCCATCGTGTCCCAGACGGTCACTACATGGACAGTCCTCATGTCGAAGGCACCATAATAGCAGATACCGCACGACCACGTGTCCGGCTCAGCGATGAAGGATAACAAACCAAACCGCATAGCTCCCAAATAATCAGGCTCCAGCCAGCATCCACTTCTCGATTCCGCCTGACGACCACAAACCTCGTGTACCTGCATCTATCTCCCTGACTCTAATTAACGCCCATGCGCACGCTCTCGCCTACTATTCGTCGACCAACCGTCCGTTTCAGAGACAGCCCTAGATTCGGCGAGTGGCATGATGCTTGCAGGGCCGAGCCACCACGAACCTAACACCATTGCGGCTAGTCGTCCACCCTCTAGCGAGACTATGGTTGGTCTTTTGAGGCCATTGGACGTGACTATGACGATCTAAATAGCTTTTATTCCACAAGGCTACCTTGAGCAGACATGGCAGAAGCTGACTCGCTGCTTGGGGAGCTCAGGTCATGGGATGGGGTGATGGGGTGATGGGGCTGATTGCAACCCATGCCATATCCGACCGCACGCGACGAGGCTGAAGCTGAATGTCCCTCTGCCAGTCCGCCAATTTGGCTGGCGTCTATATAGTAGGTACCCTGACCACCTCCTCTGGACCTTCCCATTTGCATTTTTCCTGCCTGACCTGCGATTTTTGGACTTTTTGACTGCGCTGCTTGCTACACATTCGCTCCAGAAACAAATTACTCTCGCTCGAAAAGTCGTTTGCTTTCGAATCTTCGCTGTTGAAAAAGACTGTCCGAAAAATGAAATTCCTCCTCACCTCCCTCCTCGCCGGCACAGCCATGGCCAAATACAGTCTCCTGCAGGCTCGCCAGGGCGGGGACGCGTTTGTTCCCGGCACGTCCGGCATTGAGTATAATTGCGCCTTTGAGTGCGGGGAGGACTGCGTGCATCCGGAAAACGGGGAGAGCTGCTGTACCGAAAACTGTGCGTACTGCGCTTCAATGGTGGTTGTGAAAGGGGAGGCGCTAATGACGTGGTGTAGATGGCTGCCCATCCGACAGCTTCTGTTTGACGAAAGGGTATTGCTGCCCCACTGTGAGTCTTTCCGCCCCTTCCTATACTTATGCTCCTGAACTTGCTATCCACCCGCCTGAGCCACTCTTCCCACGCTCTTACCTCTCCAAGCCCCTCGTCGATCTCTACTTACGCTTTCATACAGGGCGACGACCCAGCTACCTGCGCCCTCGCCAACGGCGTCACCCTCCCCGCAGGCTTTCAAGCCGGTCAAACTATCGGGCCTGGCCAATCTGCTTCCAGCACCTCTCCGGCTTCCAGCAAGGCCCCCGCCACTTCCTCCGCCAAATCAGGCCCCGTGACACCCGTCGTCAAGCCGTCATATTCCCTGCCTGTTGGAAACGCGAGTATTCCTACCGCTACTACGTTCACTCCAGGAAAGCCGACGACGAGTGCTGCGCCTTTCACTGGTGGCGTGGGCAGGAATGCTGTTGGTGCTGAGGGTGGGTTATTGGCATTCGTCGCCGGATTCGTGGGGCTGTTGCTTTAAGGGAGCAACGCGAGGATCAAATGAGATGGTATCTTTATCCCCGCGCCCGTCGAGAGCGGATGCACGATGTAAAGAGGAAAAGAGAGAGGGAGGACATGTAATAATAACAGCCGGTACCGCGTGCGTAATCAAGGGTCGAATTGAAAGGTAGAGCATGCGGAAATACCTCTGTGCAAGCCCATTGCTGAATTGGACGCCACTCGATGTCACCAGCATCTACCGCGTCCTTCTCCGCATCATACTATATCATGCCGTTGGATAGGCCCTTCCCACCATTCTCCCCCCCTCTCCTTTTCCTCCTCACCACCCTACGCCCTACCTCCCGACATGCGCCTCCACCTCAATCTCAACCGCCATCCCAAACGCCAGACTTTCCACCCCTACACCCGTCAGCAGCGGCGCGTGCCCCCCTTCCCCTCCCCCTCCCCCTCCCCCTTTCCGTCTCCACAATACTCCCTCAATTTCTCAACAAAAACCCCCAGAGTTTCATCGTTCAGCGGTGCAAAGTATAGGCGTGTCTTGTAGACTTGCTCCCATCCCGTGCCCCCCGCGGCTTGGAGGGCTTGCTCGACGTTGATGAAGGCGTTGGTCATTTGTTGGGGTATTGATGAGGGGATGGGAGGGGGGTATGGATAGGGGGAGGGGGAGGAGGGGGTTGAGGAGGGGGAGGGGGAGGGGTCCCAACCGCCTGTGTTGAAAGACAAGAGGGTGAGAAAGTTTTGGAAGGCAGGGGGGTGGGGAGGGGGAGTGGAAAGGGAAGAGAGCGGTCGGGGAAATGAAGGGGCAGGGGAGGGAGGGGGAGAGGCTACCTTGGCCAGAGCACGAGATTACGTCGCCGACACGTACGGCCTGGCTGTAGTGCGTGTTCTTGAGAGCTTGCTCGCCGAAGCCGGGGTAGGAGGTGTAGGTGAGGTGTGACATTATTCTTACAAGAATTGAGAATGATCTAGTGCCTGTTTCACTGCGGTGTTTAGGCGTTGACGATATTGTATTTCGAAAAGATGAGATGATAGAGAATACAATGCAGTACGTGGTGAGCTCTTGTTATATACGTGAGCCTCGGAGACATATAGTGTTTATCGTGCATGGTCTTGGGTGAGGAGTGCCAAGGTGTGATTGGTAATGCATGGCCTCTTTTGAGGGGTGGTGGGAGTCAGCGTCGACTTAGCTGAATTCAATGTAATGACAATAGCAGTATACTTCGTAGACTTTGTCGACCTTTGCATAAAGCGTATGTTGGTAAATGAGGTCTGCGGGCATTGAAGGTCCAGTTTTTTCAGCGCGGAGTTCCGGTGCATCCGGGGGTTTTTTGCCAATTGAACCCGTAATGCAGACATCTAAAGGCTGATCTTGACAGTACTCGAGGTTCCGAAGTCCGCAGTGTTATCTTTTCGCCCTTCATCTTCAACTATATGTTCAGCATATGTGATGTGTGATGCTTCGCTCCTGACGCAACCAAATCCGTTCTCTGGCATGATGACGTCATCGCTTTGCCCGATAACATTTCGACACAATTGCCATTGCTCTACACGCCTACTGATGTCATGGCTTCTTCGCAAGATAGCCCCAATAATGGAAAACTCTTATTGACTAGACATAGCCTGATGCCATTGTATGCGCGCTCATGGCTATCCTACAGAAAACCCTCTCCTATGCCAGACAGAAACAGCTTTTCCACCCAAACTTCTATCGAGTCCATCTCTCCTATTTCATCCTTGTCATCTTACTTTCTTCCGTTATTGTCTATGGTAGCGGCGTGGATGGCAACAGTCACGATGAGGAAGCACGCTTCCGCCTGCGATACATTGACGCTCTTTTCCTCTGCACGAGCGCCATGACCAATACAGGTTTGAATACAGTGAATCTGAGCTCGCTCACTGCCTTCCAACAATCGGTACTCTTCATACTCATGCTCATGGGGAATATGATCGTGGTTTCCGTCGCGACTGTCCCGATAAGACGGTATTTCATGCAAAAGCATATGCAGCAATTCGTTGAGCAATCCGAGACTGGAAGGAAGATAGTCGATGACATTAATCAGGATGAGTACAACGGGGAAAGCCGATACACAGGTAAGAACAAAGGGTATCAGCCAATGAGCCGCGGAAAGGCGTCTGCGCAGCAATCGTCGTCATCAGGTCCCCGGAGGAGACCGAATGCCAAATCCAGCAAGCCAGACACTCAATATCCGGCCGCAGATTTCTATCACCATCACTACGGCCAAGGTGGCTTTCCGTCTCCTTGGAATTGGAGAGTAACACAAAGTCTCAAATCAAAGCTTAGTGGATTATCGCATCCGGGCAAGCATTCACACCATTACCTATCCTTCCAGCCATCTCTGGACCACAAGGTAAGGACGGACATCCACTTTCGTAGAGCGGCACTAGGCGGGAACCTGATCTTTTGTTTTAGGGCAGGTTCCACTCACTTGACGAACATGAACGTCAAGAACTTGGGGGCGTGGAATATCGAGCGTTAGGAGTATTACTCTGGCTTCTACCATTGTATATCTGCTTTTGGCTGCTCATCTCGATGATCATCCTTATTCCGTGGAGCTACAAGCGAGATGTTGTCACAATACTGCAGGGACCACAACCTGGCAGACTCAAGCCCGGGTGGTAAGTAAAAGAATTGCCCTTCAAGCTTTACTTAGTGTACTTAACATAACCTCTGACAGGTGGGCTTCCTTCCTGGTCGTGTCAGGTTTCTGTAACGTCGGCCTCGACTTGCTCGACGAGAACATGATCCGTAGGCTTGCATACCTGTGAATTACGGCACTCAGGAGCTAATCCAACCACAGCTTTTCAGCCATTCTACTTGGTCTTGATTATTCTCATCATCGCAAAACTCGCTGGCAACACTTTCTTCCCTGTTTTCCTTCGCTTCATCATCTGGATTATGGCAAAGATGCTTCCTCGAGCGTCGAGATTACATCACAGCCTTGCATTCCTACTCCATCACCCGCGACGGTGTTTCATACTTCTGTTCCCTTCCATCAACACGTGGTACCTGGCTGGAGTTCAGGCAGGGCTCCATATTAGTCTTTGGATATTCTGGTTCTTACTTCAAATTGATTACCCAACCATTTGGTCAATCCCTCCTGGTCAACGGACCATCGCTGGCTTGTTTCAAGCTTTGGGGGTCCGCACTGCTGGAATGTATATCATTTCTATGAGCCAGGTAGCGCCAGCATTGCTGGTACTATATACTGGAGCAATGTACATCTCGGCCCTCCCAATTCTGATTTCGATAAGATCGACCAATGTATACGAAGAGCGCTCTATCGGTGTCGAAGCCCCAAAGTCTGAAAATCAGGGCCAAAGGAACGAGAAGTCTTTTATTGGAGTCAATTATTACCCCTCCTAGATTCTTATCGTTGTTTTCCTGACTCAGCTAGACACATCTCCAAAAGCAACTCTCCTCAGACGCCTGGTGGCTCTTCACAGCCTTCTTTCTCATCTGCATCGTCGAGCGCACAGCCTTAGCCATCCCCTCTCCGGGCTTCGACATCTACGCCATCCTCTTCGACACCGTCTCCGCTTTCGGCACTGTCGGTCTAAGTACTGGCGTCCCATACAATACCTACTCCTTCTGCGGGGCGTGGCATACCTTCAGTAAGCTAATCCTCATTCTTCTAATGATTCGTGGTCGGCATCGAGGGCTGCCTTACGCGATCGACCGCGCCGTGCTCCTACCTGGAGAGGAATTGATGGAGAAGATGGATCATGAGTATAATGGCTCGAAGAGAGAAGAGCATGAGGAGGAAGTTGTGAGGGAGGAGGAGAGGGGTAGTCAGGCTGAGCAGGGAGGGAAGGGTCAGGATCCTGAGCAGGCAAGTTGATCGTGGCAGAATGTGATGGAGTAGCCAGCTTTCAAACCTCCCGTGTGTCGTGCAAGGAGACTGATAACCTTCAACGCGCCATGGTATGAGCTCAACAAGCCACTTTCGCTTTTCCTACCTCCAAGGGAAGGTACGACTACTCCGCTATCTTTGGGACCTCCCTCGAAATTCCGATTTAAGCCTGGGTTTCCCGCCCAACACGCGGTACAATTGAGCAGGCGTATCTAACCGCGCATAAGCCTACTTTACGGACCTGCTGACTCATGTCTACAACTCAAAACTTCACGTACGCCAATTAGTTGAAATGTATTTCTTGATAACACAAATACGTCTGCTGCATCAATCATAAGCATGGGTTGAGGCCTACCGTTGCCATCCATGCCTCAAAACGAAGGTATTTTCAAATATGCAAGCTTCGATCTAATCGCGCTCTGCGCTCTGGCGAGCAGTCTACGTCAAAGAGGGCGATGTACTTGTGACGCTTCACAGACTCCTGCATCTGGTAGCTTCAATTGGACGGTCTTAATCACATTTGATGACGGCGTGCAATGGGTTTTCCGTTCTCCTTTCATGGGATTTGCGTTTATGCCAGTGAAAACGATCTCTTTGCTATTGGCTAGTGAGGCTGCTACTCTCAAATACATCAGACTTCACAGCAATATACCCGTTCCGGAAGTCTTCGCCTATAGGGACATTGACTCAAAACCTACAAGACTTTACTTTCGCTAATGGCTACATAGTATCTCGGAGGACAATGACGTCGGCGTTCCCTACATTTTGATGAGCAAGGCCGATGGCATCCCGTTGGCAGATAAATGGAAGCCCAATACATCAACACGCGACAATAGACTAACCCAAAGTCAGATGGAAGGAGTTGTCTGTCAGCTCGGGGTCATTACTGAGGCCCTCTCACGTCTGACTTTCGATCAAGCCGGCTCAATTATTGAGGAAGGCGGAGAGTTCCTCACCACGACTTGTTTGACCCGTGGGTTACTTCTCGATCAAAGATATGCCATGGGAGATATACCTCGCGGACCTTTCAAGTCAGAGACTGATTACTACATAGCCCATCAATCGGCATACTTTGAACATGTGCAATGCTATCCTTTACGTTCCCACTGTTTTCTTGCGCCTAACCCTACTCAAGAGGACTACTACTGCACCCATACCGGTTTCTTGAAAGCGTTGATTTGGTGGAGCGACTTTGTGACCGTGGGAATGAAGATCAATGGCTCGGAAAATCGGGTCGACTACGTTATTGCTGGAGAAGTCGTTCTTGATCGGCTCAGAGACCAGACCCGTAGTTTCTCTAATAGTCTTTCGAATGGCTGCCAACGGTCCTTTGCACTTCACCATCCGGATTTAAATGTCGACAATATCTTTGTCGACAAAGACTTCAAAATCACCTGCTTAATCAACTGGCAGTTCTGCTCTACTGTCCCCTTTACTACGCTGTTAATACCACCTGGTCTACCACAGTCATGGGATGAGCTTGATGACTCCTTCTCATCCATGTTCAAGCGTGGTTTTGAGCACGCGTTACAAGTCAACACAGCAGCCCGTGATGTCGGTACCAAGTCAGCTCTTTGCGAGATTCTAAACAAGAGCCGTCCCATGTGGCTCTTCGATCGTCTACTAAACCTCAACTCCCTGGCAGACCTCCATCTATTTCAGACCGCTTGGGACTTGATCGACGACTCAACCCAGAGTGTCGAGGAGCTACTTCACTCGCAGCAGGCGCTGCAGAAGTACAAAAAACTGCACAGCGAACTGAGAAAGTATGACAAGACGGAATCAAAAATTGCACTTAAGGAATCGAGACATTTTCGCAATGATACTGAACGGCTGGCGATTGCTAGGAAATTGACTTTGGTTTCTGAGTGGTCCTCGCGCTTTCATGAGCCGGTACTCAGGAAGAACGGCGGCGCTTTTGTTGCGGACAAGCGGCTGTGGAAATGGATGCTAGAGGCACTTAAGAATTGACATGGAGCAGTACCCTTGATGCATACTTATCTAGCTATAGAGCAAATGGAATGAGAACCACGGGTACAGAAATACATGCTTTGCCTGTTGATCTCACACGGTTGATAGCTGCTAATGATTCGTCCACTTTTTCTTCGCGAACCAATCTGTGCACACTTCATTCCGTCTCCCTTAAGCTATCTCATTTAAGTCGGCGATAATCCACCACTTGACATGCTTCTTCCGCACCGGTCTTTACCACGCGAAGACACTCCCTTTCTCCGGCGCGAAACCAGTCAAATTGGATGTAGGAGTTAAGAAGGCGGTGAAAGAAGATTTGGTCAGCGATCTCTGCCTAGTCCAAAGCGAAGTTGCTAATTCTGCGTGCAAGCTTCCATTCATTGGCGGGCCAAGTCCCCTAAACCATCGACGGTAGAACTTCGGCTCATATGCACCAGCATGCGGCTGTGACTCACTTGCTGTGAAAGGACAACAAAGCAATGGAGTATGGGACAATGCTTTGAAATCTAACATGAGAATCAGAGCTCTCGAGGAAGAAATGAAGGTGAGGATGGGTTATAAGAAGGGCTGTGGGATCACGTATGTAGAGCAAGAATCCAGAAGCAGGGCCGTAAATTGATTGAAAACCATTCCCACGATCAATTGAGTCCCATCGTCTTCTGATCAGAAGGACACCCCATCAGGTCAATCTGCCCAAGCCAGATTAGTCCCACAATTGCACACCTCAAACGGCCTTCTTCTATATCATAACCACGACGATGACCTCACATATCGACCCTTTCGCCGCCACTTACATTCCACACAAATCCTCGGACTCATCCAAAGCTACCTCATCCCAAGCCACACCAAAAAAGCACCGCATCGACCTCGTTATTCTCAGCCCGAGCTCCTCCAAGTTGAACATTAGGCGCTCGTCGGAATCAACAGAGTCAAAGAGTAAAGACAGCAGGGAGAGTGAGAAGTCATGGAGTTATACCAACTATGCGAGTCCTTTTGGCGGTGCGTATTGAGCAGCAAAGAGACGTGGAGTGCAGAATAACATGTTCAAGTACAAGAATGGGAGCGAGATTCTTTAATTACTTTGGGGTAGAGGCTTGAAAGATGTTCTAGTTCACTCTTGTTTTCAAACTATCGCTTTTGACTCGTTATACAAGGGTACTGTTGAAGAGAATGAGGGAAGGAAGAGTAGTTTAATCGCAAGAAAGGGGCTACGGAGAAACACTCGACTCGCTTAGCAAAAACTTTTAGTCCTCGAATTACGCAAACGTGATGTGAACTTCTCGTTCTTTCATTTCGACCTCGATTGTATGGACACATGCCTCAACAACCTGCAAAATAATGAAGAGACATTGCTTTCCGAAATGAGGTGACAGTACATACAAGCTATCACACAAAGTGAAATTACCTCAGCTCAGGATCAACATCATGGAACCTTGCCCCGGCCTTCTTGCCGCCCCCTACCAACATCTCCCTCATTCTCTCCATCCATCGTCCTTCTCCACGAATTCACTCTCCAGCCTCTCTGTCTCTCGTCCTCAATCCTCCTCCTGAGCCATCAACATGCCCCCTCCCACCCCTCGTGCTCCAACTCACCTCCCAAAGCACCTAATAGGCTTCTCAACAAAAACCTACTTCGACCTTCCCCAAACAACGACCTACATCCAAAGCCTCCTCTCCTCCCTCTCTGCTTCCTCCACTATAATCTCCTCCCTCTCCTCCTCCTCGCCCCAATCGTCCCACACTAACCCAACAACCGATATAGCTCTCTTCATCCTCCCCTCCTTCCCAGCCCTCTACCCCGCAAACCAGCTCCTCACCCACCACCGCGACCTTCTCCCCCAGCAAGCAAGCCCCAGCAACGAACCAACACCAGAAATATGGCTCGGCGCCCAAAACACTCATACGCACCACGGCTCTCCGCCCCTCACGGGCGAAGTCTCCCCGCTCCTCCTCGCCCAAGTCGGCTGCCAGATCGTCTGCGTGGGGCACGCTGAGCGGCGCGCTCCTCCCCAACCAATCCCTTCCCAACCTGTCCCCTCCCCTTCCCTCTCCAACCCACCACAAGCCCACGACCAGCTCAAGAGCATCTACGAGACCAACACCCTAGTGGCAAAGAAGGCGCGCGCGGTGGTAGAAGCGGGCATGACGCCCCTGATCTGTATAGGCGAGACATGCCCTCCCCCACCAACGTCTCCATCCGCTGACGCCAGCGCACGTGAATTTGCGCGCGCGGAGGCCGTGAGGAGGGCGCTGGTGGAATGTGTGGAACAGGTACGGGTGGTGTTGGATGTGGTTTGGGGGGCGCCTGACCCTGTCCTTGTCCCCGCCCCCGCCCTTACTGCAGACAAGGCCGCAGCTGTAGGTACGGACACGGAAGCAGGGGCAGGGCTGGGGGTAGGGGTAGAGGAGGCCGGAGAGGTAGGCGAAGATGAACCAGCCCTCATATTCGCCTACGAGCCCGTCTGGGCCATCGGCGCGTCGCAGCCTGCGAGTGCAGACCAAATTCGCGATGTCATAAGGGCTTTGAAAACTTGGGTCAGGGAGCGATACGCGGGAGGGGGCGGGGGAGATACAAGGTGGTTGTACGGCGGGAGTGCCGGGCCGGGTGTTTGGGGGAAGCTGAGGCAAGGGCAAGGGGGGAGGGCGTGGTGGATGGGTTGTTTCTTGGGCGGTTTGCGCATCAGGTTGACGGGTTCGTGGGCGTTGTTGAGGATGTGGTTGGGACGTTAGGAGGAAGTCGGGAGGAGGGTTGAGGAGGAAAATGGTATAAAAAGGAGGGAGAAGAGAGGGTAGGGTGGAAGTATGCGTTTGTGAAGAGGATATCGGGAGTGAAAGCGGGAGGAAGCTGTATGGCGCGGACATGAATTGCGTCGAATAATTGCCCGGGGCTTGATGAGTAGCATAGCGGCATAAACATTGAGAGGAAGTGCCAGACAAAGCGTCACACAGGGCTATACTCTCTGCTGTCCGACGCTGGATCTTGAAGCGTTGTATTCAGACTTGATAATGGCTTTCGAAATGGGTGTGTCGGACACATCATCGACGCTTGATGCCAAAGCTCGCAATATTACCCCCTTTTCATCCTCACAGGCATGCCTTCAGCAGGCTTGGCCGTAGCGATCAGAATCTGATACGCTCGCTCTCCCTCCGGCGTCGTCCTGGGCAGCCCGCCAGACTTCTTCACGTCCTTGCCCTCGTCATAAGCTACCTCGATCGTGAGATCACGGAGCATGAGCACTAAAGCGACTCGGGATTCTATCATTGCTAGCTCTTGACCAATACAATTGCGCGGGCCCCATTCGAATGGTCTGTATGCTCCCTTGATGGGAAAGAGCGGGTCACCTTCTTTCACCAGCCATCGCTCGGGAATGAAGGACTCTGCTTCAGGCCAGAACTTGGGGGAATGGTGTAGGGCGTGGGCAACGGGCCATGTCATGAATGTGTCTGTGGGGTATTGACGACCTTCGTGTTGCAGCATGTAGCCTGGTTGGCCCAGGCGGACACTGCTAGCTGCTGGGAAGAGGCGGAGGGTCTCTTTGATTACAGCAACGGTGTACGTGAGGCGGTTGATGATACGTGGGTCATCCTTGATCTTCTGCGCTGTCTGTTCGATATTGGGACCGAACACTTCGTCACACTCGGCGCGAAATTTCTGGAGAACTTCTGGGTTTTCTGAAATGGCCTTTGCGGCATAGCATATTGTTGAGCTTGTTGTGTCGTGGCCAGCAAACATGAAGACTTTGATGTGGGGCATGACCCCCTTCAAGAAGCCCGCGTCGAGGTTTTTAGTCGAGCCCTTCCCTTCCTCTGCCCGGTACTCGTCGAGAGCAAGGTCTAGGATTGGCTTTCCACGCTTCTTCTTCTCTTCGTTCCCATTCTCGAGGTCATGGCGGGTTTGCAGCCGATTTGAAACGACCTTGGTCAGATAGCGATTCATTCTGTACTCATTGTACAGGAAAATGAACGGCCGTACAGGGTTGAAGATTCTGAATGGATTCATGTCACCCGATTTGGGGAGCCAGGTGAGTTGACTGCGGAACGCTTCGACGAACTCGTTTTCTGAAGTTTGTGCATTCATAGATGCATCGCTACGCCTTGTCAGTCATTTCTGGGATGGTCAAGCTGCCTTCGACGTACAGCACAGCTCTCCCAATCACATCGATTGTGACTCCCGTTGCCGCTTCCTCTAGTAGAAATCTGTCCCCTTTTTCGGCATGTTTGACAAGAATATCACGGAAAACCGTACAGTCATCGACAATGCCACTTACGAGCGTCATCAAATGCGCTGTGGAAAAGCCGGGGTTGAAGACGGCTCTCCACCTCTTATGCTCCTGCCCTTCCAGGCCGACTAGAGATTTGAAACCAGTGATATGATTCAATGTTCTTTCTAGGGCCGGATGCTTTGGTAGGGAGTGCTGAACCGTGACATATTGCGCCAGCTCTGGGTTGACAACGGCACAGATTTGATCACCCACTGGCCATGTGTCGACGTAGAAGACGTCTGGAAGGTCGTACGTTTGCTTCAGGTAGTGGATGAAGGTGTGAGGGTGAATGTTCTCAGGGAGAGACATGACAAGCTTTGCCATTGTAGGTATGTGACCCAGGAGGAAGTTATGAGGTGGTTTTGGCTACCACCATGTAAATACAATGAATTCAACGTTCATGAGCGCACGTACCAAGCCATTGAGTCTTGTACGATGCTGGTACAGCTTGATGCCGAATTGCACAAGGAGCCCTGCAAGCAAAAGGCTTAAGGCTTGGAATAACATTTGTAGATAGGTCATAATGGCTGAGTGTCAAGGGGGAAGGAAGGAGGAGCTCGTCGAAACCTGGCGAGGAAGACAACGGGTGGTAGAATGGTATTCGACCGCGCATAGCGACAGAGGCTCTGAAGGCGTCCATCATAACTAACAGCGTCAGCGTTCTCTAGTGCCAACGGCTTGACGGCTGGTGACGGGGAGGGGGATCAGGGCCTGAGTGGTTATGTTTATGTTGCGAAGCACTAGCGAAATATACACAGACCTTGGCGTAATATATTTCACTGCCATCTGCTGAATCATGCCATTTCCGTCATGTGCCAGTGACCCTCTAACTCCATGATCGAAGGCCTCTGAGCTGTGATGGCCGGAATCCGTCTCAAACCATCTGACTCTATCGATCTACTTGTGGTGTTGCTCAATTCGAAAGCCTCCAACTCTGCCCCGGCTGTCTCACTGACTTGCACCTCGTGCAGTTCCCCGTCCGATATTTCCGGCGTGGGACGCTCGCTTGCTTCGATCTCTACCATTGAGTTCTCAAGGTCAATGGTCTCAGGTAACGAATTCATACTTCTTTGGTGAGACATAGATGTGAGGCTGTTTTCTATTTCCATACTTAGAGGCAGAAGCGTTTTCAAAAGTTCAGAGCCTCGTTGCTCTGGCCTGATGTAGCTTCGCAAGACCTGAATCTTGTTGATCACGAAGACGTATATTGGCTGCAGTGAGGATAGTGACCCTAAAGTGGGTCAAAGATCTTTCAACCAGGAAATATTGATCCTGACCAACCATAAAAAATTGATAGGTTAATTTGGACTGAAGTCCACATCTGTGTGCTGGCGAAAGCCTTGTACAACTCAGCGTCGTACACGTGCTTGGGGGCAGGTGATCTCTTAAGCTGCCTCTCGAGATCCATTAAATACTTCAGGCGTATCGCTGATGCTAGAGTAGTCGTAATTATGGGAGAAGAGGATCTACCTTCAGTACATCTGCAACGAATACTGGGTAGGAACATACACTGACGCATATACAAGACATGCAAGGAGAGAAAGTCGCCGCAAAGGACCTATGCTCAATTCCCAAAATCTTGCGAACATTAATGTCCCGTGCACCACATGCAGACCAATGTATGGCAAGATGATGACTTTGTACATTAGCCCGCGGCTCAGGCAGGTTGCACTCCCTGCTGGCACTTCCCAGGCCAACCTGATTGGACGACATTGAAAGACAGTCAAGGAGAGCTGCTCAATTTAGTTCCCCTATTCTCTCGTATCGCTCATTAGAACGGGAAACCCACCGCCATCAAAGCCCATAGCGTCTTTGCTGCCTGCATCAAGCCTAGTACCCCGCGAAAACGTCTGACGTGGGAAAGAAGACGCCAGTAGAATAGGAACACCCAAGAGTTCAGAGTCAATAAGCATAAGATCCAGCAAATATCAGAGACGAAAGCGTAAAGAGCAAAAGTATTGCTTCGCGTGCCGTCCTGACTGCAGCTCAAAAAGGAGTTGGTTTCTCGTATCACTGAATGAGTCAGCCTGACTTCTGTGCGAATTGTTGACTTTGCTAGATTCATTACGCGCGACTGCCGTCATATAAGCTAAGACAGATGCTAAGGACTAGATATCGATGAGTTTTTCTTCCGATACTAGCATCAACATGTCTTTACCAATGCCGGAAGTATCAATAGATCATCATACCACAGGCCAGCATTTGAGAGCACTCGGCGAGCGACAACTTGAAGGATACAAGAGACGACGGCGAGAAGCCATGTGCACGTTATAGGGGCTTGAATACGAAGTTGCTGGCGAGCTAGGAAGTCTTTGACCTCCTTACTATTTTTATTCAAACAAGAATTCATGTTTGCAGACGATATTCAGGAGAAGGGAAATAGGTGCGTGTTTTTCAAGGTACTCTTGTAAGCATCAAGAAAGCGGGTAATATCTCCTCGCTGCATACGCCGCATGCTGAGCCTTCTTCAGCCTCATAGCGTGCATGCATGGAGACAAGGAGAAGGAAAAAGCTCCGATGTTCACTGTTTATGTCCCGTCTCATCTGACATTGTCAATTCTTATGACCTTTATCTCAGCACTACCAGGTCTGCGGAATATAAGCTCTGATTGACAAACATCCTAGTGAATACGATGGCAATACATCATCCACAGCGCCGGACCATCGACTTCAGAGACACTTGTCTTTCAAGGATCGCAAATGTCTACCGACCGCTTTGAAGCTGATTGGGCTGTACGGACAATGATGATCTCACTCACTGAGGAGATCTCATGCATGTACGAGGAGAACAGCCCTCTGGCTGCAGGGATCACAAGGCTGAGCATCCTCCACCACCCAAGGCAAAACAATCTACAAGCGGTCTGGGAAACAATGGGAGAGTCGGTGAATATGCAAATTGGGCAACCTTGCATAACGCCTGAGCTTCAATCCGTCGGGACCACTATTTGCCCATTAGCACAACGAAGTCTAGACAAGGCTCCTCACTAAAGCTGTGCATTGGCCCGGGCGTCTTGCCAAAGTCGTCTCCTTGGATATTTAACCAATCTATCCAAAGTAGTTCTTTGCGCGCGTCAGGCACCCTAGTCAAGCTGGACTACCTGGCCAAAACAAAGCCTTTCACCAATGTCAGCACGCCTAAATTCGATTTGCGGCATGACAAACAACCAGCAACGAAAATATCGTGCTCCCTTTTGCTTCGAATGCAGAATCAGAGACCCGAAATATGTCTGGGGTGTGATCGCTCACACAAAATACCATTTCTAAAATCTATGATCTCAGATCAAGGCTCTATCTCTATGCCTCTTAATTACAAACATTCCCCTCATACTCGCCCGACGTCAGCCAGCTCCCCAGATACCCATACGGCATCCTCGCCTGCGGCAGATCCTCACCATCTCCGCACTCCTCAAGCGCAAAATCCCACTCGTGGTCACAATCCGTGTACTCCATCTGCTGCGAAAACGCCACCGTCTCCCACGTACAGATCTTCATATTACTCACACACTCCGCGTTCCAGACGCCGACATCCGTACTCAGCCCTGTCCCGGGCGCGTTTCCCTGCGTCCCCCCCGCCGCGTCCGCGCACACCTGGCTCCCCTGGAACAACATCTGCGGCGTGGTGATCCCCTGCGCGAACACCTTCTCCAGCGCCTCTGTATAATTGACCCCCGTGCTCTTCGTGTTTTCCAGGTTGTACGAGATGTTGGCGTCGCTGTCATACCACCAATTATCGCAGATTCCCCACGAATCGTAGCCCTGCGTGCACCCAATATCGTACGTCAACTCCGACCCGTTGGTCGCCAGAGCGTGCACGTCCGTGTCGACCGCGCGTGTGATAATCACGCTATCATCCTGCAGCGCCTGGCTGACCACATACGTCTGCAGCGCCATCGTCACATTCTGCGTGATCGTGTTCAGATTCTGGATCTGAGTGGAGAAAAACCCGTCGCTTGCAAAGGCCATGAAGAGCGTGAAATTACCCATCACCCCGATTATCGCGTTCTGCACGTTCGTCTGCAGCTGCGATACGATCTGTGCTAATCCCGCGCCGATGTTGCTGATCTGCACTTGCGTCTCGCTCGTGTCGCCGGTTGCTAGTAGGTTGCGTGCCAGCGTCGGCGCTTGCTGTACCCCGCGCAGGAGGTATTCGCCCGGCACCTCGATCTGAGTGAAGAGGTTGCGGCGCGCCGCCTCGCCGAGGGCGGGGATGAGCGCGCCGTAGCCGCTCGGGGAGATCAGGCCCAGAGCGAACGCCATGACCGAGAGGATTTCGAGCAGCGGGAACGGTTTCGGGAGGGGCAGGTTGAGCAGCTTGCAGATCGCGGCGATGTTGTCGGATGTGAGTCCGTTGGCGGCCGTGATCGCGAGGTAGTAGGTGAAGAACCAGTTCTGCAGGTTCCAGATGTTGAAGGCGACGTAGAAGGCTTGGGGGCCGTGCTTTTTGCCCGCGTAGGCGTGGATGTCGGGGGCTGGGCATTGGGAGCGGCCGGTGAAGGAGCTGCAGTTTGCGCCGCCGCCGAGCTCGATGTAGAGGAAGCAGTCGGCGAAACCCATGGTTTCGTCATCGCATTGCTTTTGGTTGAAGGCTACCCAGTCCGTTATGTAGCCGGTTACGTTGAGAACTTCCCAGCACATGTTGAGTTGGTGGGCGGCCGGGTTCATGCATTTTGCCTTGTCATCATCGCTTGCGGTGCTGTTCATGTAATCGCCATACAGGTCTGGGTCTATATCTGCCGGGGCAATCGTTTTGTTATCTGGAGTTACTGCGGTCCCTGACAAGTTGGATATAGTGTTGCCTGTCTGCCAATTGCAAGCTGATCCACCGCTTTCCTGCGGCCCCTCCGGTGCAGTTTGGGAGGGACATCCTATGAACGGCATCATCGAGGGTTCAGATGCGCTCGATGAAGATGGTATTGCAGCAGCAGCAGATCCGGAGTCTGATAGCACCGAGGAAGAAAAGCTCCGAGTGCTTGAAAGTGGTGTCCCTGAAGCAGTAGATACTAGAGCCTGAGCATTCGCAATGACAATAAAGCGGGAGGATGATGAAGCCGTGGACAATATTGAGGACACTGACGATGATGATATCGAGAGAGACAGAATAGGAGGCGATACGGTAGTTTGTGACGCCAAACTTGACACCGTGAACGAGGCGTTGAGCAGCGGCTCAGAAGACGATGACGATAATGATGATGATATGAGACCTGTTTGTGTAGATAAGTCGCGAATCGAGCTTGATGGCTGTGGTATTGACATATTGAAAAGACTCCCCGTGAGAGATGGATCTGGTGCTGGGGTAACGGCCGCTAGTAACAAGGCCACATCGGAGGATGCAGGCATGTCTGATGATGAAGGCGATGACAAAGTAAGATTGAGATCGATACGAGCATTTGAAGGGCTAGCGGTAGCTGTGTAAATAACGGGAGAGAACCTTGTTGGATTTGAAACGTTTTTACTTGGTTCAATTGAGCTCGCGGGATCAGGAACGGCTGCACTTGAGACCGAGGAAGAAAATGGTGTGGAGGAAGGTCCGATGCTCAAGCTTTGAGAGTCCGCTGAGGAGCTTGACTCACGAGTATTGGACGTGGAGCGGGTAGGAGATACCGTCGAGCTTTGTGTGGCTGAAGACATGCTTGTAGAAGCAGAATCGCTGATTTGCGGACAGTCACCCCAAGTCTCGCCTTGTGGAGTCCAAAGACCATTGATTGGAATCCGACATTGAGAATACCATTTGCTCTGGCACATGCATCGGGCTGGTTGTACACAAGTTCCGGGGCTGCCAGGCGTACAATCGCCCCACAAAGGTATGCTACCGACGTCTGAAGGGGCTACTGATAGTCCAGAAGATGACGTAGAGCTTTGCAAAGCTTCTTGCGGGTTAAGTTGTAGAATACTCCTGATAGGCAGCAAGGTGCTACTTGAAATAGATGAGTCGCTTATCGTAGATGAGGCCGGGGTTATCGAGGCGCTGCTGTCCGATGATACGGTATTTGAGGTCGATGTTCGGCTCGGCATTGGAATATCCTCCCTACTAGATGGGGGAGTGCTAGTAGTTGGAGTAGGGTTCCCAGATTGCGTTGGTGTGCTATAGTCGCACGGGGCAAACGCGACCCCAGGCGTTGGCGCTTGTGTGATGAGGGGACGGACTCTATAGTCGGAGCATTGACAGAACATTTGGCCTGGGTTGGTAGGATCCATACTTTTCTATTTGTTAGCCAAAGCCTTCCCTCAATGGCGTGTGCAGGAGGCTTACAGCGTCCAACAGAATCCAGTATCTCTTCGTTCGAGGATCGCAGTGCCCGTTGGGGGTACATCTTGTAAATTGAGATCGAATCTATCATGATGTATATCATTCGAAGGACGCGACGTTTGTCTATTACGTGGGGCTGCGATGATTTGGAGTGGAGTCAGGAGACAGTATAGAAACAGGCAATTCCTGATAATGCCAAGAGTTGGCATTGGAAATTGCCTGTTTGGGAGATGGTAAAAACAATATCCGAATGTAGCCTGGACTTGTGCTGGGTATGCGTGGGGGGTGGTTGGCCATATATGCAGGAGCGAGGGTAAGTCTCTGCGGGTCTCTAGAGACGAAGGTGGTGTGCCTGTAATTAAAAATGAGGGCGAAGCTGATGAGCGGGATCAAGTCAGAATGTTAAAGAGAGAATCATTCATGCCGAGAACTCGCAATCCCATAGGATTGAGGCCCTCGAAATCGGATGATGTGCAGTTGAGGATATGATTGGCTAACAGCCCTCATGAGAGAATACAAATCTATAATTCAAGAGTGGGTGGAGTCACACCAGGAACTCTGGAAGGTTGGGACGAGCGAGGAGTCCCACAGAGCGGGCGAGTTGTGTGCCACATGGATGCAATGGTGGATGGTTATTCGTGTCAAGGGCTTGTCCCTGACATGGGAACAGCTATATTCCATACAGCAAGGGCAAGCTTGAAGAAAAAGGCTCCTGCGGAGACGTCCGGATGATCACCGATGCCGCACACCATCGTGCCGGAGAGGACTAGGAAAATATCGACTTTGGCGATCCAAAGCAACAAGGCCGTGATTCACAGGGGTAAGAGTCAGCTCGCAACCGGATGGCAATTGACACTGCCACAGGCAAGAACGTTGGCGGAATGTTGAATGGCAGAGATGTAACAGTACGGCCCACGTGGTCTGTGTTATGGCTCGAGTTCGTCAGAAGTGACCCGGTTGCTCGTTGAATATACCATTCTAGCGTAGCCGCATCGTCGGATGTTCTGTTGGTCATCTGAATCCATTCGTTGGCTACGTAGGTGAGTGCGTCCCTGAATCACTCCACCCCCACGGCGCATGTGATATTTTAATAGCCCAAGCCTTCCACGTAATCCCACGAATATCTTCCGAGCCCGAAGGCCACAAACATTACTAAGATGGTGCGCCTCGTGTCGTAGAGTGAAACAATGTAAGCCAGCAAAGCTCCCGTTGTCTTAGGATTGCGCGCGGAAGAAGCGCTTGTAAGAGTCTCAGATGTACTCACGACGCTCATATATATGTCGCTCCTCGTGCTCTTGTTACTCGATTCTATTGGCCATTTCCAAGCTGCTCGTTGACATGCTGGAAATGCAGAGGCAATGGTCTTTCACAAAGCCACGATCTGGTCTTGTGCGAAGGAGCTCATCTTTTGACGTCTGCTGAACATAGAAGCCTGGCTCGTTCGAAGTTTGATGACTTAAATGTACCGATGAGGGTTGGATCGTCATGACCTTGCTGCTCTTGAAAGATGCAAAGGCGGTCTCTGTTGGACACGGGTTGGATGTCGAGGATTCTCAAGTCTCACTTCCAGCGACATCGCGAGCTTTCCTGACTCTAGCGACTTGCGATCGCGCAATGAAGCGAGGATGTTTATTTGGTGGACATGCAAAGGCCAAGTTGTCGCTTTCTTTCTTACTCACGCCTCTTCACACCTTGAGAACATTCCGTCATCCTAGTCTGCTTACTTTGGAACACGAGAACACGAACCAGTATGCTGCACGTGTCTATTTTGTCTGGACTTCTGCTCTTCTCCTCTCTCGCGCTATCGCAAACATACTCCACCTCAAATTCATCAGGTGCCGCTGTAGAGGATCCCAATTATGTCTATTGGAAATGTTTCACCAGTTCTTCAGATTCGAGGTTTCTGGCGAACCTGAATCAGTGTCAGAAACTTCTTTTGTTACCAGAGCTGCCCAAGAGATCAATCATATGTATGTTGAGGCAACAGAGCTATATCGCGCAAGCATTCAAATCAATGTGGCTGACAGAGGTTCTTACGAACTTAGCAACCTTTAGACACAAGCCTGCCGGTGGTAGTCCTCGTCCATCGCTGTATGAGTTGCCACTCGATTTGCACTATCAACAGTGCGATCTTCGACTTGATATGGATCCAACAACTTCGGTCAGGGATGAGCAGAGCATGTGGACCAATATCGGTCTCGCAGCTTCGCAACTCATTGCTGCTTGTAGTACGGATTCCCAATCCACTGGTGGCTGGATCAGGACGGGCGACAACGATCATTTGGTTGTCACTGTTGGAAGTCTAAGATACTTTCAATCTGACTCTATCAGCGCCGCCGAGAATAATACTTTAAGCGTTGCTGCGCCGAATGTTGCGAACGTTGAAACCTCTTGATCAGCGTGCCCGTTGAATATAAAGTGGTGTCTCGAGGAGAATAAAGCATGTTATCAATCGAGAGTTTATGAGAACATAGGATATACCGCCCTTCGACCGAGAGTCTTCGTACATAGAGAGTTCGGACATCAAAGTGGAGTTGCACTTATTGCTCGCTGTCCCTAGATCGTAATTTGAGCATGTAGGCTTGCTTATCATAGATCAATCGTAGAGATTAGTCGTGCCGGGTGATATTAGGTACCCGAGCAGTCTTCATTGACCTTTGCTCCGATTAGGTATCGCCGTTGCCTCCCCCATACCGCCTCCATGTTCAAGTAACATTCTTAAGACGTTCTCTCGCCCGTTCAATTTCGCAGCAGTGATAGCAGTCCTTCCCTTCTTCTCCTTCTTACCCACATCCACGCCCCGCGCAAGCAATAACGTGACGATATGCTCGTGTCCTTGCTCACTTGCGATCATCAACGGCGTAAATCCTTCATCATCCGACGTCTCGAGATCTGCTCCCCGCTGGATCAACAGCTCTACAAGATCGGTGTGCCCATGAAAGCAAGCGAAGAGTAGTGGCGTCATCTCATGTATGTTCTTAGCGTTGATGTCCCCGCCATGTTCGACCACAGTGGCTAAGTTCTCAAGCCCTTCAGACTCCACCGCCCAATGCACAATTGTAGAGTTTTGTGGACCAATTGCGGTCGCGGAGGCGCCATGTGAAAAGAGTAGTTGGAGGGTAGCTCGGGTTGTGCGCTTGGCTGCCTGTAGAATGAGTGGGATGTCGTTGATGTCTTCTGTTTGAACGGAAGCGCCGTTACCGAGAAGAAATGAGACTTGTGCGTACTGTCGGTCGATATCTGTGCTAGAGACTGTTGTGAAGAGTGCGGTGCGGCCGAAAGAATCTTTTGTTTCCATCTTAGCACCTTGAGCGATGAGATAGTGGAAGATTGCTTTGTCATCAAGTGTTATTGCCCGGGCGAGAAAAGACTCTGAAGTGTTTTGGGCATTGAGATCATAGTCTGTGTAATTTAGAATGGCTTTTACGCAAGGGAAGCTTTTGCCGCAGATCGCCATGTGTAGAGATGTAAAATCCATATTCTGAGTGATTGTGGGGTCTGCACCTGCTTTCAAGAGGCTGATTATGATATGAGGGGCTCCGGCATAGGCAGCGATGTGAAGTGGTGTCGATCGGCTGTTGTCTTGAATATTGATATTCGATGATCGTGCGAGGACAAGCTGGAAAATTTCTACTCGTCTGGTTCGTGCACTTTCTATCGCTGTCCTAAGGGCCTTTCCTTCTTGGTCTTTGGTAGAGTCATTGGTCATGGTTTCTTTCGGATCAATTATACTGGTCGTACCTTGTGCAGCTTTGACGTCAGTGTTCTCAAGATTCGTTTCACTATTTGAGGTGTCCAAAGTTTCCCGTATTGCGTCGTCCGATTGGGTTGCGGAGAAGACTGCATGGTGCAAAGCTGAGTGTCCATTCTTATCTGGTATACTCAGACCTGCTCCTCGATCTAAAAGACGGCTTACGATATGGACGTGCTCGTTGATAATTGCGGGAGCCAATGGGGTTCGGCCGATATTATCTATAACGTCAAGAGATGCGCCTTTGTCCAGAAGTAGATCGCATGTGCCGTCAAGGCCAAGATTGCACGCACCATGCAAGCAAGTACCACCCCCTGCAATTACTGCATCAATATCAGCGCCGGCATCGATAAGTGCATTTAGATTTTCTATCTTGCGGAGGGCCCAGTGTATAGCACGCCAACCCTCATTATTCATAGCCTCCAGCGCAGCCCCACTGTCTATCAGGATCTTCGTAATCGCTGCAGAATCATTTAAAGCCGCCACGAACAAAGCGGTGCTTTGTCTGAGGTCTCGTGCGTTCAAGTCAGCTCCATGATTCACGAGAGATTTGACTATTGCTACACTCGCCTCATCATCTGACTCGCAGGCGAACTGTAGGGCTGTGGAGCCCCAGCCTGTTTTGACTTCGGGATCTGCCCCTCTCTGGAGTAATAGATGAACAATTTCAACATTTCTCTTCAGTATGGCTAAAGAGAGGGAGACAACTGCTTAGGGCCAGCCGTTGCATTTACGGCAAAGTGATTGGTATCAAGAAGAGTGCGCACAATTTCGAGGTCATCATTTGAGCAGGCAGAATGGAGGGCAGTCCAATCTGATCTATCCATCTGCACCTTAAAGCCCCTTTCGAGCAGTAACTTGACGGTCCCTAAAAACCCATTTTGAGCTGCGAAATGCAAACCCGTAAAGGTGTCATTTTCCATGAGCGCATATGCGTTTATATTGGCGCCTTTATCCAAGAGCAGGCGTACAATTTCGTCGTTTCCCTTTTCGCACGCCATGTGCAGTGCAGTGCAATTCTGCGAGTCAGTAGCCTCAATGTTGGCACCGGCATCTATGAGTAATCGTACGACGTCACCGTGGTCGTTCACAGTGCAGATATGAAGTGCCGTCGTTTCACTCATCCTATCTTCTAGACTTGCTCCATGTTGGATAAAAAGGCGTGCCATCTCTTCGAGACCATCTTTCGCCGCAAGGTGGAGCGCTGTAGCCTCTTCATTGTCTTTCATGTTGATTGAACTGCCGTTGTCAAGAAGGTAATGTGCGCATTCAATATTCCCGGCTACTGTGGCGACGTGCAAGGCTGTATGACCAAAGGAGTCTTGATCATCGACGGGACATCCACTGTCAATCAAGAATTGGGTGCTTGCAAGACTGTTCCGAGCGGCATAGTGCAACGCTGTTGTGCCGTAAGAAGTCTTCATAGATGCTGACGCTCCCCTTAGTACGAGTGTCCTCAGAATTTTCGTTTTCCCTTCCATTGACGCAAGATGCACCGCGGTCTGCCCTTCCTCATTGAACGTAGACAAAAGAATGTCCGCACCCTTTTCAAGCATTGCTCTAATCACACTGTCGTCGTCTAGACCTTCAGGCCCATAGATTATACACATGTGCAGCACGGTATTGCCGTCTGTATTTTTCGTCTCAATATTCGCTCCGTGTTCCAAAAGCATTTGCGCTGTGCCTTCATGTTTAGAGGTTAGAAGCAGGGCTGTGTTGCCCCATTCATTCTTCGCGTCAATTTCTGCGCCTCTTTCAAGCAACACCTGGCAAATTTCCTCAAATCCCCTGGACGCTGCTGCATGAAGTGCGGTATCTCCTCCTTCATAATGGCCTAAGAGATCGGCGCCCCTATCAAGTAATGCTGTTACAACATCAGGGTGACCAGAAATGGCGGCGAAAATCAAGGCCGAGTCGTTTGCTTTGGTCCTCAAATTCACCGCTGCCCCTCGCTCGATAAGAAGACGGATGCACTCTGCCCCATTCTCCTTTGCAGCAGCAGCTGCCGTCAGTGGAGTGCCAAAGAAATTGTTTTTCGCATCTATGGAGGCTCCTTTGTCCAGGAGCCATGTTATAGTCTCAACTTGTCCGCCTGAGGCAGCAATGTGCAGGGGTGTCTGAAGAAATTTGTTCTGCTTTTCCAAGTCAGTAGTGTACCCCAGAAGTGTTTTTGCAGTTTGAATTTGGGCTTGACCGATGGCCATGTGCAATGGAGTTGATCGCATGTCCGACATCTGTGGTGATACCTCACAGCCAGATTCCAGTAGATAGACTACTATAGCATTGGCGCCTGATCGAGCAGCGAAATGCAAAGGCCTGAGCCCGTTAGAGTCTTGAGCTTCAGGATCAGCTCCATGAACCATAAGTGCTTTCGAGGTCTCGAGACGATTGCTTCGAACAGCAATGTGCAGTGGCGTTTCACCTGTGCTTGATTGAGCATTCGCCTTTGCACCTTGCTCAATAAGAAGATTCGTGAACCATGGTCCATAAGAATCTCCTATCAAGTTCTCAGCGATAAAGTGTAATGCGGTCCATCCTATGAGACGCCCTTCTACAATAGATATATTGACGTCAAATTCACGTGTCAAAGCTTCTTGCAAGAGGGAAGGCAAACCAAAATAAGCCGCATAATGGACCGGTGTAATTATTCTTGCATAGTCCTGGCTAGCTCCACTATGTAAAGGCTGATTATTGTATAACATCGCAGACAAGCTCTGAGCCGCTCGTGCGAGAAGCAGCGGGCTGAAGACAAACCTGAACATTAGTTGTTCTATTTCTAGGGGCTTCTGTTGATGATATAGACGGTGAACATGGACACCCCACTTCTGATTCGCGTACCAATACAGAGGATATAATGCAGACATGTTGTTGTACGACTCGTCGTCGGAAGGAGGCGGCGAAGCAAAATCTTTCAATAGGACGTACGTCAGGCATACTTCAGATAGCATTTTCTCAGCGGGATAGTACGACTGCAGATCCTGGCTTTCAAAAAATTCTTGAAGGGTGTAGTGTACAAGCCTAACTTGAGATGTTTCTTTCTGAATGACAATCAAACCGTGGCAAAAGTCTGCAATACTGTGTCTTAGTAGGCTCATTGGGGTCAATTTTGAATGGTCGAGGATCTTGTCGCCAGCTTCAACGCCTAGCGCATGTTGCAACATAGCTAGGTCAATCGTCGCAAAGGCATGAGAAACCCACAAAAGGGTCTTCATTGCGATCTCTCGACGTTCCTTTGGCTGATTCCGGATTCGCTGTAGCGTAGCTTCAAATTGCGCTTCGAGGCCTTCTGGCAACGCGACGAGGGTTTCGCGGATTTTGGCGGGCGAGATTTGATCCAATACAGACCGGACTTGCAAACTTGGTAGCAGAAACCTTTGTTGGTGTATCAGCCGCGCACATCTGGACATCTCTGGAAACAGCTTACTTACATTCCATTGGCTCTGCTGACAAGGGTTGAAATGATTTCATTCCTGAAATCCCGCGTTAGGAGGTCTTCAAGTTCTTCTTCCTCCTCGATTCTATCATTTATCTGTTGATTCAGAAACTCGGTAATGTCTGACTCGGAAGCCTCAACCTGTATGTGAGGGCGGAATTTCAAGTGCTTTGCAATATCCTTTTGATCTGGTCGAGTCGTGTAAAATAGCATTGCTTGTGTGGCCTCTAGTCTTTTGAGCAACTTCAAGAATGCCTGCCTATCACCTGTGTGTCCATACTCGTCCAACGCGTCAATGACTATGTACCTCGGGCGCTCGTTGCAGAGTGAAATTAGGATTTCTTGGAGCTTATCTAGCCGAAGCGCTTTAGTTGACCTGCTGGTCTGCTTGTAAAGGTCAATCAGTGCTGTGGGTAGTCTTGCTTCTGTAGCCAGCAACTGTCTGAGCAGAGCCCCTGTGATGTTCGATAAGTCCTTCTCTAGATCTCTCTCTAACAAATGATAGTCGCAATAGATGAAAGCTACAGCCCCTTGCTCCCCAATGGTCACCTTTTTCAGGAAATCAATGATCATAGAGGAAATATATGTCTTTCCAGAGCCAGGAATACCACTGCACCAGAGAACATTGCTTGGACCGAGCTTCTTGAACCATTCATCGAATTGCTTGGTCTCCTTAATCCATTCTCCCGTGCCTGAAGTCCTACGAGAGCTGATATCGGAATGGTTCTTCTGCGGTTGTAGAATTGAAAGCCATTCTAGTACTTCATTCTCGGCCCGATTCCGAGATATGTCCAGTATTTCCTGGATATCGGTCCGCGTTTGCTTCAAATCCGATGTCATCACTCGCTGAATCATCTTGTTGTCATGTAAATCAGCCTTTATTGCTCTGGTGAGTGTCATAGAGTCCAACGATAAGGCAAGGTTGAAGAGCCTTTGTTGACGCTCGATCGTGGCTAGAATGTTTGTGACTTCACCTGTTTGGAAAGGCCACGCTAAGGATGAGGCTGCCTTTTTGAAGAGATTGCGCTTCCTGACATCGTCATTGGTAGGGTCCAATTTGTTGAGGAGCCGCTCTAAAGCGGCTTTGTAGGTCTCTAATGGTCCACTGGGCTGCGCGAGATCTTGTATCGCACGTAACCACGGATCGGTAGGCTCAGAGAGCTCGATATGAGATCGAAGGGAATTCAAAGAGCCTTGAATATTGATGAGATCTTTGAGAAGTTGAGCCCGTTCGCCCGCTCCATCTTTAACCGCTTTGGCATATCTGAGCACCTTTCCAGACAGTTCGAGGACGGCAATTATGCTAGCCACCAAGGAAAGCCCATCTGCCATGTTCAAAGGTGAATACTGCTTCGAATCACGAAGAGACTCTGATTGTAGGTCGATTTATCGTTGTTCTTCAAACTTGAAGACGAGGGCGATCTGTAGGTCTCTCGAGCAGGCCTAATCCTGGAAGTCACGAAGCCGAACTGGTCTTGCCATGTGCAACCTGCTTGACCTATAAGGGGGTTTAAGCCTGATGTTCGGGCCCATTGTACTACGAGCCATCGATTCAGGACCTTCGAGTTTAAGGCCCCCCATTGCTGAGAATTTCCAAGCTGAGATAAGGTACACGCTACTGTACTCTAGCGCCATAGAACGATAAGGTACAACAAGTTAGGTGTGCGAGGAGGTCCGTTTAAATTGATGTTCTGGGAGTTGAAATATTACGACGAGCAATTTTGAAGATAGCTACGTACATATGCTGTTTGTCATCATCATTCTGTCTTCAAATTTAAGGTATGCCTTGCTCATAGGACACGGGCTTTCGCCAAGGTATTCGGATAGAATACCGGCGTCGGCGCTACTTTGTCCCGGATGTCTGGAAGTACTCAAACCCCACGAGTCCCTTTCAGCATCTTATTCGTACCACCAGTGACCAAGGCTTGTCTCTACGCCATGCGAACGTTTCAGACCAGTATCAGCTGGGCCAGGTCGCAGGATGACTTCATGCTCTGCAGGCGTGCCGGCAATGCCCAAGCTACTCCGGCACCAAGCTTCGCCCTAATCCGCAGACAGTAAGGCGAAAGCTGGGGTAAGCACCATGATTCGTGGAATTCACTGCTACGCCTCCTGCAGAACCATCCGGGCAGCCTCTTTCACAGCCTGCTAGACCAACAAAACGCCTGACTGCGGCGGACTCGATGAGCGGAAATGCGCCAGCCAATACTGCCAATACCTCTCTACTCCTCCCCCTTCCATCAGCTTCTCCTCCTTCTCCTCCTCGACCTCGCAGTCTCATCAGCGAGTATGGCCCTTGACCCCCGAATCTTCCAAGCGTGTCGACTGCTTCAATAGCCTACGCAGTACCTAAGAAGGCCTCCCTTGTGCCTCGTCAGCTCAAAAATACTCTGGCTACAATGGCTAGCGACGAGGGCAATTGGGGTCCAGGCATAATTGGATTGGCCGCGACATGTGAAGGCTTGGTGCTCATCTTTATATCCTTGCGTATCTACACAAGAGTCTGGCTTGCGAAAGCGTTCTGGTGGGATGACGCGACGATGATATTCGCCGTGGTATGCATTTTCCTCGGCCTTCCCTAAGACGATGCGAGCTGCACAGAACGCTGATGATATGCTCTCCCTAGCTTGGCACAACAATCGGATGTTCCCTCTGCTTCGTTGAAGTCCACTATGGTTTCGGAAAGCACTACCAATATCTTACCGACCGCGAGAAGCATTTGTTCAGGAAATATACATTTGGCGAATGGATTCAAACATTTGCGACCCTCATGTGGACCAAGATCTCCATCTGCCTCTTCCTCGTTCGATTCACAAACAATCAGAGACTGCGCACGGTCATGTATTGGACGGTTGGCTTCCTGCTCATATCCAATACCGTCATGACGGTCATGTGGATAATGCAATGCCAACCTGTCAACAATGCTTGGGTTCTGGATGGGAAGGGTACATGCATGAGCAAATTTGAAAAAGAGGCAGTCATCTTGACGCAGGCTATAATCTCCATCGTCTCAGACTTCGTCTTCGCGGCCTTCCCCATCTTCTATTTCTGGCGGCTACAGGTCGATTTGAAGACAAAGATTGGTCTTTGGCTGCTCATGTGTCTTGGTTTCATCACCGGCGTATGCTGCATTGTGCGCACTGTCCTCAATGGCCAGTCTCTGCCCGACGATGAAACGTACGATGGCATTGTGAATTGGACGTGGCGGTTGTTTGAGGTGCAGATGGGCATCATTGCAGCATGCATCCCTACTCTGCGTCCGCTTTATAGCTTGATTTTCAAAAAGATCCGAGGCGAGAAAGATGTGTTTGCAAGCTCAAACGTGAAAATGCTAGGAAACGAGAAAGAGCACTGGCTTGGGGATGCATCAAATGGCCACGACAGTGATGGACGTTCCCCTCCATCAGCCTCATCATCTCAACATCCTCCTCGCCATCAATCAGTGAAAGCAATGAAGGCCCACCACGGTGAAGACATGACTCATGACCTTATCAATGACGGTATCATACAGAGTAAGGTACCAAATGGGAAGGCATCCGAGCACCGCAGCGCTTCAAATGCTGGTCTATTGGGAGACATGGATCGTTATGGAATCGGCGAAGGAACAGCGCGATCAAAATCGAAGGTTAGCCCCAAGCTTGGGGTCGCACCTGAAGAGATACCGGATTTGGAGCGGGGCGATAGGACATCTGAAGAACAGGCCGAGGCTGGACTTGAGGACGACATGGGGAAATATGGCATAGCGGAATGATCTGGCATAGGAAAAGACGGGTTCGATCGACTGCTGCGAGGCAACAGTGCTGGCGATGCATGCCTAGATGCTTCGTACTCAACGAATCACGGTACATTTTGGCACACGGGCGAAGTCATCTCATCCAGGCCCCACGACATGTCGCTACCTCAAATGGTGAAACGATGCAAACTCGCCATACGCACACGATAGCAAGCTCAAGCGTGCATCGTCTCAGCCACTCGTGGCTCCTGCTGTCTCAAAATGGACAGCTTTCCACAACCCATACCGTACATACACATCCTTCCTGCCACGGCTTTTATACAAATGTCGCAGCAGAATACCTTGTGCATCATATCATCCGGCATTGGCGTTAGTGGCAAAAGAGATCCATGTAACATTTAGCGCTGTCTACATACCTTCAACTCTGCTCGAGATAAAATTCACGAATGCAAAATTCATCCATTGTTCCGGCCATGCAAAGAGTCTACTTACATCTGTTGCTCTCTCATTATTCACGAGCAGGTCCACGTGACCATACCATCGCATTGAATTACTACGACTTCGCTAGCTCTCCCTTCCTCCCTATTACCCTTTGAGTCTCTACGAACACTCTAACAGTTCATAAGGTAGCGGATCACCAACATCATTCTTCCACCGACCCTGGACAGCTAGCTAGCACGCACCGCATCTCCCCCTCCCCTTCCCAACCCCCCTTGCCCCCCCTTGACTTCTCCAACAGCGATCTCAATACCTCCTGGAACCCCCTCATCAGTCTCCTCTCATCTTCATGCCACATGCACCGGCATACGGAATCCTCAATCCTCCGGCCTCCTTGCCCAACCCCCCACCAGCCCCCTGTGCCTATTCGCCACTCTCCCCAAGCAAGAATTGGTCGTCAGGCTTATTCACTTTCCGCCCTCGCCTTCCTTCCCAGCCCCTTCTCAACGTGACGTCGGGCATGTCAGTCACTTCCACTTTCTCGACAGAGTCTGGGTTGGTGAGTGAAGTATGAGGGGGGCTGGTGGCGGGTACCTAAACTTCTTCCTCCGCTCTTGTTTCTCTCCTCTCTTTCTTCCTACCATCTGTCATGGTTTGGGGGAGGGGGGTTTGGTGGTTTCCCTTCCTCTGCTATTGTCGGTGAGTTGGCTGGTCCTTGTTCTCATATCTTTAGGGGCTGGGGAATTGCGTGTGTATGTGGAGGTGTTGTGTTTGTCTTGTGGTAAATATATATACGAATCTTTCTCCCCTTAAACGGAAAATACCGAACATAACAAATGGTAGCAACACTTAGCTGCTCCCTACCAATTGCTAACTTTTAAAATCGCCTAAAGAAGCTTACGCTCAATCCTTTTACAGAACAAGACAATCTCAGTGGACTGCTCTCCTTCATTGATCTCCTTTGTCCCATCTTCTTACCTACCGATACTGAAGAAGAGGCTCTCTACACTGCCGGACAGATTTTATCAAGTCGGTAATATCTTTTGTTCTCAGAATCGTTCTGCCATACACTAGCTTCATTTTTTTTTTCAACCATAATGTTTCTTAGATAGTCTCTGTTTGTAACGATCCCTGCACCATGGCTGTGGAAACATGGCGCTTTGAATAATTTGTCGACCAGAGGCAGAGAAGCTCATGCCAGTAAGAGCTGGGTCAACGCTGTCGTTGACGATGTCGGCAAGTTTAACCTTTTTTTGGATGAAGCTTGACGTCGCGATTGTACGGCAACAATGAGACCCTCTTTCTACGTAGATTGAACTACTTTTGGGTACAATCGTCAGCTTGTACTAAAAACCATGCAGGAGTACACTTCCCGTATCCACGCTTCAGATCACCTTCCCAAAGATTAAAATTCACTTCATCTCATTTATTTTTCGTTCCAGAGTTGCAAAGCCTGTCTCTGAACAACCTTGCGAATACTCAATCAGATGGCTGCGAGGATCACTGTACACTGGCAGAGGGCACATAAGAGAGTTAAGCTTGCCCCAGCCAGCATGTTCCCAGGCTTACTACAAGCAAAGGTATGCAAGCCTAAACTCATAGCACCCTAGTATCCTCCTGATTAAGCTACCGTCAATCAACCCAGTCTATCTTCGTATGAGAGTGATGCGAATAATCGAGAGACTTTGTTTGGGCATGGTGGCCAATAATTACAAGGGATTTGACAGATGGAGGAATCTACGAAGCCCTGCTGTGTTTTCCTGGCGCATCTACAACATGCAAACACTACATGGACTATATCCTGCACGCACTACGGATCCAAGAGCATCGCAGTGTTAACATTCGTGGTTCTACCCGTCGAAGCAAGGACAAGCTGATCTGCTGCCATGTTACTCTATCCCGCTGGCATTATAGCAACAAGGCAATGTAAAACGATAATCGTCGACAACCTCTAAGTCAAAAAGGCTGGAGTTTTACGGCCCTCGCTGGTGACAATAATCGCGTTGGCACCCAACTTTTCAGACTCTAGGGGCCTCTCGGTGCATGTATTCTCTCCTTTTGAGCCTCAACGTCAACCTTCTCAATCATATGCTGCACATTAGTGCCCAGAAGAAACAACTCAACGGACAACATGTCCATACGGTTCCATCACCTGACTCGCGTGCCATGGGACCCGAGACAAAGTCAAAAACGAAACCCAGAAGTCACCAAGGCCGTCCAGGATTTGTTGTTTCTTAAGATCGACACGACTACTACGAATGGTGTTTGTGGGAGTGGTGGGTTCCTGCCACCATCCGCAAGTCAGATGTACATGATCAATCGCAAGCCGTTCAATCGGCTGGGAAAAGTATGCATCTTGCTTCGAATCATATTTTGCGTTTACTACAGACTCTCGATGCGAAAGGTTCGAATTTCTTTCGTCTTTTCTTTTTGTTCAAGTCCGTGTGCTTGGACAGATAAGTGATGTTCTTGAAAAAGGGATGAAACCTATGGCTGTTTCGAATGTCTTTTGTGAGAGACTCATGCTATCCCACCTGCGTTTCTAGCCACGCAAATACAGAGATATATACATTTTTAAGCATCAAAAGATCAGGCGCCGATTTCAGAACCATTTCTAGCCCAAAAGCACAGCCATTTGTGTCGTTCTTGAGGCTAAGGTGCTTTGTGATTTTGATCACAATACTCCCGATAATTCGTTGGAGATTATGATCAGCCATTTCAGCCTACACATTGAGGTAAATTTCTCCTAGTTGACAGGGTCGAAGCCCATTGTTCCCATCCAACCCGCAGCCGTCAATCGAGGCAAGCACTTTCGGCATAATGCAATTTATCAACTCGTTCTGTCACATCTCATGATACGACGTTTCTTCTATCGGCGTCGTACGACAATGCCGCTCTTTTCGCAAGGAGAATGAGCCCGAAATCTTCGAGGATGGAAAATGATGTACAAGAGTGTACGTCAACTGCTCCCTTTCATGGTTTCGCATCCGTGTCTACTTAACAACCCCGACCTCGCCAGTGGATGGGAAGGACATACCATGGGTCCTTATTTGACTTTCCTTCAGAAAAGACAAAGCAGAGATCTAAAACCCTTGGTACCTTCGAGATCATCACATTTGTGATAAGGATCGAAGCCACCGCTAGAGGGTACATAGCTCAAATATCCTGCCAAAGACACAGTCTCGAAGAAGCTTTCCATCGGTAAGAAATAAGGTCTGGGCATGGTCTATTGGGCACACAATATCAAGAGTGGTGGCTTACATCGGCTTTCAGCCTTGGACCCGAATCTAAACTTAGGACGTAGCCTCTGTGTCAATGTTAAAAATTCGGAGCTCTGTCAATCAGGTACCGTCGTCGTACCAACCCGAATCATTCGTCCGGACTATTTTGGAGTGGTTCGGATGGAGGCTAACAGAAAAAGAGGTTCAAACATGCCAAGAGCTTGTGTAGCCGGCTGATCACCATTGGCCTCTCCAACGAGGCTGTTGAAGTAAAGCTGGCCGATCACTTGGTGAGCAATGACTATGGCTATGGCAAGATGAGGCAGCTATCCTCCTCCGTATCAAAAGAGATTACGGCCAGGTTGCAAGATCGCTTGGCTACACTACAGTCAAGCACCTCAAGTCGGCGTGCTGAACAAATCATTATATTACGTTGGAGCCTAGTGAATGACCTGGGCCTTGTAGGGTCTGCTCACTCTCATTCACCGGAACAAAAACATGTGAATTACAAGCCTTGGAGTTTCATAGATCCCATAGAAGCCACACTGGAAAGATATGATACCAGCTTACTTACAGCCGTGATATTGGTAGGATGGCCATGATGTTGCCTCGACATATGTCTAAGCAAGAGCTTTATCGTCGGGCGCTTGGATTTCGCTGGGTTGAAACAATTGCGTCTGCAGGAACAATCCCAGGAGAGCTCGAGTGTCAACGACAAGCCACATTTCCCGTTTTGCAATTACTTTGAGCCAGATGGTCGTCATGTACAAGTCCCCAATTCTTTTGGACGTGCGACCGCGCGCAAACCCATGCCTTTCTGATAGAGTGATCTACTACCAATTCTTTATACATATATCATGCTTTCAGTGGGCATGATCCTGGCATCTGTCCGAATTCCACACTTCTCAGCTTTCGTATGGTCGGTCCAGGTGGATCCGTGGGTGCTTGGGCCCTGCTTGTTGATGAAATGTGTAAAGCTGCCACATTGCCGTGTTCCTACGGATTGTGAGACGCCTTCGACAGGATGCCAGAACGGAAGAAATGGCACATCACCTGTTGGTGAGAGAGCACTTGATCAGCTCAAATTTTAATTATTACGATCTACCCAATAATCTCGTCCTCCTGCATCTACGAACGCAATTCTTTCTTTAAATATTCACGCCTGCCGTGCCGAAAAAGATCCAGGCTCCATACCTACTACGTGGTATGAATCTTGGACGCATCATCATGTGTGCGCTGAAGATGTATTTACTTGGCAATGTTCACCACCGATGTTGATCCCCACGAGGCTGGCTTGGACCATCAGAGATACCCCAGGTTTGATGCTATGGTATTGCTCAGTCAAAAGATGACGGCATGTCAATGATGCGTCTTACTTGGGATGTGCGATACGCTTTGAAAATCAAGAGATCTAATTGTTGGATAGCCATAATGGGTCATCCTTCTGACCAAGGCGTTGGAAGAGAACAGATAGATCCAGAACTTACCGAAGATAAATTTGTCAACAAAGGGTAAGACCGGGCAAACTCCATCTCTCGGCCACGTGGCCCCTCGCCTGCTTCGGTCGATTTGCCTGGTTCCCTGACAAACCCCACTACTCCGACCTGCAGGATATTTGGCTAATCTTGAAAGTTGAAGAAGCGTGTCTAAAAAGCTCATATAGAGAAGTGTTAGGCTATCCTGCCTCCACCTTGATCTTTCGTTCGACGGAGATGGAGTAAAGATAATGTTTGAACCAATACAACCCTACTATCTGGCTTACTGGACCTGACCGGCGATGAGGGAATCATCGTCTATCCTTTACACATATTCAAGTTTTCAACGGAAATGGGGCCACGGATGAACTCAATTTCCACCCTCAGTGGATGAAACCTAATTACACAAGGAGCCCATGTAAAGTTATCTGGTCGTTTCTTTGCATGAAAGCCACGCCAGGTGCATTCTTTAACTTGTGAATTGCCACGGCTGTATGCCGTTTGATAGAGTTTGAAGACGGCGGAGAATACGATTTACGATGTTGAACCAGTATGTACCCTTACGGCTATGTTGAAGTGGAAGTGGAAAGTCAAATGGATGGTTCATAAGAATAAAGATCTAATTCTTTTTTTTTTTATTTCACTCTTCTTCTATCTTTATAATCGGAATCCTTCCATGTTTGTATCTCTAAATATTCACAGCAAGTCTCATGCACCTTGAACATCATGTCCTTCAGAACATTGTTGGACTGGAATTTCTCCTCCTTCATGTCTGCCGAAACGCTTGCATCAAGCTGATAGAATCGTTCCTACGACTTCCATGTTTCACATCAAAGAAAATTGGTCCACCCAGCGCTGCCAGGAAAAGTCTGTATTGAATAATAGCAACCGTCTCTCGGAGTTTCCTGCTCATCTGGAACGCGTGAAGATCGACTTGGTGCCCACGGACTCTGACAACCGATGTATGATTTCGGCTCAAACACTCGACGAGAGAGACTTATTGGAGATGACGACGCTCTGAGAAAACGGGCGAAAGCCGATACAACATCATTGATACTAGGAAAAGACACACCAGAGACAAAGCTCGAGAGACCTGACCCAGAGGCTGACCTTGAACACTACGATTATTTGCGCCTGCGCCGAAGCCAAGTGCTACAAGAACAAAAGGCTCTGACTTTCGCCCACCGACTCTTTGCAAGTGGTAAATGGCGGCCCAGGCTAGCCAAAAGTGATAGATGCTCCATAGTTCAGCTAGCGATGCCGTCCTCTTGCCCTCTGCTTTGTTGGCCATAATGGCAGCGATGTTCAATTCGCGTCAACCAACCCAACCCACTCCCCCAAACCCTCAATTCTCCCTCCATCACACCAGACCCAAGCTCAATCCCCAGCAACTCTTCCCCAGCTCTACTCGCCGCCGTCGCCGCCATCACCACCATCACCACCAACACCGACGACGACGAAGGAGAGGAAGGAGGAGAGGAAGAAAAGAGAAAAGGAGATACTTTTCTAAACATGAGTGACAAAGGACGCGTGCCCTTTTCCCTGGCGACTCGTGAGCAAGGCAAGACCAAGTATCTTGACCGCCCTCCTATTTAAAAAATTAGAGGTATACTGTAGGGCAGCACAAACGGCCACAATCTGGCCAGGAAAACGTTGCCGATTCTCAATAATCGCTTCGTCGAAACGATCGATAGGATCAAGACCACAATGCCCATATCCCATTTACGCATTACCGCCTATGATGAGGACGGTAACGTTACACAATCGTTCAAAGACTGGGTCAGCTGAAATTTTTTTTTGGGGGAGGGGGAACAGGGGCAGTATGGTTATTGGAGGACTATGCAGGCCGCCCATATGGCGAATCAAGAAGTGAGAAGGGGAGGGGGTGGAAGGGGTGAAAGGAGAGGTGGAGGTAGAGGTTGAAGGAGTGGTGTTGGGGGATGATGAAGGGGGGAGGCGGAAGAGCAAGCAGCCCAAGGCAATCTAGCCGTGGCGGGCAAACCCCATACGTACGATCTAAAGGCTCTCATCTAATGCATTCCCAGATGCCAACATCGATTAGTGCGAGCGGAACATTGTATTTGGGAAGTGCGACAAGCTGTGTGGAAAGTAAGTGGTCCTTCCAGATTCGGATACTATGCTGTCAATGCATCACACTCGGTGACTGTTTCAGTGGAAAAAGAACAGCAATGCCTTGTCAAAGAGATTACGAAATACCCCAACATGAGGTTCTCCGCCGCTTCCGACTATATATATCTGTGAGGCAGCAGAGGACTAGGCAAGAGACAAAAGCTGACGCTAAGGTACATCTCTATCGACCGATGTACAAGGTTGGGAATGGAGAGATGTCGAAAATGGAATCTCTTGTCATTGATTGTGAGGCTTTGTTGTGAATGACAAAAGATGCCAATCTTTTCCTTATCTTCCTAAATCTTGATGAATCTAATTTATTGTTTTGTGTGTCCCCTTCTATGCCCTCAATTTTCATGGAACGGGAGAAAGGAAGTGCTCTTCTCACTATATGTCCTCGGACTCGTAACGGGAAATACGACGAATGATATATGTACGGGCAATTATGACGCATTCTTTCCATTGAGCCTCTTTTTGAATTAATCATACTTAGTTCAAATGTGGTCACACAAGTGCTAGGAAAATGCCGCTATCTGAGGAACCTGTTTCACGCTGTCGTGGGTATCATGAACGTCGTGCGTCTGATCAAGAGTCACTTGTCAATATATTGGCATTGAATAGTGGAATCTGGATACCCCTTTTTTTTCCCAGGTCTTGTCCTCGACCCAGTTGCCATATTTGTCTAGATGCACGCAATTTCCAAAGGTCATTTTGAAAACGCAATTCTTTTGAGAAGGAAAATTATTGGCAGAAGTATCAACGTGTCATAGCATTCTGGAGCCCTTTTCTCAAAGCCCTCGTACCTTGCGGAATTGAAGACTTTTGAGGCTTCGAGGCTTTGAGGCTTTGAGGCTTTGAGGCTTTGAGGCTTGAGGCTTGAAGCCACGCGTGTGCCTCATCATATGATTCTAGTGTGTAAATCCAAAAACTCAAGAGACCCACATTTTGGGGTTTGTGGGCTGTTGGCTTCCTGAGGAATCGAGGCCTCGTCATCTTTCGTCAATCGAATCCGGTCAGCTGAGTCAATGCACCGCACGAGTCTGGGATACTTATAGAGTGCTAGGATGACGGATCTTTCCACTCCTACAGATCTTCGTAAACCATCTTGGCGAAGTTACATGTTAAATCAATCTGAGCCACTTCAATGCCTACTACGGCTCTTTAAGGGCTCTGCAAACACCTGGTCGACGCCTGAGACAGGTTCGATGCTTTCCATCCAACAACCATGGTTCGACCTACACCATCCCACCAAGATAAAGAAGGCCGTCACGTTTAGCTCTTCGTGAATGAGGGTTGCTTCCCCCAGAGTGTTCGTCGGACTGAACCAAAAGCGATACCGAGTCTGCTGGTGGGCTCCTTCTCGTTGAGTACCAAATTTCGAGACGGAGACATAAGTCTCGAGAGTTGAAACAGCAGATACCGCCCTCCCTAAGTCCTCATACTTTGTGAGACTAGGAAATCCGGTGTGACATGGTACCATCTCCAGCCACTTCAATTTTGTGATGTCAAGGCCTGCTTACAAGCAGATCCGTAAGTGCGTATTGCAGATTTGCCGCAAGTACCTAGCGTACTTGCAGACTGGAGACTACGACCACAACAGCATTTGAATGTTCTCGTAGGAGAAAGACGGTCAAACACAGGATCAAGACCTGCGGAGATATATAGCAGTTGAGCTAGAAGCTTACGAAGCAACTTGGGAATTGATAAAGGAATTTTTTCTCGGACTCGATACCCGTGAGTCCAAACACGCTCTACATGATACTTCTTCGAGGAGACCCTTAGCTTCCTGCAGGGCAATCCCCTCCAGTCCCAATGACCATCGCGCCCGTATCCCGTCAGCACAGGTCGATGTTGCTCCTAAGTATTCCGGCTGATTACACAAAGACCAGATCACTTTGCACGCATTGGGACTGAGTGGGACCTAGATCCAGTGTACACTATCAATGGGAATGGGGACAAAGAACAGTGGGATAAGGCGACGGCGTGCTCGAAGTCTTCCCAGCCAGATACAATATGGCGTTGGCTTGAAGCGCCAGACATCAGAAGACATCACCGCGATCTGCGAATGTATTGGAGGATTTAACGTGCTGCTCAGGCCAAGAGTTGGAGCTTTTCGGCGAGCTTGAGCCCGGGCGAAGCGTAGTTCATCATCTGCAAGTCTCTATGAGCTAAGAGCTGGCTGTAAGAGAACTTACAAAAGTAGCTTGCACCATGTCTTTGGAGTTCCACGACGCCTGTGAGATATTCTGGTGGACAAGGTCAATGACGACAAGATTGCATACCGTTGATCACGGTCTTGCTGCCTCTGTTCAAGATTCAAGGTACGGGTACGGACCATCTTTCTTACCGTCAAGACTGGCAAATTGTTACTAGGAGAACAAGGGCATCACACATTGCGAATCTTCTGGAGAGTTAACGCCTTGTTACGGGTTCGCATGTCTTGAAGCTTTCGCGGCATTGTACTAGCTGAGATCATTCGGCTGGTACAACATGATGCTGATGCGCGCCGTTTGTCGGAACTCAGCTTGCAAGACTACCCTGCGCTGCCTAAAAATCATTACTTGTCAATTTGTGGAGACACAGAAGTTCAACTTGTGTCCAGGCTACTCTTCGCCGGAAATGGACATCGACAGTATTCAAGCATTCAATATAAAGGTGGAAGGCATGGTCAAGCCGTTACACAGCTCGCGGAGAGTACCCTTGCGACAATGAACTATAAACCCTTAAGGAAATCCAAATCTTCATATGTGGAGCCCCTCTCACCTGAGAGAGAAATCAATTTTAATTTTGATTTTTATTATGCCCGACCATTTGGGCTCAGAAAACCTCGACGTTCCATCTCACAACAAGCTGTGAAATACCAAGGGAAGAGACCGCTATCAACCATCTTTATCTGTACTACATCTGCTGGGCAGAAGATAGAGAGTATCAACCCACCTTCAAGGAATCATGAGATCTTACCGCTAAAAAGGACTAGATGTCTTGCTTGTGTGTAGTCCGCCTCTTTTTGATGAAAATTACGACATGACAGACCACTTTCCAAGCTCAACTATACTCCAGGGACTTTATATGAGATTTGAAAGACATCGTGCAAGGTTGTGACTGAATATCCGTCCCCAGCGGAAATTTGGCGGCGGTGGACATGCCGGTCACAGGGTCGCCCCGACTCGGGGGCCTTCAGGTAGGGTGAGAGGGGTGGCGGGACAGGGGCAGTATGGGTTTTGGAGGACGATGCGGCCGCCCGTATGGCGGGTCATCAAGTGAACCAAGCAAGTTTGTCACGTTGTCTACGGACTGTCGCACACGAAAACAACACATCGTGGCTTCATGGAAGTTTGCCTGCTACTCATTGGGCATGAGCCACCTCACCGATCTAGGATACTCCGATTTGTAGGAGCGGCCACATCAGATATCACGGAGGCATTTTGATTGGGAGGATAGAGAGACGTCCTCCGGCTACTCATGAAGGCGTGAATGAAAGTCTTTTCTGCAATGTACGGTGTCCGTTCTGTATACTTAAGAGACAAGGACGCATCAGGACTTCTGGCCGATGTGGTTATGAATTCAGCTTCTTATCGGAAGAGGTACACGACATGCTCGACAACGGTGCAATACCTGGCAGCATCTACTTGCTAGCACGAGGAGTTCTGAAAGACCTGGAGATGCGATAATTGTGGAGCCTTGTAGAAAGAAGGCAACTTGAACACTCAGCGATTCGACGAGGCGAAAGGTAGATTCCTCGCTCGCAATGAGAGACATGGGACCGAGCTTTCGCTGGAAGCGCGGGAGTACTACCCTCCTTACAGCTGGGACATTCGTTGCCGCCGGCAGCAGCAGGCTTGCGAATGAAGTACAGCAACCTGACCAAGTGTCGTGCACTGATTATGTTCAACATTATAAAAGCATACGATGTCTTTGTTATTCGAGAAGTGTGTTTTCACGGATTCTCTATTCTAAAAGAACTCTGAAAGCAGCAAGAATGCACACTTTTGGATCGAACTCCACCGTCTTCCCGAGCCCGCCGGTCTGGCAATTATAATGTCCAGAATATGACCACTTGATATTTCCAGGATTTTGGCCCGCAGAGCGGGCAATGGTTCAAATGGCCTTCGGCATCGAATCTATAGTTCTGCTGAGTGCTTTGTTAGGTCTCTTGTAGGATCTTCTTAGGAAAATAATGAAAGAACCTTTGGCATACATCTATGATTGGCACATTTGCCCGCATACGAGCAATCCCCCATGGGAGAATGTTCCAGGGATAACCAACAAGGGCAAAAAAAAACATCGGCTCATCGAACCAGGATCACGATGACTACCATCCTTTGCCGGAAGCCGCTTTTGTGGCTCTTCCCCAATTTTTTGGTACAAGACGACGATTTGACACTGATCTGATTGCATTCAGGGTTTTCAACCTACATGAGATAAAAGGCAAAAACAGAAGTCTTCAGGACAAGCGCCTGACATTGAGCTCTGCTAACAAAATATGAGATCCCAAGGCCAAGTCGTTCCACAACGCAGAAGATAGGAAAGCTTGAGCTCTTAGGAAGACAAGACAGTGCACTATCTACTCGAAAACGATGGCATGTGTCCACAATTTCAGGAAAGTCCAATATTGCTTCACAAAATGACCATGCCCTATGTGTGTGTGATAGCACTAGGCGTCTCGGACGACTGTGGCAGTCGTATACGTCGACGTAAGCCATAAGTTCTTCCGTTTTGACGATATAAAATCCCAGGACCAAGGCATAGAAGGATTCAATGCGTATGCGAGGAAAGCTGGGAGGTCTATGCGGCTCTAATAGGAACTCCTCATAGTATTGGCATTACGTTGTGCAGGCTCTCAACAATGCTCTTGCGACTCCAGCTCCTGCCCAACTCCTACCAGGATGTGTCTAAACCTTTTCACACTCCACAGGCCCTTTCATTGCCCTTTTCAGATATTATATGGCCTATCGGGCAAGACAAGTGTGGATGCTGGAGCGCACTATACTGTCGACGACGACATGACTCCACTGGGCACAGCTTGTGCTTCGCTCAAATTCAGTCATTACGGCACGCTTGCGAAATTTCCAAGGGAGAATGAAGACGAAATATGCAAGCACACAGTATGGAACCACGAACGCATTACGTCGCTGGGACTGGATCTACCACGCTACGGCAGAATTTGTCTCCTGCCTGGGCTCTTGACTACCAATATGACTATTGACGCCGACTTCACTGATACTCTACGAAGACTGGCGCAGCGCCTGCCGCGGTTTTGGCTCTAATGGGCACGCCACCCGGAATGGACCATTCTACATCAAAAGACTGTTCTTCTGTGATTCTCCGTCCAGATCTGGTCGAGTACAAGCCTCCACACAAATCGAGATCTGATCGTGTCACGACCAGACATTTTCCTGAGTCCAACGAAGTTGAAATTCCACGACGATCCTTCGTTTCAATTGCGGAAAGGATTGTACATACTACCTTTACTCTGTATGTCGCTGGTGCTTTCGGCCGCTTTCACCTTGCCGAGATAAGAATGTCAGTTAATAGCAGCACCGTACGCCTATCTCTGAGGCATAAGAAATTGGAACAGACATCTCGGTGGCTGGTTCCTTTTCCAAAGAGACAGACATCACTGAAATAACAATACTGTGCATCACACCAAAATCAAAGATATCGCACATGGCTGTCGAGTGAGCGAAGAAGACGAGATGTACGTTGTGGACGCATTCACAAGTGTCTGGGATAATATCTCTGCTCTGTCCCCGTGAATTTCACGGTTCAAGCGAAGACAATGCTTTCTTACAATTATTTCGACCCTCTCGGCCCAGGATCTGTGCTCTTCTGCTCTTCTAAAACGCTTGGGAACACAAGGGTATTAACCCAGCAGTAGCAGCTGGGACTTCTTAAGTCAATGAGGGTTGGCTTTCAGTAGAACAGCTCAGGCATTGACACTTTCAAGCATACACGATCATAGATATTGCGGAGCATCTTCCGCTAAGTCCCAAGTGAGAAGAGTTGTTCTAAGATCTACAAGAGCTTTACTATGTATTCTGTGTTAGAATGCCAACTAGCATTTGTGATGGAGTTGTGAACTGGTAGTGTGGGAAAAAGCATGTGCATTTCGAAAGCTTCTGAACTTTTCTTCTCTGGTGGAGGAACACGAAGGCGTAGATAGTCTGATTCTCAAATATTCTCCGCGAGGGGGTAGCGACCGTATTCATTTCCCCACCGTCGAGAGGAATTCTCTCGCCATAATGCGAACCTTTTGCTCATCATCGAGCTGCGTGATGAGGCTCTCTAAGTACATCTCTTTCCCTGCAAGCACATGAGTACCAAACACTTCATCAAGCTTGCATCCAGATTTCCTCACCGCATGCCAGTCTTGCAACCATCTCCTGCAGCCCCCCCTCCCCCAACCGCTCCCCCCCTCTCTCTCCCACACTCGCTCCCATCTCCACAAACAAAAGGAGCTAGATACCGTTTCGTATTCAAGGACGCCCGACGCATCCCAGGTATTTTACGAAGGAAAACCCGTCCCTACAATCATACACACGCAAGACTCGAACGAATGCGACTTCGACAGTTGCCCCTCCTCAAATGACATGAACTGTTGAAATTCCCACGAGAAACATCACTCCGCCTTCGATGCAGCCGCCCCATACCCAACATTCTCATCTTCCCACGACTCAATCTCCTCTTCCCCACCATCTCTACCAAAGTTCGGATTATACTCCACATAATCCGCCCTCATTCCCAACAGCAACCTTGCCACCCAATAATACCCCCCTGCACGATCCTCGACAAAAGCCTCTGGCTCCTAAACTGCAGCTTCTCCGTCCACCCCGGAGGACCCCCATCATGCCACGGATGCGCAGCCATCCACCAACCCACCGCATTAACGCCCCCATGATACTCCCAATACCCACACGCCGTATAAATAGCCTGCAGCTGCACATAAAGACACCCCTCCACCACCCTCCTCCTCACCCTCGGCAACGCCTCCAAAACCGCAAACAATACCCTCACCCACAGGGGCGTCGTCTTCAAAAACGGGTACCTCTCAGCATCGAGCACCGCGCCGCACATATTCCGATAAAGTCCCTCATCCCTCACTAATAGAACCACGACAGCCTCCTCGTTCGGTTTCTTGAAACGCGGCTTGTTTTGCCAGAATGTCCAGTAGGAGGGCTTGAACTCGAAGTCGCCGGGGCCGAGCTTGTCGGCCCCGCGGCGGGGCTCTTTGTAGTAGCTTATGTGCAGCTCACCCTTCTCGGGGTGCAGGAGGAGACAGTTCTCGCGGTCGCGGCTGTGGAAGTGGAGGGGGGTGGTCCAGGTGCTGGTCGGGGGGATGGTGATGCGGATTTGGTGGGGGGCGGGGAAGGAGAAGGTGGCTGTTGCGGGGGGAGGGAGGGTGAAAGAGGTGAGAGAGGTGGTGTTTGTGCGGTCCATGGGAGTAGAGGGGTGGGTGGTTTGTGGGGTTGGGATTGTGGTGGTGGTGAGGATGAGAACGGTAAATGGGAAAGGTCGACTTGGACACCATGCACGCTTTGGTGGGCGAGCTGTTGCCTAATAGCTCGTCCGAGCTTTCGTCGTCCAATGTTTTGGCCGGTGGTTCGATCTTTATCGCTATTGATCAGGTGCGTCGGAAGTCCTTCACCGCAATGGCAGTGTCTCGCAACATCTCGTTGATGAAGGGTTGGTCTACCCGACGCTCATCCCAACAGAAGCGCCCTATCGTGTTGAAACAAGATTCCTGCCTGGAAGGATTTCGGCGACCTTGGCGTTTTGTTTCAGCCTCACTGTTGTGCTTAGACGCCGTACTAACGAATCCTTCGAAGCTAGGAGGTTTGGTGGACGAATCAATCACGGAAGCTGTGCCACTAAGGTATAATTATCGATGGTCCATCAGTATTGACACCAGCCTTGATTTTGTTCTTCTGTGGTATCTTTCTCGAGCGAAATGTAATACTCACTTCGCTGCTTCAATCCCGTTCTGTTCGTCCCAAGACAGTAGCGCTGTCCCACAATCTGCAGCTTCAACCATCGAGGCTTTGAGAAGATCCTAATGCTGACATGCTGCTGTGCCGTGCTCAATGGCTAATAGGCTGTACGTAGAGCTTACGCAGGCCAAGCCTTGTAGCAAGAATATGACACAGGACGAGTTGGACCGTTGGGACACACTTGTCAGAACGGTCAACACAGGTCACCTACCTCAGGAGTACATCAAATGTGCAAATAGACTGCGGCTCTTGGAATTCGGGAGCCAACGAACTATCAAGAGGCTATGTCGTTAATTATGGGACAACGGGTTCTTCCAGCAGTAGACCAAGCTGCGCGGAGCCTAAATTACCATCCATGGAGCACGGCACAACCTCACCAGCCTCAATAGGAACTCAGTCAATTCCACACGGGACCAACATGATAGTTAGGATACTGTCGAAGTCCTTCTGGAATGAAGTCAATGTCGTGGTGGTGCGAATGCAGACGAGCTCCAACTCGGGAGTCAGATGAATCTTTCCATGATCTTGAAACAGACTTGACTTCGCCCTTGTTGCTGGTCATCGCAGGCTTTCGATAGAATATTCCTTTGAAAATAATGGTGGGTGCTTCCATCCAACAGGGCATGGCCGTCTGTTGCATGTTCATTACTTTCGAAGACGCCTTTTCCAAGTATAAAGTCACGCCAAATCGCCTGGACTACGATGATCGGTTCTTTCAGCAGCCAGGCAGATAGGAATCAAGCAGACATATCTGCCAGATTCAGTCATAGTCTTGAATGATATCGACTTATCTTGATCCTGACGTTGATTATATATGGTGTCCCAATGGCGCAAAATCCTCGATGTCGATCAATGCTAGTCGGAGCACTTCTCTGCTCCATCGCTAGTAAGTTGCTCTGACCTAAGAGAAGTCACCATTAACGATCCACAGATGCCCTCACTATCAAGAACCACCCTCTGCCTCGAGATCTCATCCGCCGAGCCAAGATCGACGATCAATTCACACCGCATGGCGGAACATTCAACTGGTATGCCATGGGAGATTCGTATACCGCAGGTCCAGGAGCGGGCGGCCTCCATCCAAGCAACAAAGGGAAATGCGTTCGATCTCTAGGATCTTACGGTCCCCAGCTCCAAGATGATTGGGTGTACAACCAGCCCAACGACTTGACCTTCCTTGCGTGTACTGGCGACATTACAGACGACCTGATCAAGACGCAGCTGCCGGAGATCAGCAGCGAACCGCCCTCCGATCTCACCATTCTCACCATTGGTGGCAATGACATCGGATTCGCTAACATTGCAGAGTCATGTCTCGTTGGCCGAATTGGTACAGAAGATTGTGACAGTCTGATCAAAAAGTACGTACCTATTGCCCATGAGTGCTCTTCGGAGGTTGGTTAGACAGAACAGGGCCACGCTGAGGTGTATTGCTTGCTTATAAAGGCAGCTTGAGGATGCTTGGTCCTAACGCTCGCCCTCTCAGGGTTTTTCCAAGTCGGAGGAGCCCTTTGTTTGTCTCTGTAGAGAGTTAGCGTGGCATGCTCTGACTAACCAGCCCTCATTCGATCCACATACTAAGTAATGATCATAGGGCCCGGGACACGATGGAAAGCGAATCCTTCAAAATCAACATGAACAAGACCTACGACGGCATCTTCGCCCAAATGCCCAAAGACTTCCACTATCAAATTCTGCACCTTGGCTACTCGCGCTTTTTCAACGCCGACGACGGCAGCACCTGGTGCAATGACCAGAGCTTTGGCAAACTCGGCGTCTCGCGCATCCCCATGCCCAAACTAACGCTCGAGCTCCGCCGCAAGATGAACCAGCTGTCTGACGACTTCAATACCAAGCTCCAGTTACTCACCTTCGCTTACGCCAACAATAAAATGAACTTCCCGGACCGAGGGACCGCCGTAGGCAACGGCTGGGTCCGAAACCGCCTCTGGTTCGGCAACGTCGACGGCCACAGCCAAAGCTTCCAGGGGCACCGATTCTGCGAGCCGGGCGACGAAGACCCGAAGTTCGGCCTGCCCACCCAATGGGTCTTCGGCGTATGGGGTCCCCAGAACGACGTCGGGCCCGACGACGGCAACAGAGCCGCGACCAGCAACGGCGAAGTGGGCGCCGAAGCCTTCGCGCACATCGACGCCACGGCGTGCAAGAACGATCCCAGTTACAACAACGACCCGGCCTTTCAATGGGACTGCGACATGGCGGGCATCTACGCCGATCCGGCTAACGACCACAACGCGAAGACGATCCCCGGATTGGACTTCACACGGAGCTTCCATCCCAAAACCCGCGGCTTCACCTCCATCAAAGACTTCATCCAACGATCGATGAGGTCGATACGAAAGGCGCCGGCGGCGGGAGCTTGCATTGCCAACCCCGACCCGAACACCATCGGCGCCGATGACATGTCTACTCTTATGGATAACGTTCGCGCGAACTTCCACCTTCCCGATGCCCCGAGTGGCTGGCCTGCGAGTCTTTGCGCCTCAATGTCCGGCACCGCCACCGTGTATACAGATTCGCTGCCGACGCCGGCCCCGAGTGCCGCTCAGGCCGGGTGCCAGTTCACGGGCGATCCGCTGACGGGGGGCTGTAAGTGCTCGGATGGCTCGACGCCGGCGAGAGATGAGGATAATAGATGCTGTTTGTATAATCAGCCTGGCGGAGATCAATGCTTTAGCAATGGGTAATTGAGAGTGTTTGTGCTCGTGCGGAGTTTCAAGGGCGTAATTATGATGGAGATCTCTGTTTTGAGCTTGGCGTAGGGATGATTGAGGGTTGCTGGGTATTGAGTCTTGTTTAATGTAAGGTGCCGAAATAGAACTTGAGTACGATTTCTGCCTGGATGCATGCTGTTTCACCCTAGGTGCTTGCTCTCACATTATGATCGTCTCTTCTCGGACGCTTGAATGTTTTAAAGCGGGAAGGGTTGTTGACTGGCACCCGTTGAAGTCCGTGGCCGAGGCCAAAGACTTAACATAGGAAGTGCGTTAACTGGGAGAAGCGGCAATGGCTGTCACACCACGAGTGAGCCGCAAGGCTACAGTGAATGGAGGCTGTGATATGCTGGGGACGGATTGTCGCGGGTAAATGCTCCGTTGTTGGAGCTGGCTCATATGGTAAGCGAATGATGGCAATCATACGGGTCGGAAGTGGATTGCGTGCATGCGCCGTTTCATATGCGTCAATGCGGCCAAAGTTTCGTGGATATGCTGTTGAAGGGTCTGATATAATTATTGCGGGGTTTCTTCATTTGTGAGACTATTCAACAGAGCCCTGACTTTTGTGATTTTTTTCAAGAAAGTATTGGATGATGCACACTCTCTGCACTTAACATGTCAGATGTCGTTGATGCTAGCTTGCAGAAAGCTTGTCTATGTATCTAATTATCTGCGAGGCTGTGTTGAATTGATAGCCCTTAGGATGTTGAAGAAGGGTCGAGGTGCTGTTGGCCATTAAGCGCTCAATGTTGGTATTTTCTCTGAAAGGACCCCGATGGAAGATATTGAGGGATGTCTTCATGCATATAACTCGTGCTCATGCGTGGACTCTTGTATGTGGCTGCTGGTACTAGCATCATCAGAGCGTTGATAGGAAGCATTGCTCAACGTTTTGCTGGCTTTTTGGTCCGTGCAAATCATGGCACCATTCTCGCAATTACACTTGATTTCTTTCAGTCTCTTTACCATCATAGCGACAGTTCAAGCCGTTATACCCACATGCAGCGGTCTCTACGGCCAACCAACTCGCGAGAACTGCATATGGCTCGTCGGCGGCCTTGCAGTAGGCTGGCCCAATACTGACATCGCCGACTCAGATTTCTTCTATGCACTGCGAGACACTCCGAAGCCGGACGAGCTCACTGAAGCTGAGTACCGCAACTGGTTCGAAGTACCGAAGCTCGTTTCGCATGGTGCGTTTCCTCCCTACGCATCCCGTGCTCCTACGCCTCCGCCGGTACGGTCGAATATACTGATGCAGCAGGGGAGCGAGCAGGCAATTGTATTATGGGTCTGAGCTCCTTAATAACGGCTCAGGGCGTCACCTGGGATACGGGACTTCTTTCCGCCATGCAACCTGGGGGGACGCAGATCATTTCGACCTGCATGCTGCCTCAAAGTCCGATCCAAAGTGGGGGCCACATACAGGTTGGTAAGTTTGATATCGCCATCTATTGATCTCCATGATCAGCCCTGTGCCACCGCGTCTTGCTCGAGCAAACCGCTACCAATGGCGCAGCGAGGCGAAAGTGCTGCTGATGAGTGATTTAGGATCCAGAGAGAAGCTCATCCTCACCCTCTTCGCCCCAAACTCCCAAATGGACAAAGTCTCTAAGCAGATTTTGACCCTCAACGCAAATATCTGCGCCCTGCAAGCCTCCCAACTCGGCCTCGATGTCGGCGGCTATCAGGATTGCACCGCACCACCAGCCGACGACGCCTTCTACGACTTCCTTGAACAAAACCTCCTGGGCGGGGTCACTGAATATTCTGTTAATCCGCCAGGGACACCCGCGTCCACGCCGTCTCCGAAATGCGGAGAGCCTTGTTATGGCGAAATCAATCTCTGTAGTACGACGGACTGGTGTAAATGCCAAGCCGACGCATTTCAGGGCGTGGGAAGTGCAAGGTTTCAGGGGACCTGTAAATCGAGTTATTTCTCGTATTCATCGGGGCTGCATGGGAAGAGGGAGTTGTCGATGGGGCCGCCCAACTCGTCGGTCGTGGATGTGAGGGTTCATAGTGGTGAGCCTCCGCTGTCGGAGCACGATATTGCCAAAAGGATGGCTTTGCCGGTGGCGGCGGAGGCGTCGCTCGAGTTGGCTGTTTGTCCTTGTAATTGCACGTACGTGTCGATTGAGTGCTGCAAGTCTGAGAATAAGGGTATTGTTTATGAGGCAAAGGAAAAGAATCTGGGGGGTTTGGAGCCGCCTGCTGGCCAGTGCTGCGATCAAGCAACTGGGGCGTTTAAGACCGGCGCGAGGAATGGGACAGGACCATCGTGTGTTTGAGCTGGTCGTGAGATTTGATAGTGATTCGAATTCCCAATAATCTCTCTCTCATCTTGGTGGAGACGTCGCCCAGTAAGCCATGCGATATGAAGCTATCTATCCCATGTCCTTCCCAAACAATCAGGTTCTCGATACTTGCTTGTTGCGCACCATGGCATCTCATCAGCCGCATAAGGCACAAGAGGGAGATCGTACGGCATTCTCCAACCAATGTACCTCTTCTTGCGAGAATGCCCCATCTTCTCTGCTGTAGGGGTATTGGCATCCGCTACCGTATCTGAAACCCGATTGCCAGCTTGGGAATCCTTCTCCAAATGCTCCGCCAACTCTATTTCCCGAGCACTAGGACCATTGCCCAGAAAACACGGCACCATCTTGATCTCGTCATCGTCTTCATCTTTCCACAGATCAGGCCATACCACGACGCCAATCTCATAGCTACAAATCCTGACTTCACCGTTTGGGTTTGGCGCGGAGCCCCACGCTTGTGTGGAAAGGTTAGCGGAGGTTACCATTGCCCAATCTATGCTCGTACATGCTTCGGAGGTGAATCGGATGTATGTCTTGATGTGCGGCGCGGCAGGTCCACGTTTCGCGCGACGGGGAGCATTCTCGTTCGGGGTCGGCAAGGTGGAGGAGGCATGACTTGGTTGCGAAAGTGAAGGCTTCGAAGCTAGCCATTTGGCCATACCAGACGCTTGTACCTGCGAAGGCGCTTTGGCTCGGCTGGTCGTGCCGCGAGGTTTCAATGTTGAGAGCTGTCCTTTGACCGATGAGTTCGTTGTCGAGGCCCAATGGCATAGCATTGGCTTGAGGAAGTTAACTTGGGACATGTTGGCCGTGCTTTGCGTTTTCATGTGGATTGACGCCCCAGAATTATAGCCCCCAATGCAGGTTCGAATCTCGCTCGAAGTTGGAAAGATGATGGAGTGTTTAGCGTGCGTCTTATGCTGACCCACCGGACGCTTGATGGTGTTCAAAGATGTGAAGAATGTTCGTTGAAGCCAGGCTTGGCCTACAGAAGCGACTGAGGATATCTGACTTACAATGTGTGCACTGGACGCTGAACTATTCAAGGGCACAGTGTCGAGAATGCTTTTAAGACCAAGATGTCCCCATGCGGTGGATCTCTGCTCTTCGACGGTCATAAGATCCTGCTTGATCGGGACGCTCGCAACTAGTGCACCACGAACACCAGCGAAATCATAGCTCTGGAGCTGATCGTGGAGAGTGTTGAGTTTGGAGCCATAGTGCCGAATGTAAGATAAAAGATCGTATTGGAAGCGCAGACCTGAACCAACCGGGGCCATCATCGGGCACGGACTGGTCTCATCCAATGGTAACAATGGCGAACACCAAAAGGCTTGCGACATCCTCCAGTCCCTTTCGATGAAGTTCCCTGTCGTAATCACTACCCTGGCAAGACCATCATGGCGGAAGTAAATGATCATTTTGGAATGATGTGTGCCGAATGCTTCAGGCATATGGGCCTTGATATTCTCAATATTCGGGTAGCTACTCGCAGCTTTTGCTATTCCGATGCCATTCATATCGTCAGCTCTCCACGAGCCATGGATGATCTTTATTCTGACGGTGTGGCGCACGTCGGAATCAAATTGACTGAGAATGAAATCAACATCGAATAAGTAATTGAACAGCCAACACTCCTTGATCAGCGGATCTCCCAAAATATGTGCAAGCGTGATTGTATCTTGATTTCCGCTCATTGGGAGTTCAGAGATCATGTTGAGCTGCATTGGCGAAGGGATGGTGTTACAAAATGAAGTAGTTGGTATTGGATCTGGGTGTTTGATTTGCGGCGAGTCAATGTCTGGGGATGCAAGTTTGACCGTGTCATGACACGGCGTTCCACAGTCCATAGGTCTGTGCTCAATCGCATCTTCATCTGGCTCTGCATCTGTGCTAAGTCCCCTGTCGTCGGCTGTCAAGTCAACCAAGGCAAGCTTCCCAGAGGCAGCGGCTGGCTCGCTGCCTTGAGAAGTTAAGTCAATAACTGGGGGCTTCGACAACCGTTGCCTCTTGGGCGGAGGCGATATGGAGCTATGTCCCTCAGACATTCTTGATCTCCTTTCAATGATTGATGGCCCCGTCGAAGAATTACTGGGGAAATGCCGCTGTCATCTGTCAATGTCAGGCAGACGCGCAAATTTTGCGGCGGAAACGCGTCAGATTCAGGCCACCAGCCACAGCCGCGATGGCCGGGTAGCGGGGGTGGAAGACTGCTCAAGAAAGATCGAATCCATTCAAAGCGAAAACTCCTGACAAGAAAGCGACCCCTATAACGATTTCTTCGGATTCATTTCCCAGCAGTACGTCACCTCCTGCCTCCCAAGACCTCCCCTCCGCTCACAGCTCATTCATCAACACAATTCCCACTGCCCACAAAGACCAAGCGTTCTGTTTTCCCCTTACACATACGCCCAACGCCCTGATCGTTCGCCTCCATGCTCTCAGCCGCAGACCCAATCGTAACCGCAAACCTCAACAATGGCGCCCGTTCTCCCTCCCCCTTCTTCTCATCCTCATACGCATACCCCTTCAAGGCAATCGCTCCATACCTCTCCATCTGGCTCACTATAAATCCCAAATAAGGCGCTGCGTCCTTCGGCTCACTGAGTCCACCTTCGTTGATGAACATCAAGGACACTTGGTGGTCGAGGGGATGGTTGGGCATGATGGCGTCGTATTGATACCAAGGGGCCTGCTGGGTGAGCAGTTTTGCTTGCCAGATGTGGGTCGTGGAAAGAATCCAGGCAGCTTCCGGGCTGTTAGCATGGAGGCCATAGTCGTTGAAGACGTAGAAATGGTTCTGGGCGTCAGTGACGGTGAAGCCGCGGCGGGTGTAGGGGGGCCACGTGAGAAGTGTTGGGAGAGAGGGTGGCACGAGGCTTTGTGACGGCAGCGAGGGGAGACAGAATATAGGAGTGGGTAAGAAAGGGAATAAGACGATGGTGATTAGTGTAAGGAAAAGGGGGGTTGAGGGGTTGCAAGGCATTGTGTGCGATGGAGAGACGAGTCACGAGAGAAGATGACAGCGGCGTCTTGTGATTTTCGGGTTCTATCAGAACGTGGATCTTTTAAATGATTCACAGCGCCGAGAATCTTCATCCCGTCCCTGAGCTTCTTGTCTTGGTGGAGATGTCTCATCCTTCGGCTTGGCTTGCGCATATTGATAGATTCTCAGCGTGAGACGGAGACCCTGTGCGCAGAGGCTACGGAATAACGACGTTCTTTGATTCGGCCAAAAATGTCATTCATACCGTTTGTAGATAGAGGCTAGATTTGTATTTCTGGAGCGGGGACCTCAGGTGATGATGTGGCTTTGATACATTTGAGTCCGTGGGCTTGACAGCCGATGCGCAAACGACCGGAAAGGAGTGAACGCTGATGGACCTGGGTAGAACAGCAAAGATTTCTTGAAATTTATCGAATATAGAAACGATTTGAGCGGCAGTGATCAATGTGGAAGCGTGGTGTTGATGACTTCGCTTTCCGAGTATGTAGTCTTGAGTCCACTGACAGATCCTCAGATTTATGTTCAATGCCAGGAGATGGCTTTTAGAGTGGCTATATCATCAACTCCCAACAGTAGCTAATTACATCCTTTCAGAATTGATTGCCAGGCGTGACCAAAAAGTCCCTGATAACGCTGTGACGACTTTAAGCATAATTACACCTAGATGATCTTCGCCCGCCGTAGTTCTTAGCCCTACCAAGATCCCGCCGAAAGTCACTCGTCATCTGCCCCGCCGTGCGTCTGTTTCTCTACAAAGTGCCTCTACTTTCATTCTCCATTTCATCTTCCTTCAAAACGCATCGAACCAACATCATCTGACCCTATAGTCCTCCAGAGCTCTCGATATTCCTCGTAACTTTCTCTCAACCGCCCTTCAATTATGGTCGCTCAAACCCCCGCTTTCAAGAAAGCAATCGACGACAGTCGGAACTTGAAGTCGAAGCCTACAGACGATGACCTGCTCGAGGTACGCTCTCCTAGCCTCTCTGCCTCCTTCTCGCACGTCAAGATTTTCAAGAGATGAATTGGACCATACACACTTCCCTCTCTTCCCCCTTGGTTCACACACAGTACTGCCGCAGGCACGATTGCAGAGTGGCCCATTGAATGAACATCACGAAGATAAACGACATATACTGAATGTTGGGAACACACGTGCTAATCCACCTTTCTCGTAGCTCTACGCCCTGTTCAAAGTCGGCACAGGCGAAGACCACGCCAGCGCCGCAAAGCCCGGCATGTTCGATCTGAAGGTACGGAACCCCCTCCCCCTCTCCCCCCACCACCTTTTCCAACCATCTCCTCCTTCCTCAAGAAAAAACTGATAATGGGAATGTAGGGCAAAGCAAAATACAATGCCTGGACCAAAGTAGTGGATCAAGATAAGCTGAGCTCCAGCCAGGCACAGACGAACTATGTGCAGAAAGTTGAGAGCTTGAAGAAGGTGCATGGATTTTAGGGCTGAGAATATGCTGAAAGAGCTGAGGAGCGGCTGGGTTGGGAGTAAATTTCCGTGTTTACATATTAGGGTAGGAGGTAGATATGGGAGGCTGGCTGAGTGATATATTCGGGTGGTGAAATTGGAGGTTCCTATAGTCAATTGAATGAGGCGATCATCCTGTGTTCCCTTGTGCTCGCATCATCCCCTTCGACTGCAATGCTAGGCAAGAAGTAAGATCCATTTGGGTATCAGGTCATGTCTCGTTATCCTGCAAGCATGGCACGCTCTCGTCATGCATACACAGCGCCCACGCTATGCAACGCATCGGATCATCTCTATCTCTTCCAGTGCTTCATAGCACCATCATTACCAGTCAACCGCCCATCCATTGTTCTCCAAGAACTCGTCACTCGCAGCCTTCAATGCCCGATTAGGCCTCACGTCCGCCCATCTTAGAGGCTCAGCAGTTAAAGGATCTTTCTCACTTCTCTTCAAATGCTCCACCAGCGTCGACCGATCATACGAGACGCCCGTCTTCGTAATCACCGGATCGTGCATGATACTGAACGTGACATTATCGATCAAATAATCTGGAACTTCCTGTGCACACCTCACACCGTCAGCCACCATCCCCACAAAGCCTACGCACCCCACCCCAATGAAAAATCACATACCCTCCTCGCCAGATTTCCCGGATCCGCCACCGCGAACACACTCCTCACCTCCTCCACCTTCGCCCACCACACCCTCTTCACCTCCTCCGCTTCCTCCGCTCTCTCCACCTCTCCGACCCCCTCTCTCTGCTCCAACACCTCCAGATTCCCTTCCATGCCCCTCACCAACCCCTCTTCCAACTCCCGCAACAACGCTGACCGTCCCCTTATCCTCGCTCTTTCCCTGTACTCCCATTTCGCCTTCTTGCACGCCAGCACCAGATTACTCACATTCTGCGTGCTTTTGTCGTGGGATGCGATGCAAAAGTCGTAGGCGGTCAGGGCGGAGGAGAGCGCTTCGTTCGGGTGGTGTAAAGCGAGTTGGGCTTGGGAGAGGTAGTAGTAGGCTTTTAAGGAAGAGGAGTCAAGGGAAATGGTGTGGAGACAGTCGGAGATTACGGGCTCGTAGAGGGAGAGTTTTAGGCGGGTCATGGCCCGGTTTGTGAAGAGGCGGGGTTGGGTGGGGTCTCTTTGGATGCTGTGGATGGGTGTGTGAGCGTGCTTTTGACAAGTGGTGATAGTAGTAGAAAGAATAGTAGGATGGTTCGTGGAGAGTATGGCTCGTGACGTACGCTTGGGTGTAGCATGCTTCTGCTTCTTTGAACTTGCCATTCTGGAAGTAGCTGGGTGGACAATGTCAGCTGAGGTGGTATTTGTGAATTGTAGGGTCACGGACAGATTGCCTTCCTCTTTGAGCGCTAGGGCTTTGTGTGCCATTATCTAGGATCGATCGTAGGATATTCAAGGGGGAATTAGAGGAGATGTAGCACCAGGTAGTAGAAATTCCATTACGATAATGGGCATTGAATGAGAAGGCTGAGTAATGCCACCAATTCACAAGACTCTAATCGGTGATATCGGACTCAGGCACGGAGCTAACCCTTTTAAAATTAGCGTATAGTCTATCAATCCTCCATGCCAAGACATGATCAAATCTTGCGATGGACGAATTGCGCTCGAGCGAACCGTCGCAGTGCCTATGTCCTGACGGAGACCATGCTGTCTCTATTATATGTCTCGAATGTTTGATCTGTCCTTACCGCAAGAATGATATCCCTCCGCTCTCGTTACATCCTAATACCTCTTCTCCTATCCATTGCAACCCTCGGTCTCCTCTCCCTGCGACTGGGGAATCCCCTCTCTTCTTCTCCACCTCCTCCTCCTCCTCCACCAGCAGATGAGAAGCCACCTATAAGATACAAACCCAAGGCTTCGCCACCCCCGCCTCCGCTTCCTGAGTACTTTCCTCTCGCGGCCTCCGCCTCCTCACACGCAGACATCCCTCCAGTCCCCTCATGGAACAAGCCCCCCTCCCCACATGTGCCGGAGCACACGCGCCTCTTCATCGGCTTCACACGCTTCTGGCCGCTCCTACAACAAGCAGTTGTGGCCTACATAGCCGCTGGCTGGCCACCAGAAGATGTTTACGTCATTGAAAACACCGGCACATTCGACTCCAACAAAAAAGGCCTCCTCACCTCCCAAAACCCTTTCTACCTCGACCACAAGCGCCTTACAGATACCTTTGGCGTTAATGTCATCACAATGCCTAGCCTTCAGACATTCGCTCAATTGCAGAACTTCTACCTCAGCGAAGCCCTCAACCACAATCTGAGCTACTACTTCTGGGGCCACATGGATGTCGTGCCCCTTTCGCACGAAGACATGCCTGGCGAATATAAATCATTATACCAACTTGCTGTTGAGAAGATAAGGGAGTGTACTGCAGAAGACTACCAGAAAGACCCAGCGACAGGCGAAAAGGCACCATGGGCAATACAATTCTTCGCCTACGACTGGCTGGCGCTTGTAAACGCGGAGAGCTTCGCCAAGATTGGAGGCTGGGACTCGATGGTCGGCTACTATGGTACAGACTGCGATATGCACGGGCGGATAGGGATGAACGGAATGACGATGCCGGTCGCTGATGCGGGTGATGTGTTTGATGTGGATACGAGTATGGATGATCTAGAGCTCTTATTTCGGAGGAAGAAGAAGAGGGTTCCTTCCTCAGTGAAGAGAGCAAAAGAGGAGGACGCACAAGCTAAGGACGATGCAAAGGGCAGCGCTGGCAGTGGTTCCGGCAGTGGTTCGGTCGATGGTTCTGGCAGTCATGCCGAGAGTGAATCCTCGAATAGCACCAGCAGCAAAGCTAGTAGCGGATCCAGCAAAAGCTCCGCCGATGACGCAGAGAGCAGTGACCCGAGTAGTAGCTCAAAGACCAGCCCTCCATTTGAAGGCGCCATGACTCATGGCGCAAACTCCAAAAGCGACAAACCCTTCACCAAGGAGATCAAAGCCTACCTGGAGGAGACCGAAGAAGATGAGCGAGGAGGACCCGGTTTCGTGGCGCTGAAAGAGAAGCTACAATCAATGCAAAAGGACAAACAAACGTCACCGGAGCGGAACAGTTGGCAGAAAAAGCAGCGGGGCGGGGAGGGAGAGCCCTTCTACTATGACCCTGATGGGTGGGAGAAGGCACTGCAGATGACGATTGAGGCTGGATTGAAGATTAATGAGGAGAAATGGGGACATAGAGGGTGTGATCTGAGAGCTGCGGGGTTTAAGGAGGGGGATCAGTGGAAGGTGGAGCATGATTGGTAGGTGATGACAACGTCCTTTGAGCATTTGAAGAACCGGTTCAAAGGTTGCTGACTTTTGCTACAGGGAGTAATGATTTTGGCAACGGCTGTGTACATGATGTATAATATATATAACCTAGTTACTTGGAATCCGAAGAATAAGAAGAGCGTTCAGATAAGCATGTGAGGGTACCTATCCGACGTCCTTCGCGTCATACTGTTTATGGGTTCATAGAGAGCTTTGAAAAAAGTTCTATTGATCATTGGAGCGACTCAATGAACGGAAACACATGCAATTCGAGACGGATCTTTCCACGAGACTTTTAAGGCCAGCTCTGTGAATTCAAACCCCCAAATTTCGAACGAAGCTCATCGAGAGGTATCGAAATGCTGGATGCTGAGGAAGACTTAGTGAGTATCTTGCAATCAACGTCTCGTATCTCACTGTGGCTGACGAGCGTATCATCATTCTGTGGCGATAGTCTGTGATTCGTTGCCAAACCACCCGATTTTGCACCAAAAGCGCTACTCCGCCTTCCTTCTCTTTCTCTTGAAATGTTTATAACTTCCATGGATTCTCCAAGTTCTTCTATACTCATCACCTTCACAAATATCCGGCTTCTCACACAGAAGACAACCACCCCAGCATTACCTGACGCCGCGGAAACTCTCATACCTCACATCAACCATAACACCCAAAGACCATGACATTAATCCAACTCCTCAGCTACCTCATCATTACTCTTGTAACACTCTTCTGCATCCAAAGCCTCTTCGTCCTCAGGGAGCCACCAGCCAAACCCAGGACCCCAATCCAGCGAACCACCCACTTCCTCACCCTTATAACGATGTTCTCGCTCCTTATCTCAATGGCTCTGAACCCCGTCGTCCTCAGTATCTTCGGGTTCACGCCCTGTATGCTACGCGCCAGCCTTGGAATCACTTCTGCCGATGTGGTGGACATGGCTCTCACGTTTGCGGTGGCTGCTTCCTTATCTTCATGTTGTCAAGATGGTGAAAGGCATGGCGGTAATGGCGAGGTTAGGTGATGGGTGGGTACGGGGGGGGGGGAGTAGGGAGGTAGGGGGGTATGAATCTGTTGGAGGAAAGGAGAGGGGGTGAGTTTGATGGTTAACATGTGGACTATTTGGAGGCTTTGGGTTTCGAGATGGGTTTTTAGGGATGGTGTTTTGGGGTGGACTAGAACGGGATGGTGAGTTGGTGGAAGTCTGATAGAGGACGGGGCTTTCATAGACTGTTGCTTGTTCAGATTTTTGGGCTGGTGAGTCACGGTGTTTCATTGTGTTGATATCATCTTTGTTCTCGCAAGCGAGACAATGAGTCTGATCTATAATTCTGCTTGTTTACTTCCTCTTGCGACCCTTTTCGGTGCCTCACAGACTTTTCAGTCACCGGTGTTATGCTTCTCAACCATCTTTCTACTCCAAGCACCCTGATACATTACCACCCATGAAGATCCCCGGCATAATGAAAAGTCAGAAACCTTGACCCTCCTTCCTTTCACTCTTTCTCACTTTCACTTCTCTCCCACCCTCCTCAAGTCTACAACTCGTCAGGAATCCGTATCATCCCCTTTGAATACCCTGCAACCAAAGAGCACAGCCAGTAGACAAACCACCCCACAACTAACCAAGACGCCACGACCTGAACCATTGGCCTAGCCCACAAGCGTTGCTGCCATCTCCAGAGCAGGCGTGCCAGCTTTGTCGCCACCACGAGTACAAAGATCACGAAGCGTAGCACCACACACAGTGCGAGTACGTAGGCAGCTGTGAGGGATGTCATGCCTAGGCGCGCGCTGAGAGCTGCTTGCGAGGTGTCAAGAGAGGCAAGGCATGTGCTTCGTACTTTGAGTAGGAGGTTCAGTCCGAGCATGATATCTTCTGAAGGGGCGAGAAAGACCATTACGAAAAAGGATGTGGCCGCTACAATGGTGATGAATCTCTCGAGAACCGCTATGATATTCATGATTGTGATGCTGTACGCAGTGTTGAAAGAGGGCTGCTGTACTGGCAAGGCGATACACCCTGGTGGCTTCTGATGTCCTCGCTGCTGGATTATACGGTGAGGCAAGGAGATAGTTGTTGTTGAGACGATGCTGTGAGAGTTAAATTGTCTGGTCGCGATCTCGCAGGCTTTGTTTATGACAACAAACCGCCGTCAGCGCAGGAGGCAAAACACGTGTTGTTTGTTTGTTTGTGGCAAACAGGACACGCTGTTCCCACACAGTGTATGCACACTTGGAATACACGTAGGTATAAATAGGCGTCCTGACCTCAAAAAACTTTTCTCTCTTTAACGCATCTTTTTCCCATCACAAACCCACATAGTCAACAGCAATCCCATACCTTTTCAGCCGAAGTCCAACAATCAGTCCTGAGAACATTTCACCAAAGACCAAACTTTTCACAGTAAGTGCTGGAAACAGTTGATTTTCCATAGCCACCTAATATTCACCTCGCTGACCAGAAATTGTACCTCAATAGCCGGGACCACACGATAGATTATTAGCATACACATCACGACGACAATGACAAGACTCAGCTCATTTTTCGCCGTGCTTACAGCACTCACATTCGTCTCCTTCCTGTTCTTCCTCCTCCTGGTCCCATCCCGAGACCTGAAGATCCTCTTCCTAGTCCGACCCGAAGGCCTCGAGGAGCAGCTCAACGCCTTCCTCCTTACCCGCACCAAGTTCCTGACAGCACTGGGCCTCAGTCGCAAGATAACGAGAGCAAGACTCGGCATGACCGAAGAAGGCACTATAGACGCTTTCTTAGTATCCTTCTTATTACTATCTGTTATCGGTCTTTTCGGGTTCATGGTCAAGGTAATTCAAGGGGTGCTTCATATACTGAAATGGGGTTGGAAGGTTGTGAGACGCCATCTAGAGGTTGAGGGAGGAGTCGGTATTGTATTCGGTATGGTAGGGTTGCTTGTTGCGGTAGGATACTTGTACTTGGCGGTGAGAGGAAACGAACGGGAGGTGAAGAAACCACGCGGGCTGCGAGTTGGGGGAGTGTGAGGGTAAATTGGTGATCATGGCAGTGTGTCTTTAGGGATGGAGTTTGGGATAGAAGTAGAACGGGATGGTGGCTTAAAGTAATTTTAATATGGGACGGAGATTTTATAGACTGTTGTGTACATGAACTCTTAGGTTGGCGAGTGAAAGTGTCTTGCCACGTTCTTTATTCTCGGGCTTCTGGTCTGGTGAATGGGCCTCTTCCATGGGTATGCTTTTGCCTGTATACACGGAGCGCGAACTAATACATTTCATAGATGCCAGTAGACGGGCTCAAGCCACCGTCTACATTAGGTGCTACTTCTCTAAGCCTGGGCTCGATGTGTTTGCAGCTGCCATCGTGTTCGCCAAAATTTTGTGTATTCCATTGACATTCTTCCATGTTCTTACCCCAATACACATCAGAAATCTATCATGACCACTAGAAATATGTGCGTCGCAATTCCACGTAAGAAGAGGTGTCATGTAAGCTAGGGTTACACCTCATAATACCTACCACCCTTTTCTTTGCGTCCCCTTTGCTGGATGGGAACTTTACGGGCACGATCTATAAGTTCCTCATTAAATGACTCTGCTAGCAGACTGTTAGACGCGCATGAATACTTGTCGGCTTGGGAGGTACCAATTCTCCTGAAATGTTTGACGTTCTTCCGCTACGCTTCCAATTTCCTACGTAGGGTTCCCCTTTTTCTTGCTTTCTTCTTTTATCATATCTTTACTCTACGAGAATCTTCAGTATATCATCAACATCAACAATCTGTATGTCGCATCGCGCCTTGGCAGTTTTACTTCCTCTTAGGGTGGCAAACACCAATCATCTGCCTGTGTCCACAACACGCTATCCCTATGTGAACTATACACACAATGTCTGGCCTTTTCGTTGCAAAGAACGACCTTTCATTTGGCAGTCTGTTGACCTTATCTGAACCATACAATGACTCAGGCATAGTAAAGGACACTCAAACCCTGTGGTCATGCAGCACGATATCTCTATGCTGGGCTTGACAGCGGACATTGGTGATGTAACAGACTCGAAGGTATTCAACCAACAACAGCAGCCTTCAACAATCTACAATATCTCCCAAGATTCAGTAACCGTCTTAATAACCCAATTCGGCTCACGCTGATACGCATTTAACGGCCTCGGCGTCTCCCCCATCCCCAGTACAACCTTCTCCAACCCCTCCTTTCCCTCCCCCCTACTACCTCCACTCCCTCCCCTCCGATCACTCCCAAAAAACCTCTCACCAATCCACCCAAGCCACAGCCTCTGCGACGCATAAAGCACAGCATCATGACCCAACCCTTTAAAAACCACAAACTTGACCTCCGCCCCAGGACTCAACCTAACCATCTCCTCCACCGCCCTCGCCGTCGTCTCCACTTGAATAACAGGATCCTCCTCTCCCTGCACAATAAGCATCGGCCCCCTAACCTCCCGTGCCCCGACTTTCGTCTCCCGCACAAACCTCTTCAACGTCTCATTCTCCCTCCAGCCCTCCCTCAGCATACCGGGCCCTTTCAACAACTCCACCAACACAGCGATGAAAACCCCATGGTCCAATTCCAACTCTAACCTTCTCCAGCCTTCTTCCGTGAAGATCTCTTTTCGCGCGCTGAACCCCTCCCCCGTTCTCTCCTTACCATAAACCATCTCCGCCGTGCGCGCAGCATACATCGCCACGATCTCATTCCTCCTGTCTCCACGTTCTTCGTAATCAAGACAATCCGTCAACGGCGCGATGGGGATTGCCCCCAAATACCCCTCCATTGCCTCCTCCTCTTCTCCCGCTCTTGCCATCCACTCCGCAACCGCCCACGCCACACCTCCTCCCTGCGAATGTCCCACCACAACCCACTGCTTCCCCAACACCGGAAACGCCGCGCGTGCAGCTTGGACCGCGTAGACCACATCGGCCGCCTGCGCGGCACTCGCGCCGTATGGATGGCATATCTCCTCCTTTCCGTCCGCGCTTCTCCCAACCCCCAACCCCGCATAATCAGCCCCAACGACCACATAGCCCGCCAGCGCGAGCGGATACGGCGCCATGAAATGCTGCGTGAGATGTTTAGCGTTGGAGGGCGCGCCGGGGGCGTGCGAGCCGGATGTGCCGTGCGCCCAGGCTACGAGGGGAAGGTGGCCGTTGGGGAGGGTGAGGGGGTCGTAGGGCCAGAGTATGAATGCGGAGGCGGGGATGGGGGTGGGAGATGGGGAGGAAAGGGGGAGGGTTTGGTAGATGAAGCGCGAGAGGGCTGTTCCGGGCGGGACGGAGTAGTGCGTCGTGTTAGTTGTGGACTCGAGTTTGAGGAGTGTGCCGGGTGGGGCAGGTGGGGAGGTCGGGGGAGGTGGCGTGTAGAAAGGGTCGGAGGGGTTGGCAATTTGGGTTTTCTCGTAGGCGAGGGCGAGGGAGGCGGTGGCTGGGAGGGGGGATTGGGTTGGTGGTTGTGGTGTCATGATGGACGCGGTGAATGATGCTGAGGTGTTGGCTTAATGGCTTGGTGATGGGTGGGAACAGTGTGGGGTGAGATGGTCAGATTAGTCCCTCCGGAAGGATTGTGCAGACATTCCTTCGCTTGCCATGACGTCATATATTTTCACGCAATGTATGCTGATTAGAGGGAGTAGAGGTTCAAGGTGTGGTACGTAGTTGAGAAGATAGGAAAAGTAGAGGAATATCCTGTATGACTTTCTTATATCGTCGACGCTGAGCACTGTCAGGCGTTCATGAATGAGGTTTGATAATTGCATGGAGACTGGAAGAAATGAGTATCAGCAGGTAATGGCTTGAAGAGCACCCGCTGATTTACGCTCAGGCTATGCTTGAATCCCAAATCCCTGTACTACTACGTCGGCGTGTCAGCCGGTAGATCACCACCTCCAGGAATGATGGTATTAATGTCAAAAACGTCCAATGATCCTGCTACCGCATTCTCGGCTTGTTCTCCGTCCTCGTCTGTCTCGTCGATATTGTAATCTAAAACACCTGCGTCGAGAAGCCTGCGCAGATCCGTATGATCGTTCGGATCTACCTGGGGCCAATAGATACACCCTGCCTTGAGAGCTAAACATTATCAGACCTTGTCTATCCAAACGAGTTATCGTCTTCAGGGCTTCACTCACCAGTGGCATAGTATGCAAAGTTCTGAGCATTCCTGATCTGATCATCTGGGTGCAAGTCTGCTGTGTCTTGGATGAAGTAATTCTCCCTCTCCCCAGGCGAAGGATTGATGCCGTGAGCGTGGGCCAATTCGTGAACAATGATAGCGAGCTGGTTCTTTGCCAAAACTATATCATTTGGATACAATTTGTTACCTTGAATTGTTGGACAGTCTCCCCTGAGCCGCGGAAAACGTGGAAATTGGAAAAAATTTGGACACAACAGAATATTGAACGTGTGAGGTCCATGGACGTGTGCTGCCGGCGTATTGGAATTGAGCTCGCAAAGATGTCGATACGTATCCTTCAGCTGATCGCCTGGACTGTCATAGCGAAGACAGTAAATTCGAAACGTATCCGAATTTACGTTGTCGTTATCTTGCACTTCGAGCATTCGACCGAAGACGTTGCCGACTTGTTGCGAGAGGCTTGTACCTTTGAAGAAAGTAAGAAAAGCATCGCGCTGCTGTGTTGCAGTCCGCGATTTTTGTACGTCGTCTATCACTTTACTTTCCACCCAATCCAGAGCGTCTTGGAACGCGCTCTGGACCTGGGAGGTTTTATCACCGCAGAAGTTGATGGGATAGCCGTAAACGGAAGGTAGTTGTTGGCCTTGAATCGTTTGGAGTTGAGCTATGACAAAGTAACAGATGGTGAGGACCTGTTGAGCACTCAACCCTAGAATTGTCATGGTAATCAGCTTCAACAGTCAAGAAGAGCTATTGACAAAAGAATTGCATATTACTCGGTGCTTTGCCGGGTATGCTAGGTTTATATATGTCATCTATAGGTCTTTACATGGTCCTTGGAAGGGGATCAGTGAGCGCGTAATCTTCAAAACAGATGCATGTCTCATTCTTGCCGTGAACGAAGTTTGACACACGGAACGGGTGTCATGAATAGATTGTTCATATAAGCGCTCCTTTAGCCAAGTTGAAATTGATCGGTGCTCTGGAAGATGATTGCTAAGCTCTTTAGAGAGGTTCTAGCCTGTTGCTGAACAAGGTTCGCTCAATTCAGCATGCCGTCTCATGACTGTTTATAGAAATTATCAGACAGGCTTCACATGGCACGTATTCACGAAAGTTTTTGAGCTCATCACTTCAAGCGCACATCTCTGGTCGGAGAGCATGTGGAGAGCATCGTTACGAACTTGGCTCTGCCTGATCCGAAGGTATAGATTCATTCAGGGGAAAGCACCTTACAAATTCGAAAGCAACAGTCACTACGTCGCACTTGCTTCCAAGTATCATCACTGATCGCGTACGATGACTGCAGTTGATTTCAGCGTCTGTCATATCTGAATCTTCGACCTGACGCTTGACGTTGACGTGCAATATTGAGATTTCGATGCCAGGCATGGCAACGAAGCTTTCAATGTTCGTGACTCGGTGACATTGTTGATCATGATAGGCGCATATCTATTCGATAATGGCCAAACGGTCGTGCAAGCTAGGTGATGTCCCAAGCCAATTTCAGACTTCAAAGTTTCGCGAAGTTCAGTCTCGAAGTGCTGTAATAACCTGGGAGGATGATAAAGACTGAGTCAATGTTTTGAAAAGGGTCCTAGATTTTAAAGATCTTTTCCCCCACTGTCTTAAGGATGTCTCACTCTGGATCGTGAGAATCAACGCTCTACGACTCAAGGCTGAACAATTAATTTGTGGTGTCTTCCGAAAGACAAATCTAGCTCTTCGGGATTTATACTAGAACAGTGTTAATGTCGTCGACGTCTCAATCTTGCAATTGCCTCAGTCTGATCCGAATTGCCATGGATCGGGCATGACGTCGTTCACCTCCTTCGCAAGAAATATTAAGCGCAAAATGACCAGCTCATAGAGCGTCGGCATGGAGAGAACCTCGACAGTGGAGGAAGAGTACTGATGCCACAGGGAGAAGTACAGTCATTTCGCGGTCGAAAACGTCGCTCTTCTCGATCCTCGGCATGATGCCTAAGATGGGTTTTCATTGCTCAACCTAGGAGCTAGACGTTGCTTGGGTGGCAATTTTTGTCATCAATGTATGATGGCCGTCAAGTGTCGACACTCGCGGGAAATTAGCTCCTTCTCTCTTTCTTCGCCACAGAAATTTTCCTTCTCCGCTTTCGTCCACCTTTCGACAACTATCTCCCGCGAGACACTTCCACACAGAGCTCTAAAATTCAATCATTGTGAGTTCTCAGCCTCGACAGTCATTTGTGTTAACATTCACCAGTGATCTCAAGATGCCCGCCCAAGGAGCATGCAACGCGCAAGGACATTGCGAAGAGCGCGATCCACCAGAAGGCTGGCCAGCCTGTGACTACTGTCTCTTCGCACACCATCCTGAAGACGACTGTTGGGACCCCTGTGGTCATTGTGGACAGTGGCACCATCCTTCCGCCGATTGCCCGCCCATCCCTTTGACCACCAAGAATGTCACGATACAGCACTTCTACGCTAATTCTTCCCCTTCATTTTTCCCTTCACCCCACATTCCGCATGAGACCTCCCTAGGCCATGGTAATTATCATGGCCATCATCAACTTCCACCAGCACCCGCTCAAACAGGCTACAACGCCGACACGTCTGGCCCTCAAGCTGCTGCTCCAGCGACTGCAGCCGAAGCCATCCACCAAGTCACATCAGCCATTCGGAAAGCTATAGCAGATGAGCAGTCGGCATCCCGCGGAGACAAAAAGAAAGAAGTGAAGAAGAAGGCGAAGAAGGACAAGAAAGAGAAGAAGCACAAGAAGGAGAAATCAGGATCCGCGCACTCAGCCGGTGTTAAGAAGGCTAAGAAACAGCGCAAGAGGGAGGCTGGAGAGGTGAAAGTGGTAGCAGGAGGGCAAATGATCATTCGGAAGCTGACGGCATCAGAATTGGAGATGAAAAAAAGAGGAATTGCTCTCCCAGATGCGAGTTTGAGTACTGAGGACCGTGATGAGGAGGCTGGGGTTGTACGGCGCTATGCAAGGATCGAGAGTGATGGGGAAGAGGGGGAGAAAGAGGATTATGCTGCGGGCGAGAGCTAGGAGGGGTGCGCCTTCGAGATATATAAGTAGTCGTGGTCGATTTGTGATGGATTGTACCGAAGGGGTGGGTGGCTGAATGAGGGTATGTAAGGGCTTGAGAAGGTGAACTTCAGATCGAATTATGGCTTAATCTTGTAGTTTCTTCAATCTGTACTTATAAGGTGAGACTGAGACCTTTATCCTAGAAATTCAAAGCATGAGCTCGTCATCTACCGTGCTCTTCACACCCATGCGATTGCAGATCCTGCTATATTCTTGTCATGCACGCGATATTACGCCATTCGAGTCCGCATGTAAAATGCATATGATACCATCTCCCCCCAACCTCCTCGAACAATAACGACTAGCGAATCATGGGCGGGGACAACAAGCACAATGCTCAAAGTGCCGAACGCTAGTACCTGCTTCTCGAAGGCATCACCTCGTATAAGGATTATCATTCCACTCCGCGTGATCCGCCTCCGCCTTCTCGACCCATCCATACTGACGCCCCACACAAAACATCATGTCCCAAAGCGCGTCCGCAGACAACGGCTCCGGGACCAGACGATGCGCAACGGTTTTGTAATCCATCGCTCTTGCACCCCTCTCACTCTCCGTGCATGCGCACAACCACTTAAACCCATTGACTTCAATTTCTCGGAAATGCGCACTCTCCATAGCGATGCCTATGCTCTTCTGGACGAGTAAGTTGATGCCTTGCTCAATGGCGGCGCCGGGTAGGAGGTTTGATTGTGATGCGAATGCGCTGAATTCTGCTTCGGTGATGGTGTGAGGGAGTGCGTAAAGTTTGAGCTTGAAGATTGCAAGGCGGTCGTCCTCGGACGGGAGGGGGATGTGGATGTGGGTTTTGAAAAGATGCCGAGAGGCTCGGTCTAATGCCCATGGCCGGTTGGTTGTTCCAACGATGGTCACGCCGGGGTATCGAGTTAATGTGGATAATTCGCTGATCGTATCTGCTGGCCCGTTGTTGCTGTGGAAGAAGGTCTCGACTTCGTCTAGGATTATGACTGAGGGTGCATTCTCTTGGGCGATTGCTAATAGCGCGTGAATGATCTGTTTGGTAGAACTCTGGCCATCGACATCACAGCTTCTTACCAAATAAACTGATGATTCTTTGCTTTCTTTTGCGATCGACATGGCAAGCGTTGTCTTGCCCGTGCCCGATATGCCATGTAAGAGGATGGATCTTGGAAAGTAGCGGGCAAGATGAGGTGCAACTGATGGGACGCTGGTGCTGCTCAGTAACATTCGTCTGGCTTCAATACATCCTACGATCATATCAACGTCTTTCATCGAGTCTGGATCGATTTTGAAATCTTCAATGATCTTTCTGTGAGCTGTTGTGATGTCTGCATGGGGGGACTTTTCTTTCTGGCCTGTCTTGCTTTGGGTTCGGACGACGTCTTTAGATGCTGGAGCGACGTGCATATGAGTTGGGACAACCGCTAGATGAGATGGAGCGGCGACAGAATTGGCCGGAGCGAGGGTTTTATGATCAACTGGCGGATTCGACCTTTCCATGTCAGGATATTCCTGACAGCCAATGAGAACAACAAAACCTACTTCGGCTTTCCTGAGTTTTTAGGCATAGCTGCCAGCTGCTCGAACACTTGAAAATGGCTTCGATGTGGCTTTCGTACTTCGTTCAAGTATCCGCTTCGGTCTGCCTCGAGGTGTAAAAGCATGATGTTGTCAAAAACGACTTCTTTTACAAATTTATAGAGATTCAAATTCTTGTCAGGCCCCACGAATTTCAGGAACTTCTCAAATTCGGCCAAAGTGTGCTCGATTTCCGATTTCGAGCCAGATTTTGCGTTAATTACGGCTGGACGATTGCTGCGAAGAGCTTCCACGCATCGGCTTCGACACTACTTCACGTCAGTATCAAGCGTCTCCATAGCCATCAGCAGATTTACCTCCATCCATGTCTGGTGCATTTTACGAACGGCCCCATCTTTGGCTCTTTGAGTGAAAAGAAAGAGTAGATTCTCTTGATGCCTGATCTTCGAATACACTGGTGTGTGGCTCAACAGCGCGTCGGGCGTAACGTGAGAGAGATCGGGACCCGTCGCAGAGGACACGGCGTTACTGTGTACAAGGTCAGCTTCACTAGACTTTCGCAGAAGTCCTGCGCAGAATTACGATGTCATTGATCTTGTCGTCATATTACTGGAACGTAATTGTGGCATCACTGTTTTTTCCTCGTCGCTGCGCTTCTCTTGTGCTTCCCGCTCACGCTGTTTACGGCGTCGACTACCCCCTGGCATGTTGGCTTGAGTAGACTAAAGAGCTGTGTGGTGGAAAATGTTAAAGTAGAATGTTTGCCGCAGGTTATTGCGGCTGCCTGCTCTCGGTAACATTCCGTTTTGCCACCACGGTGTGGTGATAGTGAATACCCCTCCTCCCAGTGAAGTAAACTGGATTTCTAATTAATCTGCCCTACTTGTTCGTCACCGAAAGGCTTGTTGAGGCCTCATAGAAATGCTTGCAATTGAACAAATTCATCAATATATACGCTTTTGATTGCCTCATTTGAATGGCGACAAGACATTTTGGGGAATTGCCCCATGAAAGTACGTACACTGACTGATTGACTGCAAATAAAAACACAGTGAGACCTTGTCTTTCATGCCTGAAGGGCCGTCACCAGCACTGCAAGATGCTGGGTAGTTCGAAGGAACTACTGCCGCATTCACTACTGTCATTATAGAATATGCTCACGGCCTTTCAAGACCGCTCTTGCCACAGACACGGCTCTGCACTGGTATCCTCCCACCTTCCCCGTACTGTCTCCATTGACATCAATCGGACCATTACAAAACCAATACACGCACACACCCCGACCGCCGCTAAGAGAAGTTTCTAAATGTCTTCAAGCTCTCCCAAGCGTCCGACTTTTCAGGATCTCCTTCATTTCGCTGAGACTCAATGCAGCATGGTATCTACTCTCTTTGGATTTGGGCAAGTAATTGCATGGATTTCTCTCCTCAAGCGATTTTTTGAACAGTTCTCTTGACCACAAAAATGCTGGCTCGGATTATAGATGATATGGAAATGTCATCGATTCCAAGCTTGCGAAGCTTTCCAAATGGCTTCTCGGAAATTCGAGATGGAGAAGAAAAATTTCCAAGCTCAGGCAAAATTTAAGAGTCTGCTGATAAGTAGTGACAAGTGTGACCTGTATGGTTCTTCCATCGGATCTGGAGAAGCCTGGTCAAACATTGTCAATACTTACACCAAGGGATCTTTGACTTATGAGACGTATAGGGGAACCGCTCTCTTAGAGATAATTCAGAGATTGTAAAACGCACGTAGATACCGTGGTAGTTACGTTGCAGGACTATGGGCCATCCGGATGTACAACGACCTATAATGGAAAGTATTGCAGGAAAGATGATTTGCGTCCTCTAATTACACAAGATGCACGACGTGACAACTATACAGAACCGCAAGCTCCGCATATGCAACAGCCGTGAGTCGAAGCCTCCCCCTGACAATGTTTATACCGGCTGTTCACCTTCCCATTCCCCCTAATCAAAGGCCATGCAGATTCCTCATCAGCCCCTACGACTTCAACATTTTTTCCAGGAGCCGTGGAGCCGCGCCCATCAAGAAACCTCCCACTGCTAATCCAATAACCAAGAGGGACGTCACGATCTTCCATACCAGCTCACACATATTCACCACCAGCCCGAGTAGAGCAATAGAGATTGTAATGATACTGCAAGCAGCAAATATAGCCGCAAAAGTCTCGTGTCCATAGCCTAGTCTCGTTTCCAAAGCACTCTGAGTAAGGCCAACGGACGTGAGGCTGGTACTTCGTTTCTCGAGCGCGAGGTTGAGGAGGAGCTTCATTTGTTCTGCCGGGACTGTGAGTAGAGTGAGGCAGAGTGAGACGAGGGTGACGACAGCCGCCACGGCCAAGAGGGAAGTAGTTCTGGCCATTAGAGTTGTGATGTAGATGCCGGGATTGGACGCGTAGTCTTGACTGCTGAGGGTCTGTATGAATGCAGTTGGTCAAGTATAGGATACGTGACTTTGGAGCAACAGTTGTTCCCAGGACTAACTTTGGCTGAGAAGGTTGGCGATTGCTGTTGGATTTGTTGATATGTCGAAGAGGAAGAGTTGAAATAGGGAGAGAAAAGCCATCTCAGGTCCAAAAGCCTACTTATATTCACGCGTGATTGAACTGTGTATAGCTCAGATGAGGCTAGCGTGATTTTCACGCAAACAAAGGATACGTGTTTGCGTCGCACCTGTCACGTCTAGACGTGTGAAATTCATGTGTAATAACATTGAGAGATAGAGGACATCTACTGGGGCGAGGAGGGGATAAAAGCCCTGTCATTGATTCAGACACTTTTCATCTGCCGTTCCGCAGCATCTATTCCTAACCACCATCTCCTGAATCCATATATCGAAAACAGGAGCCGACAAACAGCCCTTGCACACGTCACGCCTCCCCAATCCCCTCAGTCGACGACATATATGATTTCCTGATGTCCTCTTCTACTTCCCACCCATGCAACACCCTGATGATACTCTTCCACGTCGTTAACGGGCGCCTCAGCATCGTCCACGCCCCTGTGAGCATCTTCCACCCCCCCAACTCAAGCACAAGAGTGCAGATGAACGCAATGCAGGTTTACTTTAATGCCAGGCTACTGTAGCAATACGTGACGTCCCACCTCAGCATCAGCTTTTCACGATCGAGACCGAAAATGCCGAGTCCGTAATCACAGTAGGCCACGATAGTTCTACCGGTTCGTTTCAGTCTCCAATGGGAAGCTAGCGAAAGGGTTGCAACAAGCGACAGAGTTACGGAAGCTGCAAGGGGGCAGGCGAGCGTTCTCAGAAGCTTCATGGTGTAGGTCTGATTATTGGAGTGTTCGTAGGGTAGAGGGTTTCGTCTAGACGAGAGGAGATGTGTTAGCTGGCTCTCTGTGTATTCGGTATTGCTGGCACATACATTGAGTAGGCTTCTCCTTGTCGCAAATGTCGTGATGGCTAGCCCAGACGTTACGTGATTGAGGGTGATTACATGTGTTTGCGATGCGAAGAAGTTGTGTAAAGCTGGAGAAGAATTTTTCGGGCCCAGGCGGCTGCTTATGCCTACGTGTGTATGGACGTCAAAACATGGCTAAGGAGATACATGGCTGAAAAGTTTTACGTTTTGATCTACTACTTGGTGGAACACCATATTGACACTCATTAAGATAGACCTATCAAAGTAGGTTCTTCTGACTGATGAGTGTTTGCTTCTCACACTTGGCACCAATTTGTTTGCTACCGCCACCGTATGCTACCTAAGTTTATACGTGTCCTCTCAGATTTTCCCTTCTTCATGACTCTACGCAGACTATCAACCATTCATCACAAACATCAACAGTACTGTTACGTATTGTGTTCATTGTTCTGCCGTGACTTCAGAGTTCGTAACGTTCCATTTCCATATTCTCCACTAATAGACCTTAGCTGAAAAGCCAAAGTTCCCCAGCCTTGCTCAGTGACCGCTCTTGAACGATCGAGCTGACAGATTGCAGTACTAAAGCAAAGTCTTCGGGAAACGAGCCATCGTCATCGGTTCTGTAGCGAAAAGTCCTCAACCTACCACCACCCCTTTTCAAGATGCGAAACTTCAACAAGGCGCGGATCGGCCTGTCTTTCCTAATCCCGATTGCTGCGTTCAGCTTAGAAGAATATCAGAATCGAGCTGAACACGAACATATCGAAGCGAGAGAAGGGGAGCTTGGAGGCATCGCCGTGGTAGCTGTCGTACTCCTGTGGCTGGGGTCAGTGTTATTTTCCGGGTTCAAAGCCGTTGTACGCTCAGTAATCTCTGGAGTCAAGGCGGTGGTGGATTCAGTGTGCTTTTGGATCAGCGCCATTATGAGATTGGCTTTCGATGTGGTGACGTTCTGCATGGCGTTGGGCGTAATATTCGTTGGCTTCTGGCTGGTCGTCTTGCTGGCCGTCTTGCTGGTCGTAATGAGCTTCATCACGATCGTATTCGCAGGGCGTTGATCAATGAAGAAGACAGCAGGACATAGGTATCGAATCAAAGGTCAAAAAGAACTTTGCAGGAGAATTTGGGGGGAGAAAATCAATTAGCTGGTGGTGTTGGTCAAGGAGGATCTAGAGAAATGAAAGTCTCTGCGGCAACGACTCTCTCGGTCGATTTTAATTCTAGAAGATTGGGTCCAGGTGAAAGGTTCAATCGATTGCAGTCTGAAAATTTCATAATTGAGCATGTTTGTTGCCAAAACGGTACAAAAGGAGTCGTTGGTTCATATTGGTGGAATTTACGCTGTTGAATGTTTGCATCATAGGCTTCGTACAGGCGAGTTTGCTATCACCACCAAAGGCTCTTCAAATTCGTAGTCGTCTCTTCAACATCTCACTTCTTCGTGGCTTCACAATGATCGTTGATGCATTATTGTTGTCTCAACCAACAACACTATTGTTTACTATTTTCATTGTTCAGTCTCGACACAACCCTTTGTCACGCTCCACTTTTGGTTTTCTCAACAATGGACAACAGTATAATATTCAGACATCACCAATCTCTAACAGTCTCTACCATCAAACGCCATTCACTCAACGGGAAGCAGTGAACCTACACCGGTACATCGAAAGTCAAAGCATCGTAGTTCGGTTCACATTAACTTGACCATCAACGAGTACTGCACCAGCTATTCCATCAACATGCCGATTTTAAACATGATGCGAATCATCATGTCTTGCCTCATCATGGCGGTTGCCTGCCGCTTGGCTGAATACGAACGATTAGTGAAAGGTACCCCGATGATAGAGCCATACATCTCAGCAATCCGCCGGAGAGAATTCCAGGAAATCGACTTGTTAACGCCATTTCCCATAGCTATGGGAATAGTGGCATTTCTCTGGCTGGCGCCCACGATTGTTTTGTTCATACGACAGACATATTCATGGATCGCTGCAATCTCGGAAGTCGTGTTCGGAAATGTGGTTCCGTTCTGTCTAGCTGTGGGCTTGGTATTTGTTCCCGTTATGTGGAGCGTGTGGGCCTTGATCCGTCTTGTGGCTGATCATTATGGGCTGAAAATGTGAGAGGATGTTGTCAGCAGGTTCTACACCGGGATTAGAGGTGCAAATGAAGGGAAGCATTCATTAAACCCCTGGGATGATGTTCTTGGGTGATTTGGCTTTCATTTGAGCACTCGATTGATAAGCTTAGGGGAATTTGGAACGACGGGTCCTGAGCAAGCTCTATAGAACATAGTTTGACTATATTCAACAGCAATTGAAATGACATCTTGCACCATGATTACCAGCTTAAGTGGCAAACTTAGCCAAGGAAACGAGGAAGTTCTCAAATTGTTCAATAGTACTATCTTTGACTTTTCTAACACGTCGCATGCGTATTTCCAGCGTCAAGACAGCTGTGGGGTCGTTGTCAGTACGCCTGGTATCGCCCATGATGTACTGATAGAAGACATTATTGCAGCTGTACGCGAGCACACAAGCTCGAAAAGGAGAAAACATCGGGATACCGACCATCAGAACGTTGAATTGGTTCTTTGATCATCAGCGAATTCAAATCCAGGATTACAAAAAGTCAGTAGTCAGCATAGCCTGACGAGCAACGACATGCAAAATAGACGAGAAGATGGCCCAGTCTGAACCTGAAAAGGGGTGGCGTCCAAGGTTTGCCTTGGTGATCAATGTTATTATCAGCAATGCTTTAAGAGCATGTTGAACCATATTCACAGCATACTGTGCACAATTTCAGGCGACGAACGCTAGTACTCACTGTGTTCATCATCCGTTCACTCCTAGCTCAGCGAGCGCCATCAACGAAACCATATGGACTTGTTCGCTATTCCCTAGCAAGGGATTATTACGTCCAAGAAAAGCTGTGCGTCATGATCCGGAGCCTAAAAACCGCTTGAGACACTGCGGCGCTGCATTCCCGAAAATAGCCAGATTCGTAGGCGCAACATGCAGCGGCTGTGAAATCAGGCACTACCGACACAAGACGTCAACAAGCGGCCCAAAATGCCTACAAAGCAGGCGAAAAGATTCGGACACTCCTGCACATTCTTCGCACCACCCCTATCCGACCGGCAAAGCATCCAACGTCATCATGCAGCTCGCCCTCCTCCTCTGCGTCTTCACATCCGCCTTCCTCTCCTCAGCGCAAGAGCTAGCATCCATCGAGACCAGGTAGACTATTTCCTCCCTCCATCTCCAGTTTCCTTTCTCCCCCTCTCCCTCCCTTCCCCCTTTCCCCCACGTCCCCTCCATTCCTCGCACAACGCCCCCTCCCCACTGCCCCCTCCCCCTAACCCGCCTTCACGCACATTGACCCCCCCATCCTCAGTACCACCCTCCCACCCACCAACCTCACAGTCCCCCTTCCCGGCTGGCAGAGCGCCTACCGCCTCTACGGGATCCAACTCTCGCAATACGCCCAGCCAATCTGCACCTCCACCGACTTCGCAGTCTTCCAGGCGGACTTCAATGCCTATCTGTGGGACATCCAGCAGCGCGTGCACGACACAGCGTGGCGCTTCCCCAACGGGCGCCTGGTGTTCGTGTCGCACCGGAATGGGGTTGGGGTGGCGCTTGGGGAGTTGGTGGGGGCGGAGGGGGAGGGGGCCGGGAAGGGGAAGGAGAGGGGGGATGCTGACGCTCGAGGTCGCGCTCGAGGTTGCGTTGTTGATGGGACGGTGGGTGAGAGTGGGCCCGGAGACGGGATTGGTGCCGAGCGTGAATAGAATGGTTGTGTTTAGGACGAGGGAGGGGGATGCGTCGGTTTTTGCGAGGGGGAGTCTGGATTGTACGCCGCCGAGGGGTGAGATGCAGAGCAGCGCTGTGGCGTCAGAATGAGCGAGGGTCTGCCTCGTGGAAGCGAATTAGAGTGTAAGAGCATTTTATTGAAGAATGCTTTCTGAGAGGTTGGGAATATGCGAAAGATGGTCTGTCAGCCTCGCGTGTTCATGGACCGTCGTGTTCGCATGAGATGCGGCTCGTTGCATTTTCATGTTGCAGATTTGATAGATGGGGTCTCAGTATAGCGTGAGAGTTGCGAGTTGCCCTTGAAATGGGAATGAATGGGATTGTGGATTGAGGACGACGGCTAGCGTTGGCAGCGATGTCGAGTCTAGCTTTTTTATTGTATCACCCTTCAACTTGCTAGCGATACTTGCAACCCAGAGCGTAAGCGCCACGACTGATATAGCCGACCTCGAATACGCGCCTTCGACAGCGGAGGATGCCTTATTGCTTGTGTTCTGTGCAAGACTTGAGGCGAGCAACAGTCTTGAAGCGAGGTAAGTAGGCCTTTCAAGTCATTTCACATTCGTTTTGGAACCCACATTCCGCCAAACCTTGGCTGGCATAGTCAGCTAGTACATAAATGAACTAGATCGTAAGGCATACCTTAGCAGGTTCTCGGTTACCTTAGCAAGCCAGCGTCGGCTTCGACCGAGATGACATTGGTGAGTGGCACACGTAAGAGCCCCACACTACTTAGTACTTGCCAGCAAAGTTCAGCTGGTAAGGAGGGGCGTTAGGTACTTGCGCTTGGGGCCATACCGAACAGCACCGAACAGGACCGGACGGATATAGCTAGCTGCAGGTACCAGAGGCACCTCCCGCAGCCAATGATCGGAAATCGGAGCATTCTTAGTCTTGCCGAACATGCCCGATAAGGTAATTATATGCACGGCGCGCTTTGGTGCGTGAACGGCCCTCGAAAGGAGGCCAAGTCCATTCAGCAGCTCAGACGAGATCAGCCATTGGCTGATGGATGACGAAAAACGAAAGACGGTCGAGTGATTCTATGTCCTGCTTCTCCTCGTTTCCGGGCTACAAAGGAGAGGAAAGCGTACTCTAAAGGGAAGGATGTCTCAGATGATCGTGCATGGCAACATGCACAATGCAAAGTATGATGGGAAACGACGAATACTTCCAGCTTCTCCGCCCTGCCAGAGATCAATGGGCCGAAACCCGCAGAGACTTGTGCAGAAACCCCTCACGACCGCCTTTTGGCGCCAGCCGTTAGACCCGAATTATGCAAGCCACCAAGCGTGGACATCAGAAGCATTTAGTCCAATTCAATGATGTGCTGATCTGTCGAGTACTGCTCGGATCTCAGCCCGTGGGAGCCTTATCTGCCAATGGACAAGCGGGGACATCATAAAGGGTACAACCACTGATCCACTGCGGAACTGGCTCTAGCTCAAGATCATTGGGTCTTCATCACAAACATAGCACCAGAGAAGAGTCCTTCCTTCGCCATGTGGTTCGAGAATGTACCAAGTAAGGTTCGAGCGTGGCAAGCGGATCCATACTCAGTCCAGCCTGGACCATTATCTAGACCGTATTTGTTACTGGTTTCACATTCGCGTATAAGAATACTGCATATCGTGAATCGGATTTGCCAGGCCGATGTTCTCCGCGGTCTCGAACGAACCAATTCGCTGCCCACATTCGCATAGATCATCATGCAGTTCGAGAAGTGAGGGGAAACTGACCGTGCCATAAGAACTCATATGCTGAGCAGGTTTGAGAGCATTTATGCTCGTTGTGAGCAACCTACCACTCTTCACTGAGAGAGATTGAGAAGATTTCTTGCTTGTAGGGCAGAGTCTTGACTCAGCAATCATCATGAAACTCCTCGATAGTGTCTGTGAGACTCTCACGAGGGCTCTGGGTCTATCTTCCTTGTCACCATGGGGCCACGATGCCAACAACCAGCAGGCTGTCGGCCCTATCATACACAATGTGGGACCTGGGGCAGGCGCCAAGAGCTCCAAGGCAGGCCACACAAACACCAATTACTACGAGCCACGGCTGCCGGGGATGGAAGGTTACAAACTCGAGAACAAAGTGCTCGATAAGGTCGAGGCCAAGGCGACCACACAGCAGATCGTCGACCAAACCCGGCTCAATGTTGGCCGTCCACCACCAGAGGTCCTTCCACCGGGTCCTATATTTGCCCCACCGAACTCAAATATGGACTTCATCTGCGATTACTCAGCGATGCGAGGGTGGAAGCATACCGCAGGGCCGGGCAAGCGAAACCAATGGCTTGAGAAACCCATCTCGGAATCTAGCCCTGAGGGAGGCGTCTTCGACATCTTCACAGACTATGATCGATTTGCCCCGATTGGCGTTACTCGCAAGGTACTGAGATCTATCCCCTGTGTCCGCTCTGTTAGTCAATCTAACGCAGACTATCTGATAGTATCACCTCAACGTAACGGACCAGAACATCAACACCGATGGAGTCAACCGCCCAGATGGCGGCAAGGTCTTCAACGGCCAATATCCAGGGCCCTTGCTCGAGGGCTGCTGGGGTGACACGATGGAAATCACGGTCGAGAATCACTTGAAGTATAACGGCACCACGGTCCACTGGCATGGCGTACGGCTCCTGAATGCCTTCGAGCACGACGGCGTCAATGCCATCACCCAGTGTCCCATCGCGCCCGGAGATAGCTACACCTATAAGTTCAAAATCACCCAATACGGCACCTCATGGTATCACAGCCATTACTCACTTCAATACGCTGATGGTCTTGCTGGCCCCCTGACTTTCTACGGACCGTCCGCAGGAGATTACGACGTGGCCCTTGATCCTTACCTATTTGGCGACTGGAGCCATAATAGCGCCTTTGAAGACTATGCCGTGGAACTCCATGACCCTCCAGCGCATATGACGACCGTCATTCTCAACGGTAGAGGTGGGTCGTCGCTCCATTCACTCTCGGGAGGTACCCAGGTTGACCCATCACAGGATTCTACAACTGCGAGAACAACGCCAATCCTGACTGCAGCAATAACACCCTGAAGGTGGATGCTCCACCAATCTACGAGCAAGTATTCGAGAGGGTATGTGTGATCCATCTCAGGCGATGAGTCGTCACCATCGAAATGCTAATGCACACCAGGGACGACGATACCTCATGCGCCTGATCAACACCTCGACCGCCTCGACCTTCATCTTCTCCATCGACAAGCACATCCTCAAGATCATCACCTCGGACTTCGTAGCCATCGAGCCCTACTATGCGGATTCCATCCTCGTCGGCATTGGTAAGCCATCCCCCACCCCTCTTTCCCACCCCATCTAATCAATACCACTCACTAACCCCCTTCCCCTTCCCTTCACAGGCCAACGCTACAACGTAATCGTCGAAGCCAACCCCTCGAACGACCTCATCCCCGACGAAGATCAGAACTACTGGATTCGTATCACCGGCGCCGACGGCTGCTTCGACATCGAAGAAGAGCAGAAGAACGAGAAACTGGGCATCATCCGATACAATGAGGGCAGCCGCAAGACACCGACAACCAAAGCGTTCGAGTTCTCGAAAGTGTGCCGGGATGAGCCGCTGAGTAGCTTGGTGCCCGTCGTGTCCATGGAGGTGACGGCGCGCGAGCACCCCGCTAATAGCAGTATGTCTACTTCCTCTTTCTCCTTCCTCTCTCTTTCCCATCCCATCCCGTGCCCTTCCCTACCCTATCCTCTCACAAAACACCCCATCCCTCACCTCCCCCCTCCCCTCATCATCCATCTAACCCCCCTTCCTCCCCCATAGTCGACCCCGACACAGGCGACAACTTCGAAGTCGGCGTCGAAGTCGGCAACGCGAACTACACCGTCCCGCACGGCAACTTCTCACGGTGGGACATCCTGGACACACCAATGTGGCTCAACTTCTCCGACCCAACGATCGACCACATCGGCGACAAGAACTGGAACCCAGCCGAATACGCGCTCATAACCGAAGACTACGAGCGCGACAGCTGGGTCTACATTGTCATGACGGTCGCGGGCACCGACGCGCAGAAGAAGGCCGGCAAGCGCGTCTTCGTCCCCGTCGCGCACCCCATGCATCTGCACGGCCACGACTACATCATCCTCGCGCAGGAAGACCGCGCCTTCCATCCCGACGACGTGAAGAATGGGACGTTCAAGTACGACAACCCTACGCGCAGGGATGTGGCGCTTTTGCCGAGGAATGGGTACTTAGCGGTGGCGTTCCGCACGGATAATCCGGGCTTGTGGATTATGCACTGCCATATTGCGTGGCATGCGAGTAGCGGGCTGGCGCTGCAGGTGAGGGAGAATGAGCATTTGATTAATCTGGATGAGGAGACGGTGAAGGAGAAGGATCGGGTTTGTAATAATTGGAGGAAGTGGGAGGCCGATAGTAAGAATTGGTTTAATCCGCATGAGTTCCAGGAGGACTCGGGGATTTAGGGGGTTGTTGGGGGTGATAGGGGTGGGGGGAGTTGTGGTGGGTGGTGGGTATGGCGGTGGTAGAGTTGGTTGATGAGCTAATCAGTTGGTGGTGATGGGGGCCGAAAAGTTGACACAGAGAGAAAAAGAGGGCTTTTGGTGGTGGTGGTGGAGGAGAGCTAGATTGGAAATGGCAAAGGGCGTGCATGTCGGAGGATGTCGGCGGGTGAGTCTGGCTGTGCGCTAGGTGTGCGATGCATGCATGCTCAACCATGCATGCTGCACGACCCCTCTCTCTTCTTTCTCGCTAAAACGTCGCCGTCGTTGGATATTTCCGAGTGCGTCTGGGGAGAACGAAGCTTGCGGTTCTCGTTAATGATGGACACGATACTGCATGGGTCAGCCGCACATAATGTATTTGTACATATGATATCTCCAGAGGTTTCAACATACCTCTTTGATCGTGCGCTTTGGACGAGATGTACGTGTCAGCTCAGCTCAGTCAGGCTGCTTTGTAAATACGTGATGCCACTCCCACTGCCGCTGAGATTCTTGTGCTGGAGAGAATTGCTTTGGAGCTGAAAGCCTACCCCTTCAGATTGCAGGCGTTTCCTCTCCAGCCAGCCCAGGTTCATATTTCACCGCCCCCGTTCACGACTCCGCATTCTTGAGAAATAGAAGTCTTGCCCTTCTTGGAGTGAAACGCATGTAAGACCGAAAACGCAAACGGTAAAGAACAGGTCGCTCACCATGTACAATATGCTACAATCTTATACATATGCCTAAGCCCGCCATTTCCAATTCACTCCCACTTACCTTACCTTAAAAACCCCTTTACCTCCCCTGAGCCTGGATAGCCGCGAGAATAGCATCACAGCTCGCCTTCGCGTCTCCAAACAGCATCTTATTATTCGGCTTAAAGAACATCGGATTCGGCACATCCGCATACCCACTGCCCATACTCCTCTTCATAACAATCGTATCCTTGCTCTTCCAAGCGTGCAAGACGGGCATGCCCGCGATCGGACTCCCCTTCTCCATTGCAATCGGATTCACCGTATCGTTCGCCCCAATCACAATGGTCAAGTCCGTGTTCTCGAAATCGTCGTTGATCTCGTCCATTTCGAGGACGATATCGTAGGGCACACTAGCCTCGGCGAGGAGCACGTTGCATTGGCCAGGCATGCGCCCTGCGACGGGATGGATGGCGAAGCGCACGTTGATGCCTTGGGAGCGGAGGATGCGTGTGAATTCCGCGATGGGGTATTGGGCTTTTGCGACGGCCATGCCGTAGCCCACGACGATGATGACGCTCTGGGCGTTTAGCAGCGCGGTGGCGGCCTCGTCGACGGTGGTTTTGGTAATCTCGCCTTCTACTTTGAAGTCGGTTTTTGCGGGCGCCGCGATGCCGCCGAAGAGCACGTTGGTGATGCTCCGATTCATTGCGACGCACATGATGTAGCTCAAGATTGAACCGGAAACGCCGATGAGGGAGCCTACTGTGGTCAACAATGGATTGTCCAGCATGAGGCCTTCTGCTACAAGCGCAAAGCCAGAGTAAGCGTTCAGTACTGTGATGACGACGGGCATGTCAGCTCCACCGATTGCAGCGGTTGTGGTATACCCCTTCGCAAATGAAAGGGCGGTGTTGGCGGCAAGGCAGCCTGCAGCGAGCATTGGTGCGCCGGGAGCCATGGTGAGGAATGCGCCCATTGTGGCTACATTTGTACCGAGCAAGCCTACGTTGATAAGGTGCCGGCCAGGTAGGATAGTCGGACGAGACGACATGCGACCTGCAAGCTTCATGAAAGCCACAATTGATCCCGTGAAGGTGACACCGCCGATTAGAACGCCCAAGTAGCCAGTGACAAGGTGCAGAGTCTCGATGTGCTCTGAACCGACGGAAGCCATTACAGAGCCGATACTTGTCAGCACAGCTGCAAGACCAACTACTGAGTGGAGAGCGGCCACCGTCTGAGGAAGCTCGGTTGGGGTGATGCGTCTTCCGACCAGTGATCCAACAAGAGACCCGGCACCAACCACCCCGAGAACTTGAACGAGCTGTTCAGGAGAGAAACCACATGCTGATAGCGATGCGAGAACGCCAGTGCCGACACCCAACATGCCGAGCAGGTTCCCAGTACGCGCTGTCGATTGAGAAGCCAGCCCAGATAAGGAGCCAATACAGAGCATACTGCTCGCAAGATAGCCAGCCTGAACGAGTCCGTCCATTCCTGTGCTAGCTGCTGCAAGGTAGCCTCCTCCAAAGACCAGCGCAGGGACAGCGTATAAGAATGGATATTCGGGCGGATCTGTAGGTCGCTTGAACATGTCCAGCATGCGTTTGGTGATCACGAACCCGCCAGATACGTTCACAAAGGCTAGCAGCACCGAAGCTGCGCCAAGAGCTTGTGGTATCGTCTCAGGAAGGTAATGCCCGCCCATGATGAAAAAGCCACCTACGCCTACCATACCAGAGATCGCATTGGTCACACTCATTAACGGGGAATGCAGGGCGGGACTCACGCCCCAAATGACGCGATACCCGATGGCTCCAGCCAGTGAGAAGGTGAAGAGATTGCTCATGAACAATGGGCTGGTGGCTTTCCCGAGTGCGAGTGCAGTCGTCATGCCACCAGTTACAGCTGTCACCTCTCTTATCGCGCGTTGCCATGGGGTCACAGCTTTCACCTCTTCTTGTTGCTCTGCAGCTTTTGGGGCCGATGGTGGCGGGGGAGCAAGCGGTGGCGGTCGAGGCACAACCTCTCCGTTATGCGTTACGATAGAGTAACGCACGACATCGTCGGACATATCAATACCAAAATGCTTCTCTTTCGGTGACATTGAGAGAAGGAATTTCGTGATGTTGTTCGAGTAAAGCGTTGAAGATTGCGTGGGTAGGCGCGACGGCAGATCAGTGTATCCTATGATGCTGTTAGGGGAAGTGTCGACAGAGTCGAGTCAAAAGGAGACATACCAATGACAGTAACCCCCTTGTGACAAGCAATCTGCCCGGGTACAGTAGTCTCACAATTGCCACCAGCCTCGGCAGCCAGATCTACAACGACAGAGCCAGGCTTCATTGCAGCTACCATCTATCACTTGGGTTAGCGACGCCTGATTCGTCTTGGAGACAGGCGTGGAGACTTTTGACTTACCTCTTCAGTGATCAGGGTTGGCGCTGGCTTGCCCGGGATGAGCGCGGTGGTTATGACTATGTCGACTTCTTTACACTGATCCATGAACAGCTTCATTTCTGCCTCAATGAACTCCTTAGACATTACTTTGGCGTAGCCGCCACCACCAGCACCGTCCTCTTGCATGTTTACCTCAATGAAATCAGCACCAAGTGACTGCACTTGTTCTCTTGCAGCCGATCGAGTATCAAAGCCGCGAACGATAGCACCCATGCGACGAGCCTAAAGCACCTGGTTTCAACAGAATGGCCAATACGCAAGTGGGTTGGTACGTACTGTAGCAATTGCACTAAGCCCAGCGACACCTGCTCCAATTACCAACACTTTACATGGTGGAATCTTCCCTGCCGCAGTCGTTTGCCCCGTCAAAAAGCGTCCAAAATGATTTGAAGCCTCCAGCACAGCCTTGTAACCCGCGATATTTGCCATCGAGCTCAACGCATCAAAAGTCTGAGCTCGAGAGATGCGGGGTATCATGTCCATAGCAAAGGAAGTGATACCTTTGTCTTTCATCGTATCGACAAGTGGCTTGCTCCGATCGAGGGTTGGATACATGAATGATATGATAGTCTTTCCGGGTCTGAAGCCGTCCACAAAATGATTGATATTGCTAGTGAAGCGAGGTGCCTCATTTGCGGAAGGAGAGTTGCCTGCAGCAAGTCTTGGAGGGCGCACTTTTAGTACGATGTCGCTCTCGGTCCACACGTTACGCGAATTTGCCATGTCGGCCTCTGCGGCCTCGTACTCGTGAATTGGGAGTTGTGCTTCAAATCCAGCACCATGCTCAATGAGGACTCTTTTGAACCCTTTCTTCAGTAGTAGTGAGACGTTCTTCGGCGTCATTGCTACACGACGTTCGCCAGGTAAAACCTCTGTTGGCACGCCGATTGTGAGCTCTGAGTACGGTATCGCTTCGATGGGGCGGCTTGGGTTGGGGTTTACCTGCTCCCGATTCCATCGTTGCGAAGCTTTAAGATGAATCTTTCGAGAGAAGGACAGGCCCAAACTCTTGGGTGAATGTTGAATTGCGTTTCCGCCTACCCAGGCTCCGCAGAGCCTGAGGCTCGGTGTTATCATATCGCGAGAGAACGTGCAGTGGTCCTGAGGCAGCGTTCCAAGATATGACGCTAAGGAAGAGGATGTAGTACACACGCACTATCAGTAAGGATCTTCAGGTCGGGTGAATGGCCCAGCAGCTTTCTCTTGGCCGTGGGATGCTCGTCCAGTTTTCCAATTGTTGAATTTCGAGGTCCCGTTCCAATAAGCGAGGTACCATGATCTTGTGGTGGGCCAGAAGTTCCAAAGAACTGAGAAAGTCGCGTGCTTGGCGTCGTACAGTCACTTGGACGTATGTACCTAGTGAATCTGGTCTCAGGGGCTGGATGCTTTCAGCGAAAGGGTATGGCGTTCCTGTTACCAGGGTCGCACTTGTCACGTCGCTAAAGCCTGGCCGCAGGAGGTAGCGTCTGGATGCGTTACGCCACAGCCCACGTGCGGTGAGATCGAGCCTAAGCTGCTGTCGACAAGAAGGAAAAACAACTCAACCAGGGATGCAACGCGTATCCACGTCGCACTAACCAACCCCGCACGCTAAGTCTCACGCGTTGCCACCAAAGGTCTAGGCCTTACTTCGCCATCATGATCGTCTCGGAGGAAAAGGTAATGCCGTTCGCCGAAGATATATGAATAGACAAGGCTGCTGATGGCGTTGTCATGGTTCATCTGTCGTCAAATTCAAGAAGCAACCCTATTCCTGATGATGAAGGCTCCTGCACCACCAGATTGTTTCCTGGATGAAATCTTTGTCGGTCCATGATCGACGTGTCGGCCTGCAGCAGCGAGCGATGTCTACCTTGCTCTTAGGAAGGGTATCTCAATACATTCGGCTTATAAGGAGAATTGCGGGTCCAACGTTGCTGTACGTTCGCAATCACCGTGTGAAGATTATTCAGAGCAAAGTGTGGCCCCTCCGACACACGCGGGATCACTCGCGGTAGGTGGATGGCGAGATTGTACATTCCCCGATTGTGCGTATAAGAAACGAGGGCAAGGGTCCATTCTAAGAGTGTATGACAGCATCTGTTGAGGACTTGTAGGTATCGATTTCTTCTTTCCTTCTCATCGTTTCTGATTCGAGCTTCATCGACTTCTTGAAATGGTGAATGTCGGCCTCCAATGTTCGATGGGTATGGAGAGCATCTCTATGGTGCATGTCTCATGCAAGGTAGTTCTTCGAAGGTGCAAGCGGTCTAGGAGCCGATCAGAATGGGATGGACGTCGTTTCGAGCAGGGCAGTCAAGATTGAAGGAACCACCTGTTGCAGGATGTTTGTGCGGCTCGGATCATCCGGAAAGCGTCCAGATCACCATAGCTAATCCAGTATTGACGATTGGCAACCAGTATGGTACCCCCATCCGAGCTTGACTGTACCAACCAAGGATTGAAATTGACCCCGACAGCGGAGCTCCTGCAGACCTTGTCGCAGGAATAGCAACCAAGACCGACGCAAGACACATCAGCACTCCAACTAAACGGGTCAATTGCACTGCTTGCAGTGGTATGAAGGGTATAGACCGTTTGAGGCCTTCTGCTTTCGACATTGCCTTCTGGTGTAAGGTGGGAGTTGGAGACCATGGGAAACGTGCTTGACCGCCGAGGAGGAGTTCAAGGGACAAGATGCTTGCAAGAATGTGCGACGCAAGATGCATGATGGCCACGCTGAAGGTACCAAGCTGCAATGATAGGTGTGCAGGAAGACTTACCTGAGCTGACCGGTGAGCAAGATTTTGATGTGATTATGTCAGCAACAGAATCTTGGCTGACGTCACGCGTCTTCTGCTGGCACATCGTTGGCTCCTTTTCGCCTTCTCCAGACAAGGTAGGCTCGTGAGATAGACTGCAATGCTCGGATGCTGCATAGTTTTGTCTATGTGAGGCAGAGTAGTGAGAATAGGGACATCACCCACTTGTGGGTCACTGTCGATTCCTTACACGACCAGCAACTTCAATGCGGCCAATTGACTAATTGTCGATCCATAACATCGCTTGCAATTATGCAATCTTGGTAGGCGTAAATGTCACACAGAGTCTGCAATCCAATGAGCGCTCATCATTGACTTTGCGATGGTCGATGACTGCCGTTGCAACACTATACTCGACAATACACGCAAGCCTAAGTGCACGACAAGATACACACTAACCTCCCTGGAAATACTATTTACTTGTCTTTCTACGCTGTTCGAGTCGTATATCAAAGTCACCTGATCTCTCTCGAGTCAGTAGATCGTCTCTGATACCTGAGACTGCCAACCAGCACTGGCTTTCAGCTCTTATGTGATAGTCTAAAGATCAGCCTCACTAACCTCACCTGCCTGGTCTACCTGTCACTAATATAATATGCAAGCCAGTTGACGGCAGCGTGGACAGCCGAGCCGCTGAGTGAGGCCACCGCCAATGCTTTCTACTCCCGCCTTTGAAAGAGTAGGCCGGATCCACGGAAGTACATCAAGGTTTCGCTGGACAATCAAGACTCCAAGACATCGATATTACCCTCTGCTGACGGCCAAGGTGGTTGACTTTCAGGGACCGTGCCCATGACTGGGTCTAGGCCCACACGCCCAGCAATGACAAGGCATGTTTCATATCCAGCTGGCTCAGCCCAGTAGATCTATGTGTCAAGACGCATGCGGCAACTAACTGCATTGGAGAGGCTTTGGCACGACTTGAGCTGCCCTGCTAGGAGAATTATCGGCCATGTTGCTTTGCCCTTGTAAGTACGTTTGTCCGAGAGGTTTTCTAGTCATCCGCGTTGATCTCGTCTGCAGCGCTTCCTGCTGGCTCGCTAGGCGCTTATGTCTTGAATCATGTTTCCCAACCTCCACATTCTCTCGCTTATCCTTGAAAGCGAATACGCTATGAAGATGTTCAAAGGGCTATATAGGTCTCGACCTTTCTGAGGTTTTTCTTCATGCAGTTCCCACACTTGCATTCTTGATAATACTTCGCAATGGCAGACGTAATGGACTTTTTGCCTTGGTTTCTCCTCTTCTGGCACGTCTCAGCTGCTCCTCAACTGATCATCCAACCCTCTAATGTCACCATCCCATCTACTACCACCTCAAACTCGTCAGGGCTACCCGCCGAGAACACAGCCGCATCGGTGTGCGATGATACTTGGCCTCGCTGCTACGATGGAGATCCGGCTTACAACTTTCTCAACTACCAACAATGCGCTGGAGCAATCTCAAGCATTCAAAATGACAGCGACTTCAGTAACGGTCGAGATCAATGGGCATGCACCCAGCCAGGAACCGTACGCAGCTGGTCTGCGAAAGACGAATCCTGCGTCGTAAGCATTGGATGTCAGAGTCCCGGCATAAACGGCACCTTTGCTCTCCGACAAGTGGCAAACGGATTTGGAACCCTCGGAACGCAATGCAAAGAGGGCGGCAAGCAACTACTCTACGAACCGCAGGAGTGCGTTGGAGAAGCCTGGTACATCGACGTGTACAATTCGACTATGCTCGGGGGCACATACGAGGACTACCAGAGTGATCCTGAGGTGACAGTGGAACGGAAATCATGATCGTGTCGCCCAACGGGCGCGTTTCTGCATTGGCTTTGGTGTTACTACTGGAAACTGGCATTGCGCACATGCGTTCATATCTGACGCTGCCTCGGAGAGCGGCTACGAGGAAAGGCGTCTTTGGATGGGCGGGCGACAAAATGAGTCGCAATTATGGATTGTCAACATAAACGATAATCGTAACACAACTCAAGAAACCAGTTGAGTTTCCATTCAATGTAACACATTTCATCAGTATTACCCGCATGTTCGGAAGGCCTGCGAATATTCTAAGGGTCCGCATCAATTGATGTCTCAGCCACATGGAGCGGCAGCGCGTCAAGCTGCGGCAGCGCATACGTTTGCGGTTATTGATATACCATCTGAGTCAGGCTTAGCTCGAATGTCCAAGGTGAATGCCCTCACCAGGATAGGTGTGTGGGACGTTCTGGCTAGAGACGGCCGTGACATGGGACCTCCCGGCCGTGAGCAGGTTAGAAAGACATTCTGGAAAAAGGCCGCAGCCAGCTGGAACAACATTGCATTTCCTGAGCACACGAACTTATGCTATAGCAAAGGTGAGAGGCTCGACCGTATTAGTCTCTATTTATCCTGATTCAACTTCAAATGGGTTTGAATTGCTTCAAGTGCTATCCGCAAGATGCAAAGCACGAGGGCAAAGATTGCGGCCCTCTCAATCCCGTCGTCGGATCTTTGCATTGAACCACCGCAGTACTCCTATAGGTTCCAGATTGAATCAAATCATTTCTACGCTTTCATCTCAAGCTTTCATCAATGTCTCCTCTTGAAAGATAGCCTCCGTCGAACCTTGCTCATGAAATTTGACATACATAGAGCCGTGAGTTTGAGATACCATACTGCTCCAAAGCTCAAACACACTATCATAAGTGCTGAGAGTTTCGGTGACAAGCGTCACTAGAACAAACCTAGCATGACGCCTCACTCACCGTCCAAGTGACGTGTTTCATTCTCCTCAAACCTTTCTCATGACTCATTCCACTTCATCAACCATAACAACCGAATTCCCATCCCCATCAAAACGCAAACATTGCGCCCAGGCTCACACGCTACTATCCCATTACTCCCCCCCTACTAATAACCGCAAGCTCGACAAGCTCGCCCTAAACCTTTCTGCCCATTCTCTCACCACTCACCCAACCTCACCAGGCAACACTACATCGCAACTCCCACCTCCACCCTTGGTCCCGCGCCCGCGCCCGCGCCCGCGCTCGCCACCACCTCCCGTCCCAAAACCCACACCTCCCACAACCTCCTCAAAGTCTCCCCACCCCCATCGCCCTTCACCGCCATAGACAGAAGAGCAAGGTGCTCACATCGCCGTACCTGACCGTCGCATGGATCTAAGGGATGTTGATCTGGTACACGCTCACGCCTCTCGCAATTGCCCTTACATCAACGAATATTTCTACAGGAGATAGATAAAGAATCAGAGGGGCAGTTTGCAAGAGAAGGATGGTACTGCATGAACAAACCGAGAAGTCGTATCAATGGAATATGATTGATATTGTAGCTCAACTAAAGAGTGATGTCGAAGCTATCTTAGGATGAAGAAGTGTCATAACTACCGTCAAGAGTGTTCGCACGCTATACCATCTATCCGTGCTCAACTGCATCTCTTTTAAAGAAAACCTCCCCGACAAGAATAATCCATGCTGCTTTTCCATATGCTAGCATCAAGCCAGTCTTCATCACCTCAAATTGCGCACGTCGCATATATGGTGGAAACGAATCGAATCCTGCCCTACTCTTTCAGATGAACGCAACCTCCCTCGACAGATCCCTTGCCCTGCTGCATCCCATTAGCTGAAGTTCTCTCAGAGAGCTTCAGGAAAGACTCACTCCAGCTCCAGTCGCAGGACAGTCACCCGACACATGAACGACATCAGCCTCAACAGGCGCAGCAACTTCCTCGCCTGCAATAGTGCGTCCGACCATCTTTTCGGCATCAATCAGCACAGTTTCCACACCATCCACCCGGGCATCGAATACTCACAGAAACCATCGAACGAGGCGCAGGACGTTGCACCTTCTCGTCGTCGCGTTCGGCAAGCTATATCGCCCCATGCACATCAGCCCCCATCGTTCCCTCCCCCTTCCCCTCCCCCTTCCTTACCCCCCCCCAGATCGTGGAGCACTCACCTTACGACTCGGAAACTTCTCCAAACAATCATACACGCGAAACTCCGGCGCCTTCCCATTGGTATCGAAAGGCTTTGCGCAGTTGCACAGATCCGCAGACATCACTTTGGGCGCCTTGCACATGGAGCCGTCGCAAGCGAAGCCGGCGTCGCGCTTGAAGACTACCCCGGCGTTGTTGGTGTCGAAGGTCTCGCACGAATTTAGGTCGGTGATTTTTGCGCGGGTCTCGAGCTGCTTGGGGGGTGTTAGGAGGTGGTTGAGAGAGGAGGAGAGGGAGAGGGAGAGGGGAGGGGATGGGGAGGGTATGGGGGAGGGGGGGAGTGGACGTACGAGAGGTCCAGCTTGCGCGACACCGGCCGCTGCTGTGATGGCGATTGCGGTTTTAGGCTGCATGATGAGCAGTTGGATTTGTTTCAAGGGGTAGAATGTGTGGTTGCGTGATATGGGGTGAAGATGATGGGTGATGGTGGATGAGTAGAGAGGAAGATGGTGTGAGTAAAGAAGAAGATGGTGGAATAAGTAGGAAATAGAAAGGGGAAATGAGAAGAAGGAAATTAGATATGACAATGTCTTCAAACCCTCGCAGGGCTATGCTGGAATAGGTAAACGAGATAGATGGACAACACTCAGCTGGTATGAAGTGAAGTGAACAAAAGTCAATGAACCAATTTCCGCTGCTCCGAAGCAGTGAATACTCACACCTTCGATTAACAAATGACCCACTGTCGAGATGTCCTCACGGCTTACTCAAACGCTCTGCAAGATACTGGACGAGAGCACAACCATCACCGCTGTCTGCATGAAACCGGACTGTTTCAAATATGGGGAGGACTTCTTGCTTGCTTCGTCTTAAACCACCGCCACAATCGCCAATTGACTTTTCATCAAGATTTGGAATTGCAGCAAATTCACTCTGTCTCGACATGACACACCATACGTCATCGCCACGGTGGAGTCTCGGAGATAACGCGGTTTAATCTCGCGATACTGCTGATCGATGACGAAGGCATGGATTTGAATAGATAACGAAGATGCTGCTGTTCGAGGAAAGGGAAGGATAAGGTGCGCTGCTATTGACGCGCTATATGCCTGTATGTGGTGGGCACGCCTGAGTTTCGTATAGCGGAGGTAGTGTCATCACTGAGCGACGCGAGAGTCTTCAGAAATGGATTGTCTGCCTTTACACTCCGTACTATGTGCCCATAGTGTCAACTAAGAATCTTCCCACATAAGAATTGTCTCACATTGAAGACCTCCTCTCCTCGTGCTAATCGCAGCATTTTGGCATGAATAACAAGTGCCATCGCGCACGTTTTACTACAATCACCGCCACCTCCACCCCCCCAGAGTGCCACGATATCTAACTCCATCAAACGAGGCGCATGATTTCAGCTTTCTAAATTCTGTCCCCAACTCCGAGCTTCTGTTACGGAGCAGACCACCCCACTCCACCCCAGCCCATGGCACGGACTTGAAACGCATCATCATCAACATCAGCGCAGAGAAGATATGTACAGTCCGAACGAAAAGACTTTTATTGCAAGCAGACATTGCGGGTTGGCTATGCCGACGAAATCCTGCTTCGTTCGCAAAGCTTGACATTGCTTTGAATCGCTTTCCGTCACTAGATTTCCCATTGAGAATCGTTATGAGCAGAGACTGACTTTCAGCAGTGTCATGGCTGCGCCGTGCGCGTACGTGTGCTTTCGTGTTCTTTCCGCGCCTGTTCACCAGGGGAGGAAAGTCTTGTTCATTGACTAGGATTCCGAACGTTGTTGTGCTCATTCGTGGGTCTCAGCTCAGGTAGAATCTTACGGAGGTTTGCTCGCCTAGTGATTGATGGAGGTTGAATAGACGTAGCGCCAAAGAAGTGCTTGTTGTGAGTGTGCCTTTTTCCAGGTATGACATCATTGAGTAACTCGTCTCCAGTCAGTCACTAGCGGTCACACAACAATAGGCCGGAGAGGATGGCCAAGGTCACAAAGCAGAGGACAGGGTTGTGCAAATACTATAGCTGTTGAATGTTTCCATATCTTGGGTTTCTATATACAAGTTTAACACAGTCATAAATACATTCGATCTTCCTTAACGACTTCCATCGCCATGGCCCATATAAACAAATCCCCCGCTCAAATCGCACATCAATTCATATAGTATATACACATCACCACCCCTCCTCCCCTCCCTCCCGCCTTATCAACTCGAGCTCCCCGCGCTCGAACTCGCCTCTCCAATCTCGACCACATGTAAACCATCCGGACCCTTCTCACTCAACCCGCCTCTCGCAAAAGCAGACACATCCGTATTCGACGACCTTGTCGTCGTCCGACTGATCTCAAACTCCCCATCAACAGTATCAGAGTAGTCAAGGGGATGTGTGGCCCGTCTATTCTTCCTAGCAGCATCTTGGTTGAATACGTATCCGCGGTACTTTGCGGCGGCCCGGTCGAGTTGATCTTTGTTGCGACGATGGGAAAGGGAGCGGAGAGCGATGGTGATGAGATTTGAGAGGACGGGGAGGGAGGCGGTGATGACGCCGAGAGTGAGTTCGGCTTGGGCCCATTGGGTTGCTGTGTACGAGTACCCTATGGGAGTAACATGTCAGCATCGACGCGGGGGAAGGGGTGGATGGCAGGGACAACAAGGGTAAGGGAAGCTTACAAGAGAAATCCACCGCCTTCTGCTGCGAGAAATTCATAAGCGTCCTTCCCACGGCTATGGCGATGTTCAGACACCCGACCATACCCGCAATGTACACTCTCAGCTTCGTCGTCCATTTCATCTGCACCTTCCACAGCATAACCACCGGCACAACCATAAGCGACGCATCGAACAAAATCTCGATAACATTAAGGCCCACGACGACCTTGGGAAGATCCAAGCACTTCGGCTCCTTTTCCAAATGCCCTTTATACCTTAAATCAAAGAACGATCTCGGATGATCACAATGCAGTGCCACAACGAGCGTAGCACTAACAATGTAAGCCACCATAGCCGCGAACAGCGTCCAGAGCACGATCTTCCACTTCCGGGAAGCAAACCCGTTCAGGCGCATATAGAAGAAGAGAATCGACATCTTGACCGCGACAATGCACCAGAACCAGATGATCAGCGCGGAGCCGCCGCCTACCGCGAGGTTGATGTATAGATTCCAGTATGTGAGGTCGTACATGTGCGCGCCGGATTTGCCGAGCGCGACGCGGAAGATGTTGAGGATTTGGAAGGAGAGGCCGAAGAACTGCGACAGAGAGCGACGTCAGCAATGTTGTCGTACACCATCGAATTGGATCCTGAAACCGGGGGTGGTGGACTTACACAGCCCAGCACGACGAAGATGTCATCCCACCCTAATCGCATGTTCGCCGTCCGGCACCGAAGTGCTAGTCGCACGATGGTTGGGATGAGCATGAATGCCATACATACGACGATGCTGGCGATGAACTTTCCTTGGAGGGACTGATGATGTTCGCCTGGTGCTGGCCGTTTCACTGGTGAAGGGAAGCCGTTCTTGGGGTCCATCTTGTCGAGCATGCCTAAGTTGAGGAGGAAGCTGCGGACGATCCAGTAGTCGGAGTCTGTGAGGGGTGGCTGGCCGATGAGGGCGGATGGGGGAGGCATGTTTGGGGGTGAGGATGGGTTCGAGGTTCGGTGTCTTGTTTGTTGGCGTGATGCAAGAGGTGAAAGCCTCCAACTCTCACATGTGTGGAGGTTGTAGTGCTTTCGTAGCCGTCGGTCCGATCAAAAAAATCATGTATTGTGCACTTGCTGCAATAGACTGGTGGTTTGCTGCGTGTTTGTGCTGCGTGTTTGTGCTGCGTGATCATTTGAGTGTCACGTCTGTGGAAGCTGAAGTCATCCATGCCGTCCCCGATTCTATAAGAGAGCAGAGAAGAATCTCGCACGGATCCAAGCACAGAACGAAAGTCTGGGACTCGGTACGGTAATCACTTTAGCATCATGGCAACTTCCATGTCGAACAATTCATACCTCGAATTTCCGTCATCGGTTGGCTGTCTCCGCCCCTGTGCCTTACGGGTCCCGTCCGCGGGGAGTGCGATCTCCACTAGATGGCTCCGAGTATGGTTCATCGCGCCATTCGGGTTAGACCATCCGGGATCTTGAAGATCGACGAGTCTGGGGAAAGCTTGAGCATCACCTCGGGGCTTTATGAGCGAATCAGATACCTGCCCGTTGCTGGTTATATTTCCGTTGTTCTGGTTAGAATCTCCTTCTCCACATGACGCACATGGGTTGCCAGGGTCATAGAATTTATTTTCCTAGCCACATATGTCATTTCTAAATGCTTCAACGCCTTGACCACGCTCCAATCGTTCAATTCCAAGTTGGTTGCAGCATCGTCGACGGTGTGCGCGTTGGAAGTACATCTTGAAATGCAGTGTAGCTAAGAAATGGCGAGAGTCGCCGTGTATTTCTTACAGCCGGATGCGATGTCGCGTATCACCAAAGGCGTACGCTGACCACCTGACATACGAGTTCAACACACGCACCATGGTAGCAGGCTTGACTCTTTCCACTCTGAATTCCAAGTGTAGATGTTGTAATGAGCTCTCGAAGGACCACAATATTCGATGACGTCACCTGTATCCGAAGTTTTTTGGTGCGATAGTGCTCCATAGACCTTGTGCCTTGCTTCAATAACGTAGGCGTAGTTGAGATCTGGGTATCAACCTTCTCTGTAGAATGTCAAAAGCTTGCGCAGTGACTCTCGCCATCTGGTCAGTCCCAAGCCCTTACTAGTCTCCCCCATCAATTTATGACGTCACCTACGGCCTTCCTCTACTGAATCCCGTTGCTGGTTTATCAATCCTACGCTTCTCGCCTCTTCTTTGCTTATCACTACGCCAAGTCCAATGTCAGTCTCTCGTCGTGCTTCCAGACTACGTTGCTGTCGACCTGAATGGGATACGTCGTTCCCTAATATTTTCGACAAGATGATACCCGCATCGCGGCGGCGTACTCAATCTGTCGTTACGTACGTGCTAACAGGCGCAAATCTGCCCTTCAGACAAGCTCTTTCTTTTTTGGAGACATGCAATTGCATACAAATATCCGAGAGAATTCGTGGACGTGCTCCTGGCTGTGTATGCTTAAGGGAAATCACCTTATTTTGGGCGTTCCCCGAGCCAAGGATCGTCGAGAAGTTCTTTCGCTGTGCTTCGCTCTGCTGGTTGCCACTTAAGCATTCGACGCACGAAAGTCAAGAACATCTTCTTATCCTCCCCATCAACCTTGTTGACGGAATTTTGGAAGCTGAAGTCTTGAGGGATGAGATCTGGATTGTTTAATTTGCCTGTGTCGCATGTAAATATTCCTCGCTTGAGGCTGAAATTATCGCGTAGAGGCTCACCTTGCTGGTCACAAAACATCGAAGTTCGCCTTCCCCGAGCAAGGAGATCTGCTGGCGGAGGCCCGAGCAATGCCGTGATATATGCAAGATGTTTTTCGTCGTCATACTTCGATTCCATGGGCTTTGCCGCTCTAAAGAGAGAATCCCCCTCCATCAAGTCCCATAGCTAAAGCACATGTTAGTGTTTATTCGCAGTGACAGGATACAACTTGCCATGACTCCCAAGCTCCATATGTCAGCACTATACGACCAGCCTGCGTCAAGGATGACTTCTGGGGCGCGATACACCTCTATCTGGATGGGTCCATGTTGAGGGACGTCACCGCGGACGGCATAACCAAAGTCGGTGATCGACACTATTCCAGTGATCTTTCCAGGGTGGCCAAAATTATTTCGGGAGAGGTAGATCGTCCGGTCATGACATTGTTTTTGAGGCGCTGGATCCTTCATTTCATCGAGCGCAGACTTATGTAGAAGTGACTTGTCTTCTAGTCTAACCATAACGTTATCAGGCTTAAGATCTATGTTATCAGTGAGCTTCTCATTGTCGAGCGACACACTGCTTTAATCAAACGAAAGGCTTGTGCTATGCTTACCAGCATGGATGACGTGGCAGTCGCTATGAAGGAAGTCGAGGGCGTGAAGTAGCATTTGAAGCATGATCTTTATCAGCTGAGGGGGAAGCACTTCGTCCTCAAACCTTCTCATAAGTATCCAGAGCGGTTCGCGCAAAGGCTCGAAAACAAGACATATATGCTCGCCATGAGCGGTCTGAAGCCTGAAAGAGTCAAGCAATGATCGGACGAAATGTCGTCCTTCAGGCCAGAGTCTTGATCTTGATATATGCTGCATGATATCAAGCTCACTCTCAGCTATTTTCCTCTCAAGATCGATAGCGTTTATTTTCACGGTGACGTAGCGGTCGGCGGACCACCAAAATCTACCTTGTATTAAGCCTCGCATTTCCGAGTACACAGGATACGCACTGGTGAAGGTCTCGCGCAAGCCACACGGTGGAAGAGGAACCATGCCCCAACTTAGTAGCGACTTGGTATCTGTCGTGGAGAATATCGCCAAGCTTTGCCGGATAGAAGCTCTTAGGATCGTAATAGGGGGTCTCTTCTTCCTCTGCTGGCTTGCATGGATCGAGGGCCGGGGCGACAGCCGAAGATAGAGGCCATGGAGAAGTGCGCAATAATCGAAAAGGATTTAGCATTCCGCTTCGAGGTCTCAACATGTTATGAGAGTTGTTGGTTGAGAGAGAAGAGGTCGATAGCAGCTGCCCAAAGAATTTGTTCGCGACCGTGTTTAGTCAGCAGCGCCCCCAGAAGGCTTGGCGAAATTTTCGCGGGGGGTTGTACAGGCGTTATTTCTTACACACACATCCAATACTGACCGGTTGACACGAACACCGTGGCACAATTGGCGCAAGTAAGTTAATGAGTGCTTGCACACGGTACTTCTCTGATGATGAGCTTCGTAGTAATGTCTCGCGCTTTCTCCACCGCAGCGCGTGCCCTGCTCCAATTCGTTTGGAAGGGAACTCAACCGGTCGCAAGCTATGAAGAGATAATCGCAAATGACATTGCTATGAACAGCAAATTGCAAGGCAAAGTTGACAAAGTTGAAGTCCAGTAAGTATGATCTGGCATGATGGAAGCTTGCTGAGAAAGCCTAGGGGCGGGGAACACGGAAGAGAGAACAATCTTTGGGTCTCTATAATGATATTCAGCGGGATGAAGCGCCTCGTTTCTGCTCATGCAAACAAGAGAGGATTCTTGGAATATTCAAAAATAGAATACCAGAAGGCTCAAGGTCCTAAGGGCGACGACGATGTCGGCGGAGCAGAAGAGGCTAAGTGAGTTGGGAGGGCACCATGCAATTGCTCATAATCGGAAATTTCGATTCTGCGCATGATTGCTAAGTGCAGCTGTCCTTTCTTCCGAATTCATAGCAGTATGCACATGGTACGGAAAGGAATGCACCCCCCAGTAATGGACCGTTCATTGACTTATTCTAGAGACATGTTGGGTGGGATACCAGGAGGGCACGTCAAGTGCCAATGACACCATAAGTAGGAAGTCATAGAGAGACAATAAAAACTCCTCTCAAGTTTCTGGTCAGATATATCTGCCAATAGAAAGTTCATTGCTTTGGCTCATGAACACGTCCGGCGCATTACGACTCCCAAGAAATGCTAGATCGATCACTTTTGCATAGCCTTCTCAACGACGTCCATCCCACTGAACTTCTTGATTATGCCATCAAACATCCCAGACGGAAGCTTCGTCGCGAACCACGCGAACCAAGCCAACTCTCCCCTCCATATCTCAGGCGGAGGATGTTTCCTCAACAAATCCTGCACAACATCCTTAGCCCACTTCTCCGGTGAAGGTCCAAAGCCTTGGAGTCCTTCCCTTCTCAGCACTCTCTCCACGGGCTCTTTCACCGGCTGATAAATCGAAGATTCCGGCAAAGATGGAGTCTTCGACTTGTTCGTACTCTCGAGAAACCCCGTATTGATCCCTCCGGTCCTCAAATCCACAACCGCAATGCCGAAAGGTTGCAGCTCGAGCCTCAGTGTGGCTGAGAGCATTGCCAAAGCGGCTTTGGACGCGCTATACACGGACTGGAACGGAATTGCCGTAACAGAGGCGGCAGATGTTTGGTTCACGATCATGCCACGAGGCGATTTGACTATCAAAGGGATAAAAGCCTGTGTCACCGCGATGTGCGACCACACATTGAGATCGAAGATTTTCTTGGCTTGCGCGATGGATATGTCGGTGACAGGCATGTAGTACATGGCTCCGGCATTGTTCACCAAGATGTCGAGCTGCGGTATTTGGCTAACGCAGGTGGAGATGGAGGATTCAGATTCTACATCTAAGGCCATCGTTTCGATACCTTGCTCTGCGAGTTTCTTCATCGTTGAGGCATTACGAGCTGTGGCGATGACGTGCAGACCGGCTTTGTGGAAGGCGATCGCGAGATTGGCACCTAGGCCGCTCTCATTCGAGCAGCCGGTGATGAGCACTGTGCGCTTAGTAATTGACATCGCTGGGCTCGGTAGCAGGTGTAAAGGGGTTGGTGGCGAATGGTCTGGTTCTTTGGACGGCCACACGGTGATTGAAAGTTTTGAGCTAGAAAAGGAAATGCTTCAAGAGTAACGAAGTCTTTGCAAAAGGGGGATTTGCGGCAAAGAGCCGAGTATTAACTTCAGGATGAGCTGAAGACAACTGGCATTTCTTATTAGAACGTTGATGTTCTGTAAGCCGGGATTATGAGAAGTTCGTCCCTGATCCCTGCTTACTGTGCAGATTGGCTGCAGCATGTAGTCATTCCCGAGCTGTGGTGAAGACTGGTGCGTATATACAGGAAAAAAGCTCAGCACTTACAATCCGTCGCAGCGACAGACTCATGACGAGCATTATCAATGCCGGTAAGAATTCATCCGTGGCCGTCATATCACGGGACGCTTTTGGGCTAAATCAGGCAATCGTTGTACCGCTCTCTGTAAGCTTACCTCACGGTCAGGCCATACGGTATCAAGAGCCCAACAAGTGATAGGGCTGTGGAAGTGAGAGAAGATAGTAGAGCGACATAAGATAAAAGGATGATCTGTACAAGCTGGAACAACATAGATGAAGTTTCACAAGCCTTTTGGTTCAGTAGATACAGATACCCACTAGGAGGCTTTCTCGGCAAAACTCCCTACAAGTTGCACTTGGCTTCTAATAATAGTCAAAACAAATAAATGACTGAACGAACAAGCTGGAGTCTCCACATCAAGTCTTTCTCATGTAATGATGAGGACGCGTTACAAGAAACGGCGCGCCGATGCAGTCTCAACACCGCTTCACGACCGGCCATTTCGAATATATGCTGAGTAGATGGGGAGGAAGAATGAGACAAATAAGCAGATTCTGCAATCATTTTCCTAAAAAATCAAAGTCTGACCCCTAATTTGTCCACTTGTCCCATTGTCGATGCGAAGATTTAACGAATATTGAGCGTTATGGTTTCCAAGCTGATAGAGCCATTAGCCCGCCTCTTAGGCATCCTATGTATTGTGTGCAATTTTTCCACTTGAGATAACGCCATGAAGGATTGAATGTTTGCCCAAAGGGAAAATTTCAGACATTTAGGCCTTCCGAAATGTCTCTGTTGAGTGCTATCCCTCTACGCCTCAGTGTTTAGACCAGTATTGGGATGACTCTCAATGCGTACTTAAATGCTACGATTTTCCAAACCTTTCCACTCCATTCAACTTTCAATATGAGATAGGCGAAAGCAAGTAGCGAGCGACAGACGCAGCCAAATGTAGCCTGACGGCCACGCAATGATCATACGTCCAGAATCAGGGACATTCAGCACCTTATTGCAAGACTAAGAGAATGGAAATCAAAGCTCATATCCTTCGGGTATATTCTCTAAATGCATGATCACAGCTTTAGCTAAACATGAACGAGCATCTAGCGTTATTAGATATCGATCCAAAAGCGCGCATTTCCCCCTTCGGAAGGTTGGATGTCTTGCGCGTACGGCATTGCCGCTGCACAAAGCTCCACGGGAACAGTCCCAACAAAATAACTACTGCAGCCGCCATATCCGTGCGTACAACATTCCCGTAACCTCTTGAAGATAGACGTAACAAGCGGTACCTCCATCACTTCGAGTTGCATCAAGCCCTTTTAAGCTCCTAGTATCAGCATCACCAGCCCCCTGACCGACCCTGACCCAATGGCAATTCTACACAGCAGCATCACCCATATTCTGAGAATTCTCGCCACCATCACCCTCCTCCTCCTGCATCGCGTCTCCAGCATCATCCCCACAACAACAAACCCAACAAACAACCTCACCTCCCCCTCCCCCTCCCCCTCCCCCATCGACTCTTTCCCCCCCTTCCGCACCGACTCCCCCCAAACCCCCACCCACATCCTAATCCAACCCCTCACCTCCTCCTCCTCCTCCTCCCCTACCCTACCCATCTGGAACGTCCGCCCCGGCCTCTCAGCATTCACGCTCTCCCTCCGCCGCGCCCTCGCTCGCGCCGTGTACCAGCACGGCGCCCACACGGCCCTCGAGCGCACCTATCATTTCAACAATGGCCTGTCCGAGGGCTGGCAGTGGCGGATGCGCGTCTTTGATAATGGACGGGAGAGGGCAAGCTGGAATGATGCCTGGGCTGCTGCCGTCGTGGTGGAGGCCGAGATGAGGAGGTTTTGGAGCCCGGGGAGGGGGTATCGGACTGTGGAGGTTGTGGTGGGGAGGTTGGGGGATGCGGATGCGGAAGGACGGGGGCGGTTGGCGGTGGGGTGGCTTTGGTGGGGGAGGGTTGATGCTGGAGTGGGTGAGGGGGAGGGGGAGGGGGATGTGGCTGCTGTTGGGGAGGGGGAGGGGGAGGGGGTGGTGGATGGGGTGGGTGGTGTTGTGAGGTATAATGAATCTTCTGATGCGGTTTCATAGGCGATATCGTGAGAGAAGTGGTTAGTTGAATGAATCGATTGATTTTTTGGCTACGATTCTCCGCGAAAATGTCAGGGGGGACCAATTACGCTTTTGGGGCTACAAAGCACTCCTGATGACTTTAATCTACAGCAGAGCCTCGCTCGTCACGTTCAATTAGCGCTCTTCTACGTACTTGTAGAATTGAACTGAGACTTAGATCACTGTTCGTACAAGAGCTCCCATGCTGTATTCTTACACGACCTTTGTCGGCACATATGAGCAACATCACATCGACATCAGTGGAACTCGAATGCTTATCTCACGGATGCAAAAGACCACGAGCAAACACTTGACAAGTGCTGAGCCAGACACCAACCTCATCGTACGGCGCTACCAAAGACTCGCACATTCTCCCGTCTATCTGAGGTTCTCGTGAGGCGTTTGTAGAATTGATAGCATTGATAATTGTAACCCTCCAATCATACTAAAAGTACAAAACACAACTGTAACAACCAATGAACCTCCCCCTTCCCTCTCCCTCTTGAAAGCCACAAACTAAATCGCGTCATCCCTCTCAATTACCCATTGCTAAAGCACTGATCCCCACCAGGTTGATTATACAAACAGCACCTATTATCCTCATCCCTAGCGGGCGTCGAGCCATCCGAGCACTTACACCCGCCCGTGAGCGGATCTCCCGTGAACTGGCACCCGGGCTTATCCCCTCCCCCTCCCCCTCCCCCACCATCCGTCGGCGCCGCATCCCCGCCCGTGATCAACCACGCATAAGTGCCGCAATTCGGCAACGTGATCTTCGCCGCCGACGTCATGGCGTTCATCTGGCCTCCCTGGTGCCCACACGGCGAGGTAGTCAAGTCAGCGAACGCCTTACGACAACTCACCACATCTTGCGAACACCCCCTATTGTCCCCTCCAGCCGTCTCCCAGGACAGTTCGAAGGAGTAATCATTCAATGCGTCGGGATCGGAGGGAGGAGTGCGCTTCGCCTTCTTCTTGGGAGCGTCCTTGGGGTTGCCGTGCGCGTCGTACGTGAGCTTCGAGTTCACCGTGCCGTCGATCTGCTGGCAGAATTTGTCGTAGATGTTGAATTGCAGCGGGTCCGCGTTCGTCATTGCGTTGAACATGACTCCCGACAGTTTGCTGTCGTCGCAGTCGGTTTTGGCGTCGTCGTTCACCGTGGCGATTCCCCAGACCGCGTTCGCGGTGCGGATGTAGTCGTCGCACCCGGAGACGAAGTGGTCGGGTTCGTTGGTGGCGTCGCCTTCGGGGCTGTCGTCGGTGGTGGTGTCGTCTGTGGATAAGGTCTGGTCGTTGCTGCCTTTGGGTGCACGGGTGGGGGCTTGGTTTTGTACCGGATCTGTGGGATAGCTGGGGGTTGGAAAGTCAGCTTCAGCCTTGGGTGCTATGTGTGGGTGGTCAGGGTCACATACAGCTTCATTTCCTGCTCGACATACTTTGCCATGGCGAACCAAGCGTATGAGTCCGCTATAAATTTGGTTAGCTGGCCGTTCATCATAGTCGGCAGAAGGTGTGCTTTTACCATTTCGTTGTGTGTAATAGCCGCCTTTTCCAACAGCTTCATAGTTCGCCAGAATTTTGACATTGGACGGGCCATAGCTCCTTTCGTTGGTGACACTCTTGCCAGACTTGACCCTTATCTTGACATCGTCTACGTAAGGACTCTTGTCTGGGGTGCTCATGAAGTAATCCAAATGCGTCATCTCATGGAAGAGAGTACGAGCACGGTTCTGATAATTCCACAGATCGTTCTTATAAGCCTGATTGTTCTTCTTCGCGGTATCCATCTGTTCTTTCAAAGACCTCATCCCATTGAAGAAGTAGTTGCAGAATACGATTTTGCTGTACCATTGTGTATTGTCGCTGTAAGCTTCCACTTCACTTGTTTTGCCTTTGGTAGGTGGCGTTCCTCCAGGGCATTTCGGATTCTTGTCGCCGCACGTATTGCTTTCATCTCCGTCGGGAGCGCATTGGACCTAATTTCTGATAAACACTAGGTCGACACGAAATGCTCTCGGAGACTGACCCTGATCCATAAATTTCTCCAAGCAACCCATGGCGGATCGTAGATATATGGAGGTACCCACCAATTCTTATTGTAGATTTGTTGAGTAGCTTCGAAAATATCTACATCAAGGGTGCGTGTCACTAACATTGTCACATGGAAAGAGGGCACAACTCACGTTTGATCTGGGGTTTAACGCTGTCTAAAACTTTCTTCCTGTCGTCAGTTGCATGGCCCCAGATTTCCTGAGCAGCTTGCGAGTCCCAGTCAATATCATCCCACACAGATTTTTGTTGTGCCAGAGTATAGAAGTCATTGAAAGTCTGGACGATGGTCTGTTGGTCCTGTTTCTCGCAGCCCTTCCAACCAAAGAGCTTTGTTCCCCGCCAGTTCTGGGTTTCCAGTCTACTGCCGTCATCTTTGTTGACGTTTGGCCAAGGGGGAAAGGGGTCTTTGGAGAAGTCCGGTGCGTAATCGAGAGGATGTGGAGTAGCCTCGGTCTGCCTCGGTCTGAGAACGCTTGGAATAGGCCTTTCAACAGGGGAAGAAACAACAATCAAAGGTATAAGCCCAATGATTGTGAAAGCATACAAGCGTGAATAGGATTGAATGGATGAGAACATGACTGCAAAGCTGCCAATAGCTTGACCTTTTTGGAGACAATCATGGCAGGGCATACTGGCCTTATATATCTTTACGGCAGCCATGTTCATGAACCCCAAGATCACAGCCTACTTCAAAGCACCTCCTGCTGAGCATTTGTAACGTGTAGGAATATACCAACCATGCCAAGTCCAAAAGGTATCCAACATACTTTGGATGCTGGAGGTGGGCATCGCCTCAATAGGAACAGACGGTGGCACAAGTTTCAATAGCCTCATACCAACGGCAGCTGACATTGCGTGAAGCAGACCTCCGTAATGTCATTCTGCTCAATGCAGTCGAGGAAGCCATTCACACAGCAGGAAGAACTTCGCCTTCATTTTGCGATATGAGAGCCTCATTTCTGCACGACCAGCACATTTCACATTTTTGACAGAGCATTTGCATTTATTCCATTGTAGCCTGCAATTCACAACAAAGTAGGAGACGAGGCGTGGTCAGGCAGGTGGAAAACGAAGGAAGAATGATAACATCTTGGCGCAATGATTATCGAGAATTCTTGGCATTTCCATAGACTGCTCTAGATCCGGTTAGCGTACTTCCCTGTGTGCAGAACATGATCACATCTACCCGTGAACACTTTGCTCATCTTGGCTGTGGCTGTACAATTGCTGTAGCCGCCAGGAAGATACCAAGGCGTTTTATATCGTTTCATGGTTGCAAAGTTGTTCAATATAGCCACATACCAACAGATCTTATGTAAATCTAGCCTAATGTTGTGTATTATGCTGCGAATTGTTGCAGGTCTTGGCAGTCTGGCTCCCTATCGGGTGCGCAACCGGCTTATTTGCCACCATTTGAATGTTGGTCTAAATCGCTTCTTTTGCAGAGCCTCAAATATGAGCCTCTGTGTGTCTGAAAGAGATGTATATAGATTGATCGCTGTTGGTCGATAGCCATTGTTGTGTTAGATGATGACAAGTCGGAAGGTGCACCGGACAATACTTAATCCGCTCCGTCCGCCCCCTCTGACCTTGCCACACCAACCAGATGAGCATGTATGATCCCCTTGGCACCCCATCATATACAGCACAACTCTGTAAACGCCCCAACATCTCAGCGTCAGATACATCGTAGTAGCCAAGACACACACAGCCTTGCAGCCTCCATTAACGTGCATTTGTTTCAGCCTCTGCGAGCCCCACACCCAGTCCCGATCTCCCCCCCTCCCTCCAAGTCTCCTTAAAAAGGGACCTCACGATCCCCACGCTCCTGCGAAGCGCCCAACAATTCATCTACGCCAGCCTCAATCTCAGCATGCCACCCCCCCCCCTCCCCCCCCTCCCCTCCGCGAGGAATCATCGCCTGCGGGCCGACCATCCCCTACGACCCCTCCGTCCGCACAACCTTCAACGACATCGGCGCCACGATCCACGCCTGGCCTTCGCGCGGGGGCGTCATAATCCTCGACCCCGCCTGCGCCATCGACTTCGAGTTCCTGCACTTGGACCCGCTAAACCCGCCGCTCGAGCGGCTCGATGATCAGGACGCCGAAGACGCCTTTTGCAAGCGGTTGTTGTGTTTGGGTGCTAAGTGGTGGGATAGTGAGGCGAGGTGGCATGTCGTGGGCGCGATGGAGCTTGCGGGTAGTGGGGGGATTGGGGGTGGTGGGGTTGGCGGGGGGATGGGGGGAGTGGGGGGAGGGGCGTCGATGGCGCGTTCAGACTCCCTGAGCAGCCGGCGCCGACGATGAGGGAGAAGAGGCTTGTGAGTGTCGGATGGCCTGCGACTGGGGGACTATGGGTTGCGGAGTTCGATACCACGTGGGGCGGGGTGGAGGAGGAGGAGAATTTGTGTGAGGAGGATATGGGCAGGTTGGCTATGTGTCGGACGATGGAGGAACGGTGTGCGGTTTTGAGGGAGAGGTTTGGGGCGAGGTTTTATGAGACTTTGGAGATGTATGAGGGCTTTGCGTTTCTGAGGGCGTGGGAGTGGAAGATGGGTGGTGAGGTGGGGGAGTTGTTGCAGCCGGAGGAGACGGTGGAACTGTGGAGTCAGTTGCGCGGAAGGAACGGGTGAGGAGGGATGTGCGTTCAGCGGCGTTTTGGGGGATTGGTTGTGTGGAAATGGCATACCGGCTGAATAGGAGTTGACTAACACCCACCAACGCCAGGTTGCTTGAAACCTTATCTCTTATTGTTTCTATTCCCTTACATCCATTTTCAATCGTGTCGTCAAGAACCGTGAATCTGACGGTAATGACTGTGTGCTTACCGAACCTGAGCCTCTCCGGGCAGAATGTTGCCTCGCAGCCATACTCAGCATCTATCAAGTCCCCCCCTCCCCCCGCCCCCCACCCCCTTCCCTCTGCGATCGCAAGACGCCAAACAAGAGCATTGGGCAGCTTGTCCCAAATCCAATCTATTTTCTGCACAGCTGTAGATAAAGTAGAGGTGGTGGAAGAAAACCCCATTCATTTTAATCCTACGTCAAGAAAAAGAAACTGCACATCAACTAGCTTCAGGTCAAGCTGTTAAGTATTGGACGCAGCTGTACCCCTCCCCCCTGGCCCCCTCGCCGCTCCTCAGATCACAGCACTGGAAAGTGAAGACATGGGTTCGGTTGCAGCGAGCGGGTCAGAGACTAGACCCCTTGCCGTAGAATGCAGTAGATCTTGAAGTACATGGATTTAGACGACATATGGTGGGAGGTAGGTGGGTAGGTAGGTAGGTGGGTAGTCAACAGCTAGATATTCGTGCCACTGGATTGTGCAAAGTATCCAGAAGTGCCCCAGTCGATGGATTGGAGCTTGAGATGATGAAGAAGATAGAGGCAATTCCCCCTTCCCCTCGTCCCCCTCCGCCAGCGTGTAAACGCAGTATGGAAAGGTCTCGGTGCGACGATTGATTCTCCTGGGCAAGAAGATAGGACAAATGTCGGTCATCACTATTTTGTTGCCTCTGTCTACGCTACTCTTTGGGCAGGCGTGCCGAGTAAACAACGCCTCTCTTCTCAATAAAAAACCAAAAAAAAAAACCATGCATCGCGCGGTGTCCGCGTCGTCTACTCCTTCCCCTTCATACTCCCTTGCAAGTCCAAGCTAGCCATGTTCCTCCGCAACAGTCTGTCTCCCCCAGTCTGCCTTTCTCCTTCCTTTACATCTTGCTACTTCAATCCTGCGGGACGGCTTTTCTTGAGCCTTCACCTCCCCGTTTAGCTTGAAGTTGTGCGTGCAAGACTTTCCGGGCGAAGGGTATAATCCTTATGGATCATCTCGTCTTCCCTTCTTGCTTGCAAATTTGATCATGAGGGGGTAGCTGCATTACAGGCTCTGGAACGGCGTGCCTGATGGGTCTGCACTGCACGTCCTGCGAATTTCACCGAGAGGTGATCTGCCGCTTGTGCTGCGCGCACCTTTCCCAGCTGTGATGCCGCTGTTTGAAACAATGAGAACCGCTCGCCGAACCTGAGGCGCTGTAGGAGCGGCAGCCTGAGCCTGTGATCCCCGGCCAGATGGACATGTCATCGGGTGAACAAACGAATGTTTGCTGCGGAGGCTCTTGTCGTGTAAACCTTCCACTATGTCGACATTTGGAGTGCTTTTACTCGTATTCCTCACCCCACGAGGCGCGTGCTCCATCACAAGACTAGCAAGCCCAACACACAACCAACGAGTGCTATTGCGCCCCACCGAGCTTGTCCGATCACGTGTACTCCATCACTCTTCTTCTGTTCGCTACCCCCTACAGGCGCAGGTGCACTTGTCCCGCCCTTCCTTCCAACCCCCATCTGTATCGCCTCGGCCGCGAAGACCACCTTTTTCGTCGCGTGATACGTTTCTGTGCCGACTTGATAGGTGCCGAGGTATGTTGAGGCGGGGAGGAGATCGTGCTGGTACAGGTAGCGCAGGAGGGGGGAGAAATCGTGGCCGGGGGCGAGGGAGGTGAGGTTGGAGGAGGCGAGCCAGGTGAATACAGTCTGGTTGGATTGGTTGGGGCCCATGAAGAGGGAGCTGTGAGTGTGACGGAGAGATGTTAGCTTGCGCAATGATTGGGCGGATGTTGGAGGAGGGGGAGAGATGGCTCGCGTAAGGTTCTGGGGTTTGAAGGCAGAGAGGGTCGCTGGGGATATGAGATGTTGCTTACAAGGTTGTCCCGCTCAGGTCAAAGGTGGGCGGGTCAGACGTATTCTGGGAATGGAATGGCTGTACCCCTCCAACGGTCCCAATCCATATCATTGTTTCGTAGGCGGCGGCAGTGCTGAGTTTGGCTTTCTGGGCATTGGCGTCGAGAAACATGTCCACAGCCACGTTTGCTTTGGTAGAAGCAGCACTGAGGCTGTCGATGTCGATAGCGAGGGATGGCGCTCTGGCTGTTGCTGCTGCTGCCATTGACCAGTTCAGAGCTAGAGTCAAGGTCGCCATGTCGGACAGCTGGAGGGGCAGGGCGGTAGTGTCGTTGAAGCCGACATTGGAGTACGAATGAACGCGGTCGTCATTCTCGTGCCACTGCCACGTCGTCGAGTATCTGCTGCTCTCGTTGACTTCGGTGCACTGGCTGCCCGATCCATCATCACCCCATAGGTTGTTACTGACTACGTGGACGTTAGAGATGGAGCAGCACACAACGATGATGAGGTGCTCTGACAGGTGTAGTTGCTCTGTTGCGGCGTGTAATGATCATACTCGCCACAGAGGGTCTTGCCCGCAGCAACGGCTGAGAAGCACACAACAGCCCACCCCAGTACCCTCGTTCTCTGGGTTGCGATCGACAGCTGCATCTACGATGTTTATTATTCTTCCGACGGCGACGCTCCTACGATGTCGCGTTGGTGGATAATCTCACGGTGGTCGAGTACGCTAAGGAGATAAGAGGACAATGCACAATGCGGTGTGTGTCACGGTCAAGGGCGCATCCAGCAGGAAGATTGGCCAGGTCCAGCCAGCCGCAATCTTTCCCTTTTGGGATGTACTAGGGTGCCAAGCGCCTGTGGCGTCATCTAGCGTGGCTGGACAGGGGCAGCGCACGGTTCCCGGCGTCGGACCATTGCCGGCTTCATATGTTCCATGATGCTACATGTAAAGACAGATAGAACAGACATACACGGACAGGTGTCGTAGATATGGTGCCGAGACATAAATCCAGCGATGATCCAGATTGTGGGTATCTAGATCCATTCTGCATGGTGGAAGACTCGCAGGGTTGCGAGGCATGTGAGATAATGCACGATGCAGGGGCGACACACATTGGGGACACCTAATCTTGAGGCTCAATTGAGTTGCCAATCGGAGGAGGCGCCGACTTCGGCCGCGATCCTGCCTGCCAAGCCATGTGCCAAGCCACGTGAAAAGTCTGCACCTGAGATTACAATGGCTTGAGTGGCCCCCATTATTGTCATCGTTGTTATGCACCGCTACCTATGCAGGGGTAGTACGACGCATTGAACGTTCAATGCTATCGTCCGGCCTGCTGGCCTGTCGCCTCAAAATTGATGGTGTTGAGTGATCTAGGCGCCAGACATGCTCACAAGTCACGTGTCGTCAGTTTCGACGGTGAGCTGAGAGAAACAGATGTGATACTGCACATCAGTGCACCAGCTCGCCCTATCTCAACGCCGTCGAGCCCTTGATCAGCTAGCCCCCGGCTCGGTAGTCTTCGGCATCTTCCCTGGAAAGAGCTTATCACATTTCCAGCGCATATATGAAGCCAAAGCAGGCCTGGAGTGGTCGATGATAGGGTCAAATGACAGACCCTCGATCCAAGCGGCGGACGGACCCGCTGTCGGATCCACTTTGCATATCACCAGCCTGGCCATCAAACCATCGTTGTCTTCTTTGGGACCAGGCTTAACGCTTTTGGTCAAACAATAATCTCAAATGTCCTCTTTCCGGTAATACCATATCATGACCCTTGCTGGCGTGAGCGCATACTTCTTCGAATTCTTCGGCAAGTGCGATCAGGAACCTCGCCGCCGCTCACGGCTCGGCCGTGTCAACCCATGCTCGCGCTTCTGCAAAATCAATTTGCTGCAACGGCGTTCGCAACGGCCCAGCTGAGTTCATCGATTCGTGCATCCGATCGTAGCTAGCCAGATGGTGGCTGAAGCTTCTCTATCAAAATTTGGCTTCGAACCCTTAGCAGGACCCTCAGACTACCCTCAACCAGCCGGAGCCTCCTTAGATGGAGCCTTATCATCAGGCTGATGACCCAACAGGGAAACACTGTATGGTGGCGTGCTCATGGCGAGCTGACCCTCAGGGTCTGGAGTAGTCCAAATGCTGCATACCATCCTTTTCCTTCAGATGGGCTGTGGGAAAAAACGAGGAAAAGCGGTGACGGAGAACGCAAGATGCAACGAACGCCTAAGTCCTTCTCTTCTGGCGTTTCTCTTTTCACACCCCACTATCGTTTGCAATTGAGGTTCATCAGCACTTGATGTTACCTTCCACTCGCTTTGCTCTTTCATAATACGCGGCCAGACGTAGCACCCCGTCCACAATCCTCAAAATGTCTCAAAATCAAAGGCAACGCGATCCTTTTCAGGACTCACGAATTGTTAATGCCTCCTCCAACGCTTCTTTCGTGTCGTCGAATGTAATGTCTCTCAACTCCACAAGCATTCCTCCCATAGCTGACTTGCTAGGTCTTTGGCGATCAAAATGAAGTACAAACCGGATCCGCAATTCCTACCAGAGCACAAACACCGGAGAGGGATAGCGACATCATAGTAGGCCGGAGCCTTCGTGCCACTACCAAGGTCATCTGACTGACATTACTATCAGGACTATTACCAAGCCCCTCAGCAGATCCCACACAGTCAACAGAGCGTCCCCCTCAGCGGCAGGAGCAGTACTGTAGAGCATACAGCGCAAGAACCGACCTATCCGCCGGCAGTATACAATGAAAAGCCAGCAGATGCATCAGAACCTCGGACGACGAGACGATCAAGGCTATCTCGATTCTCACTTTTTCCTTCAAGAACGAAGCCCGAGGCTACCGAGCAGCCTATCAATGAGAAATCTGACGAGGCACCCAAGAAATCTGATGAAGCACCCAAGAAGATCCCCAAAGCCAAAGAAGATCTCGGCTTCTTCGAACGACAGTGGATCCATTTCAGAGGAAAATACTACCAGAAAGGCGCACCAGACCTGGTTTTCCCAAGTCCACCTGACGACAAAGAAAAGTACTGCTACATCAACATGAACCGCATCCCGCTCATGGCATGGGGCGTCTTCTCCTTCTTCAGTCTCGGCGCAGGCATGTGGCTCTTCCTCCTCGCGACCCCAGTATGGGCCTGGTACGGGCTCTTCGCCGTGCTCGCCCAATTCTACCTCGTCACCTCCTACGGCATCAGCTGCATCGGCAAATCCTTCAAACGCGACGCGCACGACGAGATCCTGCGCAACAACCCCGTCGGGCCCGACGCACCCACAATCGACATCTACCTTCCCGTGTGCCGCGAACCCATCGAAATCATCGAAAACACCTGGAAAACCATCATCCAACTCCAATATCCCGCCGACAAACTCAAAGTCTGGGTCCTGGACGACGGCGCGCAAACCTCAATCCAAGACCTCGCGGCCCGCTACGGTTTCGAGTACATCTGCCGCGACGACCGACCGCACCTCAAGAAAGCCGGCAACATGCGCTGGGCCTACGCGCGCACAACGGGCGACTTCTTCACCGTCTTCGACGCCGATTTCTGCCCCCGCCCAGACTTCCTCCTCGAAACAATCCCCTACCACCTCGCGGACCCCAAAAACGCCATCGTGCAGACCCCGCAGTATTTCCGCTCGCTGAAGGCCCAGACGTGGGTCGAGCAGGGCGCGGGGTCCGTGCAGGAGTTCTTCTACCGCGTCGTGCAGACCACGCGCGATACATGGGGCGCGTCGATCTGCGTGGGCAGCAACGCCGTCTACCGCCGCGAATCCCTCGTCGCCGTCGGCGGTACCGCCGAAATCGCGTTCTCGGAGGATGTGCACACGGGATATCATGCGGTCGATCGTGGCTGGAAGGTCAAATACGTGCCCGTGGTGCTGGCGTGTGGGATCTGCCCTGATACGCCGCGCGCGCTGTTTTCGCAGCAGATGCGCTGGTGTCGCGGCTCCACTACCCTGCTGTCCAATAAGGAGTTCTATAAGAGTAATCTGACGAAGATGCAGAAATTCTGCTATGTGACGGGCTTTCTGTACTATTCGGCCAGCGCGGCGGCGATCTTTATGAATCCCTTGCCTGGCCCGCTACTGTTGTGGGTAAGGCCGGATTATTTCAAGTATTACAACCTCTTCTTCGCCATCCCGTCGCTCGTGTACGGTGTTATCATCCTCAGGCTCTGGGCCCGCAGCAATTACAATTTGAACGTGCAGTTCAGTAATGTGATCATGTACTATGCGTACGTCAACAGCATCTTCGACCGCATCAGGGGCAATGCGCTCAATTGGGCTGCGTCGGGCGATGCGAAGGCGCACAAGAATAATAAATATCGGAATATGCGCTTGTTGTGTTGGGGGTGGACGATCACGCATAACACGGCGCTGTTCGTGGCCGTGGGGTATAGGTTGGCCAAGGGCTTCCCGTATTATCAGGTCATTCCGCTGATACTCCTGGATTTGTTCAATCTTTATTGCAGTCATCGGTTCTTGTTGTTTCGCGAGGTGGAATAGAGAAAAGGAGGGGGAGGGAGGACATAGAGGGATAGAGCTGCAAAGTTCGCGATGGGATGGGGTGGGAAGGGATGGTGAAAGGATATAGAGATTCATGACGCGATGACATACTCACTTGGGCGGCATACTTGACTACACTACTATCGTTAATATCTAATCTTAATCCATGAGGTTTATCTGGAGATCTGGTCTCCGTGCGGCGATAGATGCAAGGAAAGTTGTTTTGAAATTTCGGGTCGCGCGTTGAGGAATGGGCAGACAATCTTATTTCAAGACCTTCACAAATCATTACACTACTTGATTCATCGCAATGGTGAAGTTTGCGAACGCACTGATAGCCATCAGCTTACTCGTTAACAGGGGGTTGTCCCTTAAAACGATCACAAGCTATTCAAATACCGCCAAATGCTTCTACTCGACCTCGCTTTACGACGGCTCTCTACCTAACACACCGAGCCCGGTTCACAACGCCTCTGCCTCAGTACTCCCTGGTGAGAATGAAGTCCTTTACGATGACGAAAGCCATGGCTGTCTTACGTTCTAGGCTCCTCATCCAGCAACAGTCTTTCACCGAACATTTTGCACACTGAAAGCGGAGTCAACCTCCCAGACCTGAGCACGTCGATATCAAGATCGTTTTCTTCTCAATCCTCAAAACGAGATGAGGCAACATCTCAATCTACACCAAGTCCAACTATCGCGATATCAGGCTCAAGCCTTAGCAGTTCAGCGTACGTCTTTCGTGTCATATCCCCCCCTGAAGCGAAGCTGACAGGGTATCATAGTCTCCCCACTACCACACAATTATCGCAACTCTTGATCGCTCCCCAGATTGCACCAGGTGGTGACTCAGAAAATCGAACAAATGAACATGCGGTTGTTGCCGATGACGGTTTCGTCACAGCGAATGGAACAAGCAATCAGGATTGCAGCAAATCCACAACTGGCTTCTTTACCGGCGGATCAGGAGTGCTGAGCCTCCTCGATGATAAGGAATCGATCTATTCAGTAGACTATGGTGTGCCATTTGCGCCCTTCATCCCCTCAAGGACTAAACATGCAATCTCTTCATTTTGGCGAATGGAAAACAATACTTTGCGATGGGACAATGCAGCGTTTCTCGGCGGTACCGCTAGATTTTGTCTCTCTGCTGGGAACAACATTACTGCGTACTTTCTCATCGGCCTGCCTGAGGACTGCAATGCGATACAACTTCAAGTCAAACCAGGTACGATGATAGACGATTAGGCTTAATAGTAATCAACTGACAGTATCAGTGGCTGCTTGTCACCCACCAGCAACTTCTAGCATATCATCAAGCAAATCTGCAACATCAGCCAAATCCAGCGGTTCTTCCAAAGTCTCCACCGTCTCTCCACTTTCCTCATCAGCCTTCATCAAGTCCACCTCCGCGACAGCTTCAGTATCCCTAGTAGCTGTCTCGACCAAATCATCCTCATCCTCATCAAAGAGTAACATTACGGTAAGATCGCAGCCGCCTTCGGTGCCTAATCCTACAATTATGCTTCCGGCTTTCTCGGCCACAGCTTCTAAGCCACCCACTCTGTCTGGTCTCACCTTGGAATCTCCCAAAACTTCCATGAGCTCGTCTCCCCCATCATTTTCTTTCGCTTCGGTCCATTCTACCGCACTCCCGTCTGCCGCTTCACCTACGACTTCGATGCCGGTTGCCTCAGCGGCTATATCAGGTAACCCAACGTCTGAGCTTCGCTCTATAACAACCCCATATAGTACGAGAAGTACCAGTATTGTTTCGTCTATATCACTGAGTAGAGCAAGTAGCCCAGATATAGCGACGCCCTTGACACCTGCCTCTCTATCGCCGAGTGCAAATCCCGTTCCTACGTCCGTCTCAACCCCTAGTACAGGCAATAGAGCGGGATTTGGCTCGGAATTCACCTCCTCCACGCGTACTTCTACTACTCAGACCTCGACCAGTGCAATATTGCTCATCTCAAGCTCTGGAAACTCAGTCAGCACGTCATCACTTACCACTCGGACGTCTAGCAGCACGGTCAGTCCTACCACCTCAACGTACACAAGCTCTCCGGCATCGAACTTCGTAGCCTCTGCGAGCACTTCGGTTTCTGGCACGTCCACATCTTTGAGCACAGCTATATCCAGCTCTTCAATAACGTCCGCTTCAACATCCTCTACCTCAAGATTCCCCAATTCAGCATCTTCGAGTACATCAGTGTCCACCAACCCTACAACCAGCAGTGTGCCAACTTCAAGTACTTCAATGTCTGGCAGTACATCAACATCGACTACTCTAATATCGACCTCCTCTTCATCGACAAGTACGCCAGTATCGGCGACTAGCACGTCATCCTCTTCTTCTTCTTTATTAACCACCATATCAACATCAACCATCTGGTCATCTCTCAGTATATCTACCAGTAGCAGCAGTAGCAGCAGCAGCAGCAGCACAAGTGCCTCACCAACTCCATCACCAACTTGTGGACCAATCTGCAACACTCCCGGCGACGGAGGTGGCCAGTCGTACTTCATCGACCGGACCAGTGGCGTCGCAAATGTCAACGCGTGCGCGACATTGTGCAAGGCCATTGCGCAATGCGTCGCGTTCAGCTGGTACGCTCCTATTGGGATATGCGACAGGTACTCCAAATCGCTTTGCGATGCGCATTACCATGTCGGCTCATCTGGCTCTACACAAGTTGCATTCTATGATATTGCATGTTTTCCCTGATAATAGTGTCTTGCTCAAACATCGCTAGACAGGACTACTATCTGGTCGCTGTACAATTCTCATTCTGCCATCTACACTGAAGGCGCATACTAGACGCACACTGATGAGGTCTCGAAGTGCCGTATGGGAGCTGAGACAGCAGATGATAATTTTCAATATTGCTTTACGATATAAGGGCGTTATCTACTTCCTGAACTCTTGTGCTCACTCTATTGAACCCTCAAGACCTGAATCCCGAGGGCCGTTGGACGTTGATTCTTCTGTTCGCAGGACTCAACGACTTCGGAGGAGGGGCTGCGAGAATATTGGGAATATAAGAAAGAGGACGAAGATCATTTCGACGACGTAGCTTTTTAAGGCTGTGTGACTGATACCTAGATTTGACTTAGGATACCAAAAGCAGGGACAAATGTCAACTCGACCTCGATATTTACCATTCCTCCAACGGTATATCGCCGCTTAGTACTTATAGTTGACAACCCGGCGATCAAGACTCTGGCTCAAGCTAAGAGCCGAATCCAAAACCGAGTCGTGTACCTTTGGTATCGCTAAGCTGAATATACTTCTCTCAAATCAAGGAACGGCACGATGCAACTCTTAACCTCGTCCGCGTGTACGATGGTCTTTTCGCCTCCACTTTCACCTGCTTTTTCTCCAATAAGATCTTCTTTGGCCTTGAAGTACTTGATGCCGTCGCAGCCGTGCTGACTAGAGAGCCACGGTCTGCCAAAAGTCCAGAACATTTTCCGCCCCTGAATGACCCCGTAAGGCTGCACTTCCCACCCAAAAATACCCCAAAAACCCCCTGATTAGGTGCTTTACGCGCCCTCACCTTTCGACCCCTCATCACCACACCCACTCCATGCCAGAGCAGTGTGCCGCATGCAACGCACCTCGCTGGCCCCCAAACCCCCCTCCCCTCGCTTTAAAACCACCAGCACGCTTCCCCGCTGATCCTTCCTTTTCCATTTCCTCACCAGCAACTAAGACATCCTCCCCCTCCCCTTCCCCCTCCCTCTTCATTCCCCACATCGCTTCAGACCTACCATAGGAGACATGTGCTGTTTCAACCGCCGCCGTCGCAAACGCCCCGCCTACCAAACCTACGCCACTGGGGGGTCCGACTGGACCAGCGCACCTCCACCACCGCCATCCTACACTTCCCCATCCTCCTACAGCTCGCCCTCTTCCATCGCCATACCCGCCACATACGCCCTCGCGCCACCGAAATCCACCTACCAACCCTACCAAACCCCCGAACCCTCTTACCAACCTACGTACTCAGCGCCCCCTCGCATCAGCCAAACAAACCACAACCCAAACCAACCAACATCCTTCCCCCTGCGCTCAGCGCCCAGCTGTCGCACGTGCTCCGTGCGCGGAACATGGGGCGAAGTCGGGCGCATGAACCGCAACGGTAATGTCGGACGCCCGTTCTATGTCTGCGCGAGGTGTAAGCTCGATCCGGATGTGCTGGCCGGTCCGAATGGGAAGGGCTGGGTTTGTTGGGATGATGGGATGTGCGTTTCCCCCCTCCCTTCCCCTTCCCCCTCTTTCCCCTTCCCCCTACCCCTTACCACCCCACCCTTCCCTTTATCCCCAACCCGCCCACCCAAAGCTGACATCAGGGTGAAGAGGTCTGGCGCCTAATAATCCTCGCTGTAGCTGCGGCATGCTCGCCCGCCAGGACCGCACGGGTGAGACTTCCCGGAACCCGGGACAAGGGTTTTGGACGTGCTGTAACGGTGCGTGTGGATATTTGAGCTGGAGGGCTGATGGGGAACGAGGGGGAGGTTGGCAGGATGCGTTTGAGCCGTGGTTGCTTGCGAGGAGGTAGGGAGGTGAGGAGGTGAGGAGGTGAGGAGGTCAGGGGGTAAAGGGGGAAGGGGGTAAGGGGGGAAGGGGGGAAGGTGTATGAGGGTTGAGTTGGTGTTTGTTGCGATAGGGGTGGTAGGTGGCAGGTAAGTATTGACTGGCGACGGGTTTTTCTTTTGGGGACAATATGGTGTTCTTTTTCTAATGTGTGGGATGCTTGGAGATGGAATGTAAGCTGTGTATAGCAACTTGGCTTTTAGTAATAGTTTCGACGAGAAAAATGCTATGGTGAGTGTTGTCGACTAGTTTGTACCAAGAATTGCAATCTTTGCTTAGAGCCGTATATCCGAGCTTACATAAACGTTTTGTAAAGTTGAGTCATTTTCATTTGAAAGCAGACAATGAATATTCTGGGATTGTGCCGTAGTAACAGAGAATAACAACATGCTTCATTAGAGTAGTCATCCTCCATCAATCTACCTGCACAGAACTTTCCACCTAGAAGGCGTCTAGACAAGTCTTCAAATTAGACACTATTGTCTGCTGAATGTCAATGACTTTCACGTCTTCGTCACTATCATCATCATCGTCTTGCTCGTCACCCCCTATCAGAACCGCATCCTTCTCTAGGGCCTTCTCCTGTTGGCCTTTATAACGCAAAGCCATCATAACTGATGTTACGAACTTGCGTGGCAGAGTTGACGCCAATTTCGTTTCTAGAATTTCCAAAGTACTTTCTTGGCTCATTATCTGTGGTATATCGTCGAGGTCTACTTGCAGGATCATTTCGATCGGTGACCACAAGCCTATCTCTACGAGAATCATCCCAAGGGCGTAGACATCGTATTTGGCATGAAAGCTTGGTCTTGTTTGTCCTATGATATCGAAGTGGCGATATGCCCTAGCTCGGGCGCCTGAAGCAGACGGAGCCTCCGAAAATTCCGAGGGAGAGTTCTTACGAGCGAATGAGAAACCCATGAGGTATGGTCCATATATGGTGCTCATCCACTCTCTTTGCGCATTATCATCAAAGTCTTGAGAGGTGGAAAGCTTTGTAGGGTCAGTGGTGTGAGTCCAGATGATTGATTCTGGCGAGACTCCTTTGTGCACCCAGCCAGCTGTATGTAGTTGAAGAAGTGTTTCTGCGATGCTTGTGCACCAAAGCAAGCGAAATCTAATGTCGGGTATAGTGATGATTATGGATGTCATAAACCCCGTAAGATCATACACGGGAATATCGGGAATCTCCAAAGCGAGTTGACCCTGATTTAGGACATTCAGTTGAGGGAACTCGTATAGAAAGTGTAGGACACCAGCAGAGTCATTTTTCAGAAAACCCTTGCACTTCAAGGTATGAAAACTCTCACTGACAGTTTCGTGAAGTAGGATAGCAATATTCTCGGCACGGTATAGAGACTTCTGTTTCTCTGCTGGGTTACCGATGAGGTTCTTGTTTTCAGCCAGGTAGTATTGATTGCCATATGTCACAATCCTACGGCCATCCGCTATTTGGTCATTCAACAGGCTCTGCTTCAATCTGAGTGCCTTCACCTTCGCCGATCTGGACTTGCTCTTCAGCGCTCCTTGAGTAGACGGCGTCGAATTCTCGATGTCAAGCTTTGCTTGTCTCAGCTGACCAGCCGACACAATAGATGGATCATCATGACTGGCTAATTCTTTGATCGTATCTAGGCCATGAATGCTTTCAGATTGAGCGATTGAACTTCGCAGCAACCGATCTAGTGAGTCTCTGATGTATCTGCGATCGTCAATTACTAGAGCATCCCACAAACACCCGGTGATAGATTTCACATCATCAAGCAAGGATTTCAAATTGTCTTTATCAACCATTGCCCATCTAAGGCATTTGACCGGACTGCGTTTAGACTTTTCACGGATGAGATTCGAGCTGTACAACAAAAATTTTCCACTGATATGGGGCGTCAGGCTTCGGAGTCCGCCATAACCAGCCTCGCCATCAAAAGCTTCCACAAAACTGTCCGTCAGTTCGTCTTGAGTAAGTTGAAGCCCATAGCGCTTTTTCAATAGCTCGGTATCTGTAAGCTTCGATTGCAGTTGTTGAAGTAGATCACACAGAAGAGTCCAATCAAGATTTCGGTTCGCCTCTCCGTCGATGATGCCAACTTGTTGAGCCCACTCAAATAGACGATAGTGCTCCCACTCAATCATACATCTTAGGAAATCGCCGTCTTTGCCTATCTGCCGAGCTGTCGAGAGTAATACAAACCCTTGAACGCAGCCTTGGAAAACTGTAATGCCTAGAGAGATCAACCCTGCAATACTTGCAGCGCCTTCTATGCCCGATGCCATAGAGCCCTGCCTCCGTTGGGGTCATACAGCGACGAGGCTCAATATAATCGAGATGGAAACAATGTCAAAGGTCGGTACTATTTATAGATCAAGCCCCTCTATGTGCGTAGGGTCGGTCTAGCCTAAAAGAGAAACGGACTGAGATATACGCAAAGACATGATCATGTGTATTCTGCGCAATCTCGAAGTTGTTCTGTTCTTCCACTTTCCTACAATTTCAGGATCAAGAATGGCTGTGGACTCGATTGACTACAGTAGCGGGAGCGCTTATTACAAAAGGATATACAGTACGATTGAGCTCATCAATCCCCCTGTGACCAGTATCCAATAAGGCATTTAACTTGTACGCCTCGATGAACAGCATTCGGAGCATATGATTTGCTATCAGATTGGATACAATGGGCGATGCTAAGCTAATTCCAAACAAGTACCTCGAGCTTTGCCCGGATCTCGCTGCACTTGTCGACGTAGCTTGGAAATCGACCCTCAAGTCGTCGAACCAGCTTCATGCTACCTCCTACCTCCGTACCTCAGAGGCCGCTGCAAATTCTATCAAGATCGGACAGGGGGCGTCTTTTCTCGTGACTCGCAAGAACGTTCCGCCCGTGGAAGCCTACTGGTCATCTGCAAAGCCCAAAGATGGCATCACTGTCCAGCCGGAACGTCCATGGAAATCCAAGGCGGGATATCAAATCGTGTACAAGATTGCTCGCATTCAGTTCAACAGTGAAGGTGACCCATTACCCAGTCAACGTGTCACCTACGCAAGCACTTTGCTTGACTTGATGGTACTTAGCCATGGTCCAGTAATGAAGCATCCCCATATTATCAAATTTCTAGGTCTCGCGTGGGCTGACAATGGTCATCTCGACACTTGTCCAATTCCCGTTCCCATTCTGGAGCATGCTGCATTTGGTAATCTGGCCGACTATCAGGAAACAAAGAGTCTATCCGTCGAGAAGCAGTACGAGCTTCTTCACCAGGTCGGGACTGCCATGAAATTTCTACATGCAAATTCCATCACGCATGGTGACGTGAAAAGTGAGAATGTGCTGTTGGTTGCCGACCCAGAGAGAGAGTTCGTGGCAAAACTATCGGACTTTGGGTTCGCAGTACTAGGCAGCGAGGGATATTTCAATTTCCTTCCTCGAGGGACTCTGCTGTGGTCCGCTCCAGAAGTCAGAGCAGGTACCCTCAAGACTGTGGAAGCTCCGCTATCAGACGTATACTCTTTCGGTCTACTATGCTGGAGGGTAGCCCTCGATGGCATAGATCCTTTGTGTGCGTATTTCCTGACTGATGAGCAAGTTGTTCCTCCGAATCTTCACCGTCTGGACCGCGAGAGTCTGGAAGTGTATATGAGAGAAGACATGATGTGCGGACGAGCGTCTCCTTCGATGTGGATGTTCAAACTTGTTTTGCTACAAGCTTGGCGAGCGTCTCGTGGGGAAGCCAGCGTATCAAACTTCACTACCGTTTTCACTTCTGCCCTTTCCATTGCAACAGCGAGACAACCTCCTTGGATGGTAGTCCTCCAGTCGACATTAGCATTTGACCCGGGAAAAAGAGATCTATCTGCTGCCATTGCCGCCCTGAGGTGATAACAAGAGGCGACATTCATGTTTCAAGCTGACTGCTGTCTTTAGGGATCATGCTCCCAATATTGCAAAGACGCCAGCTGCAGAATCCATTGAGGAGAGCTCTGCATACAATGTTCTTCAGGCCAACAATGTATTTCAAGCCCAACTATACGCGTATGCGCTGACGATGCCTTAGACAACAGTCTCGTGGAATTCATTAAGACTAATGCCTCCAGCGGTAAGTAATCACATTTTTGAACAAAAGTGCCGCAAGCTCGAGAGCAGCCTCGCTGCCGGCCAGAAAGGCTTAGCACAATTCGCATATGGCCTTGCATGCTGCTCTTTCAGTGGGATGGGCTCAGATCATCACCTTGACACAACAAAAGCTATCAAATATCTGCTGATTGCAGCCCAACATGGATCTTTGGGAGCGATCGCAGTGGTCCCAAGAGTATGTAGAACATTCAACAAAAACGTTTCAGATATTACACCTCAACTCAAGCAGTGTGCCCAATGGGGTTCTCAAGCAGCACTTGAGGACCTTCCAAGAATAAGCATGGATGCATATAGAGAAGCGAAAGCTTTCTTGCATGGAAACATGTGCGGTATTGGTGCTCAACTTTTCCGATGGTACAATCCACCGTGGCTGATGCAACATGTCAAGTCAATGGATTATGTTGAGGATTTCATCAAGAAGTCTGATCAAAAGCCTTCAGAAATCATGATCAACCCTCGTGGCGACTATCTACTTTCATCGGCAGCATCTCTTGGTGTCCTCGATTTAGTCATCCGTCTGGTCGAACATCACTCAGTCTCGATCAACCAATTGAACGAGCAAGGTGAAAGCGCCTTACATTGTGCAATGAGGTCTGGGCATCCACCTATTGTGCTCTGGCTTTTAGATCACGGCATAAATGTTTTCTCGAAGGGCACGTACCACAACGAAACGCCTTTGCACTGGCTTATTAGCATTGAACCCGAGGAAACCGAAGCTATCGCGCTCCGACTCCTTTCAACAGAGGAGGGAAAGGTAGCCTTGAGCACGTGGGCACAGCCGTGTCGCTATGCTGCCACATTAATGCCAGGATACAACGACCGATGGGACAATCTCACATACGGCTCACCGCTCCACTGGGCTATCTGTAGAAAGCGGCTGGATGTCGTAAAGATTCTGTTGGCCCATGGATCAGATCCAAACGCGACCGGTGACTCCTGGACAAATATGGCCGCAATGGATTTGGCAGCCTTCCTCCACGAAGACGAGATCTTGCAAACGATGATTGACTTTGCATTCCCCAAACCACGATACCAATACATTGATCTTGGAAAACGAAACACTGTAAATGCCGAGTCGAACGTGGTTGAAGGAGGTACCATTCCACGTGGTCTATCTTATTGGATCAGAGAAGCAATCAATGGCTGCGACCCGTGGAAGATGCTTTTCCGATTCGGCGAGAAATGGGAAGAAAGGATGAAAGCAACATTCCGCATCCTCGGCGAAGAATTGAAATTCGCTCATCTCAACAGTGGCGTGGACGAGTTGGAAAACACTCCACTTGGCTTCGCTGCTCAGTATGGCTATCACGAGGCCGTTGAAAAGGTACTTGAGCACATGAATGGCCTCTCAACAGTAAACGAACCTAACAGTGTAGGCCATTGGACACCAATATGCTGGGCAATTCACCGAGACAACAAGAGAATGTTCTACAAGCTCCTAGACAAGGGCAGTGACATGCACGTGCGAATCAACAGCCCCAACCGCAAAAACTGGTTCAACTGGACCCTTCTTCACGTGGCAGCTCGTAGCGTCATCAAAGCAGACCTGGAACTCGCTACCAAGCTCTTAGATGAGGGCATTCCAGTCGATGGACTAGCAGACCCTGCATGCGGTGGTCCTGCACAAACTCCGCTTGCAATAGCCGTAGAAGAAAATCAATTCCAGCTCGCGGACTTGCTTCGTAGAAAAGGCGCGAATGTCAATGCCTGCTGTCATTATATCGATTTTCAGCGCAGGAAGCTGAAGTATCCGTGCTCGATCCTGGGGTGCGTTGTAGCAGCCAATCTTCGCTTCTCCGGGTCTCGGCTAAAATACCTACTGTGGCCAAAGAGCGAGGCTGAGACGTTAGAGGAACCTTCATTTATTGTTGTGCCTGAAGCTGGGCTCACGGCTTTACATGTCGCTGCTATGGGTGCAGATTTCTTGGATCAGGAGGAAGAGAGAGATCCAGATATTGCTAGCGATATCCTGTCTTTGTTGCTAGAGAAATATGAGGACGCTGAACAGGTGAATGCGCAGACAAAGGATCTGGAGTGGACTGCTTTGCATATTGCGGTTGACAAGTTAAATGTTGAGTTTGTGAGGCAGTTGTTGGAAGCTGATGAGAACGATGTTGGCGTCAGGGACAGCAGTGGTTTGACTGCATTTGACCTCTGCCGAGATATTGTACAGCATGCTGAAGAGACAGAGACATCGCGATTTGCAGCAGCGAAAGAGATCTGTCAGTTGTTTGTGGACTATGGAGAATTCGCTTAGGCAACGGTTTCGTAAACGAAGCTAAGCGTTCCCATGACCGGTCTTAAGTCCAAGGTCCACTTGACACTGGTCTTGATATCACGTGTGGTCGAGCTAATTGACTCGCTGATGTTTGGCAAAACAATTATGTACCTGCCGGGCTGGCGTTTTTGTCGAAGAATTCACCCAGTCTGCTCATTGGTGGGGATTATGACTTGCATGCGCACTACTTTTGCGTGCTTGGACTAAAGCAGAGATGGTGTTGCTTTAGTCTCACACCAAGTGGTCTTGGGCGGGGTGGGGTAGCCCGTAAGGCTCAGATCCTAAGTCGAATTTTCTTACTATGATTCTTTTACCATCATCTTATGTGGTGGCTGTAGAGGTATTAGGAACCTGCGGACCGCGAATCAGGTTGGTCCAGTCTCCTGAGTGGCTTTTCAGGCTCTTGTGCTCCTCGTCTTTCGAAAGCCATAATGGAGGATCGCGACGTTGTCAGTCGAATTGCGGACGAAGGAATTTCGGTACTCTATGAGTCTTCATCGCCTCTTGTGGAGTGAGCGGGCGTTGGACGGAATCTTGCTATCTCGCTGACAAGAGGAACAGCATAATATTTGTGCACGGCATCCAGGGTCATCCTTTCCGAACATGGGCTATCAAAGCTCCCCAAGAAACTGAGCGCTTGCCATTGCGTGCGCGGCTACTCAATCCAATATTCAGCAAGTCAAAAGATGCAAGTCAGCAAGGCGCTCCAAAGAGCCATGCGACGCACGTTGACAGAGCCAATGAGGACTTGTGCTGGCCTCGCGATTTCCTGCCTAAGGATTGCGAGCATTCTCGGATTCTCACGTATGGATATCAATCAAGGGTGTCTCGATTCTTAGCCGGCGCGACGGACCAAGGTAATATATTTGATCACGCGAAGAACTTTCTCTACGCCTTGAACAGAGTTCGGCCGACCTTTGTTAGTATTCAGCATGCTTGTTGTACGGTGACGAAGGTACTAACCCACTCATTTTAGGGAGAGCGACCAGTCATATTTGTAGCTCATTCACTAGGAGGTACGCTGTGGGCCTTATCGTGGCCTTTCTTTGCTTGCTTTAAGTTTGTGAAAGATTCAAGCTGATATATTGGGTTAGGTATCATCGTCAAAGAGGTAGGTAAGAGGTTTCCACTATGCCAAATCACCAGCTAAGCAAGAGCAGACGCTGCGAAGATCTGATGGAGATGAGGATCCGGGCATGGGAGAGATTGCTAAAAACACTAAAGCAATCCTCTTTCTTGGAACGCCACACCGTGGAAGCTCCTATGCTCCTTATGGGGAGTTACTCAGAAAGGTGGCATCTGCTGTGGGATTCGATACCAACGATGCAAACCTACGTGCTCTACATTTTAGCTCCTTAGAATTACAATTGTCACAAGAAGAATTCATGAAAATCTGGCGAAAGCGGGATCTCACCGTGCGCACGTTCCAGGAATCTACTGGCTTTGCAGGTGTTCGTGGGCTGACAGAGAAGGTAATTTCTGTCAATACTGTCCACTGAGACTGAAAAGGTGACATCGTAATGTTTAGATAGTACCGGATATGTCATCAAGCTTTGAAGACACTAGGGAGCGAGCACAGCATCTTCCCGGGAATCACATGAGTATGTGCAGATTCCAAAGTCCGCAAGATGCGGGTTACACTCGAATCTGCGGTGAGATACAAGAAATCCTCAGAGATCTATCTGCTCAGGCGGATGTAGACCAACCAGCTTCGTTAAAAGATATGTTCGGTACGAATCGCATACTGAGAATGTAGTAATTTCAAACACAAGCTCGCTGACTTGATGATAGTTTCTCAGCAACAAGCAACATCGCGGCACATCTTGAAAATTAATTGCCAAAAAGGTGACATGAACTAACTAGAGCCTGTTTTGTGCTTTAATTGACGTCATGCATTAGTCCTTGAATCGCTTGAGTTTCCACAACTTCTTGACCGTCAACGCACGATCCGAACACCTGTTAGAGGTACCGGAGAGTGGCTAATACGAACAACAGAGTATCTGGCTTGGGTGCAAGGTGGCCATCGCCTTCTGTGGCTCAAAGGTAAAGCTGGCTCGGGGAAGTCTACTGTGATGAAGCGAACCTTGTTGCATCTCCAGCAAGTGTTCCCAGCGGAGTCGCATACTGTTGCCGCGTATTTCTTTGATGGCAGTGGTGTCGAGCTCCAAAGATCAACCTGCGGTCTACTGCGCACCGTTTTGTATCAAGTGTTCATGCAGCACAGAGCACTCCTGGAAGAATTCGTGCTCACCTCAGATGATGGAAGGTTTATCAAGGGAAAAGTATTGAAATGGTCATTAGAGGAGCTCATGGAAGTTTTGACAATCTTGACCTCACTGAAAATGTGGAAACCCACAATAGTTGTTCTCGACGCGCTGGATGAGAGCCCGAGAGAGGACCTACTCTCATTACTGTTCTACCTTGAGAACTTATGCCCCGAAGAAGATCGGAATTCAACGAGAAGGCTTCGTCTGATGATATCTAGTCGACACTATCCAAACATAACTCTCAATGACTGCCCTGAGATCTGGGCTGAGAAACGTAATCAACAGGACATCGAGATATTCGCTCGGATGAAATTATCACCCATGTCCCAAAGCGTTGATAACAAGTACTTGGTCGAATCCTTACTTCAAAAAGCCGAAGGTGTATTCCTTTGGGTTGATCTCACGACGCAAGCGCTGCTGATAGCAGATAGTGATGGAGAACCCCTTTCACGTAAAATGGAGGCCTTGAGCAAAACCCCTAAAAGGCTTGGTGATCTCTACCACCAAATTCTTTCCAAATTGTCTCACCAAGAGCGTACCGAAGCTTTTCACATCTTCAAACTAGTCCTATTTGCATCGCGAAGACTAAGTCCGCTTGAGCTCTATTTTTCGCTTCAGTTCGACATAGTCAGGCCAGTAGTGACGCTACCATTGTGGACAGAATCGAACCAATATATCGATAACGGCTTACAACTAGAAAAATTCATTCGTTCCCGATCTCGTGGGCTACTCGAGATCGTGAAGCTGGATTCGTCACTCGTTTTCAACAATAATTCTAGCTTGGAGAGTATACAGTTCATCCATCAGACTATGCCTGAGTTTCTATTGCGAGAAGGACTCAACCTATTGGAGCCATCGCTCAGCTTTTCCTCTGTTGCAGGGGTTTGCCACCATGAAATCGCAACTCTTTGTATCTTATATCTGTCACAGCCACAGATCATTACATGTCCATCCATGACATTACTGCGTTTCGCCGTCAGTCAACTAGAAAGTAGCTCACTAGACAGTCTCGGCTCCATCGGGATGCGTGAAGACGCCTCTAGGGTTCGCGCAGAGCTAGTTGCAAGCTATCAGTACTCTAGCTATGCGATGCCACCGGACCAGAAATTGCAGTCTGACCGCCTCGATGAAGTTCCTTACCTCACAGCCGTCGTGTTTTGGGAGCTCCCTATCCTCAAATACGCAGTCTCGAATCTTGAATATCATTTACGTGAGGCCGCTAAATCCTCGGTCTCCCAAGGTCCTCTGATCGATTTCTTGATTCATGAGGAGTCTAAGTGTTTTCTTGTGTGGTATGCGTTACAAAATGCTTTGTACTTGCCAAGAAAACATCGACTACACAGCGTCGACTGGACAGACCTCCTACAAGTGTTCGTTGGACTTGAACTCGAAAGCTGTGTTCATGAAATACGCACACGAGTGATCAATAAGGAGCTGCAATTGCCGACGCACTGGAAATTGAACAGAGCTTTGTCCCTTGCAATCTCACTGCATTCGTCATGCATGGCTTTTGACGTTATTTCATGTGGTGTGGACATTAACGAAAGAGACATAAATAACCTGTCACATCTAGATAACGCATGTCAAAGAGGACACAAGAACATAGTAAAAGTGTTGCTTGACGCTGGTGCGGATGTCAAAGCTCGGAATGCCCTTCGATCGACCGCTCTTCATCATGCTGTTCATGCTGGAGCGGTAGATGTTATACAGTTACTGCTAGATGCAAAAAGCGACCTTGAAGCTCCAACATTTCTAGGAGAGACTCCCTTACTTCTGGCGGTCGCAGATGATAAACTAGATGTGGTAAAGCTTTTGATGAAACTTGGCGCGAATCAAAAGGCCACAGACAGCCAGCACCGAGGTATGAGAGACATTGTGATGACGAAATACTGCCCTGCCGTTGATGCTTTTCTGAACCCAGACACTGCATCAACAAGGTCTATGCCCAGGTTACTGGGCGCAATAATTGAACCCATTGAACGGTCAATGACCGCGTCTCCGAGCCCTGAGCGGCAAGCTGAAAGAATGAGCGCATTTCAACAACTTCTACCTGAGCCTCGGCGTCGCCAATCCGGGCAAGATCATTACCTAGTAGTGCCTGATCGCACGAGACTCTAGTCACCACATTCATCAACTGTTAGACCTCAATAGGCATTCAGTTCCGATCTGTACATCTCCAGGATATTTCATTAAATTCTGCGAATTGAGGAGGACAAAGTAACAGAAAAGCTGATTGATCAACGAGGTGTGATAGTTCAAGCTTCAAGCCAACTACTGAACTGTCAAACTTTGCATTTACGTCAACCTGGATGGACAAAACGGCAGCCTACGCTGCTTCCCTCACTTCACACTAATTATTTCCAACCTTCGGCTCGCCAACTTCTCTACTTTCAACCCCACAATTCTACTCAGCTCTCCATCCATCATCTACCCAACATACCCCCCCACCCATCAAGCCCACGCCGCAGTCTTCGTCCCCAAACTCCCCACTCTTCCCTCCCCTCCCTCCCCAATCTTGGGTCCCAACACCAAATCAACACTCTCCTCAACACTAACATTATTATCGCTCCCTGGCAGCGTAGTCGAATCTTGCTTCCACCGCCTATTCCCTCCCCAACCCCCCCAACCACCCCCACCACTCGATCCCCCTCGATGATAACCAACAGGGTAGCTCGTGGACCCCTTCTTCGTGCGATTCGTATCCAGCCGGCCACGGAAGTAGAGGTATAAGGGCCGTAGGACGGGAGCGTTCGTGCAGGCGATGCCGAGATTTACTTCCGGGAGCCGCCAGCCTACGTTTGCTACTACGTCCCCTGGTAGGGAGGTTAGTGGAGGGGCGTGTGAGGTAAGAAATGGAACCTGGTGGAGCGGAGAGGAGAGGGGGAGGCTTGGGGGTGGAAGGGCTGGGTTAAACGCGGAATGGGGGCGGGATTGAGTGGGTAGACGAACATGTGATGTCGGGATGTGTCAAGGCGCCCGAAAGCGCTGTGCGGACGATGGCGCAAGCGGCGGTGCTAGAAGTCGGGGGTCAGTGAGAGTTTCGTGCGGGGTGTAGCAAGGGAGAGGGACGGAGAAAAATGGCGGTTAGTGAAGGAAAACGTGTGCGTACATTGCTCCTAGGCCCATGAGGACGACGAGCGCGACTTTTGTGCGCCGGCTTACGTGGAGGTTGCGGAGGAAAAAATAGGGGAACGCGGAGAGAATGAGATCCGTGATTGCGGAAAGGACTGGAATTGTTAGCGGTAAGCAAAGGGTGAGGAGAGACTTTGCTGACCTCCTTGTGCAAGTGTAATATATTGGATTTGCAAGTCTGTGAGACAGTGCGCTTCGGGCATGACGGTCCAGTAAGCCCGTATCGGCCTGCAGATTGCGAGAAATAAGGCGATGAATGTGAGGGTGAAGAGAACGATGAAGCCGATGAAGCCCCACAGCACCAGACGTATCTTTCTGGCGTCGACTATGCGCAGGAGGAAGAGACAGATGGCGATCTTCATGAGTGCTAATGTGACGAATGTTTGGATCCAGTCACCCCAGCCTACGGCCAGGAAGTGTCGCTTCTGGTCAGGTTGCAGGTAGTACCCATGGCGACCTAAGCCTCCTTGTATTATCTCGGTCGTGATCATGCCAGCACCAAGCCATGTCGTAAACTGTTTATCATGTCAACGGGACCTGCAAAGGCGGAGAAGTTGCAGCTGCTTACCAGACAGAGCACCATCACCCAATCATCTGCTCCCATGTTGTGCGTTAATTGGGTGCGGACAAAGACTCGTAAGACGGTGGTGACGCTGGCCGCTGTGACAAGAGCCCAGCAGACGGACAAGAGAGCCCATCCCTGAGACTTATTCCCACCATCTGGTCTTGTGAACTCGTAGTCCAGGAAGGTCATAACCGCGACGGATGGGTGGAGTCGTTATCGTCGCAGGTATGTAGGAGCAGGAGGTTGCGGCTGCGAGGAGCAGCGTTGAGCTGACAGCAGCAATCTGTTTCTCACAGTCTCATTTTCCCGCCCCATTTTGGCTTCTCCTAATATGCCTCTCTGTGACGTGGGAATTAAGAATTTTCTCAAAGTCAAACCACGCCGGAGATCCTTGGTGCATGCTGGTAATCATCAAAGCCCCCGGGCAAGAATGTTATTGGTGGGAGGTGATTGAGCCTAAACGGCCCGAGCACATGCTGTTCCTGCATATTGCGTGGTTCTGAAAACTTGGGCCTGAGCTTATGTCGGCGAATGGGAGAGGGTAGACAAGGCTATTGGCTGAAAATGAGCCGAGGGGCGTCTTGTGTCTTGGATCGAACGAGATAGTGAACGTTAAAATACGTTAAAAATGATGGCCACGTGCAATTCGCAGCTCTGGGTGCTGATCTGGCTTCGTTTTGGCTGTCATAGCGGCTGCCTAGTTGAAGTCGATCAGGAGAATCTGGGGAAGGGGAGCCAAGACACGGGATGTGCGTGATGGTCCAAATTTGTGGGGTTTGTTAGTGTTCTTTTGGAGATATACATGATTGGTGCGCCTACAGCGGACGTAAAATGAACCATTATTGGGATACGCCAATCCTGAGCGCCGAACGCCTCTTGATTTGCATCGACGATTCTCGCTCTTTCGGGCTCGATTTGCTCATGTTTGCCGGACTGGTTCACGAGATATGCAGTCATCTTTTAGGCTAAGGCAGTTGCGAGGACGGAAGTAGCCCGCTTGATGATTAACAACGACACAGGGGATGGCACTCACGATGTTGAGAACGATTTACCTTTCTCATCATAGAGTCTTCCCATTATTCTGGCCGTCTTGTATCTCGTGCCTTGACGTGGAATCTCAAGAATGCGAGCCGAGAGAAACATTCACATAGTCGTTGCACCCCGAACGACGGTGGGTATTGTCATTTTAGAGTAAAAGACCATTGACATGTCATTGACGTTTCGCCTGATTCGCACACCAGTCGAAGGTCTGGGCATGATAGTACTTGCTTGCAGACGAAAAAACCCTCCGTTCCCCTGAGTTGGAGCAAAAGGGGGTGCCAAGACTGCCAAGACTACTCCCTAATGGAAGGTACCTGTGGAAGGTACCTTACCTTAAGGTATCCCTTGTCCATATGAGGTAAGTCCACCATCACTAGACAATTAGTTGTTCTATCTTATCTGACAGGTTCTAAGAAATAGCAACTCTGAACGGCACCAAACTCTAATCCTGCCTGAAGAAAGTAGTCATACTTCGCGTCATGGGGAATCCATTGATGAGATCGTGCATAGTTGGATTGCAGTTAAGGGGCTTGATATGATGGACTAGGAGGGTAGTCGGGGGAGGTTTGAGAGGATGGTAACGAGTTCGCAGCCGTTGAGTGTGGTTTGTGAGTATCGTGGCTGAAATCAGGTGTCCAGTGCGCACGTTGCTGGACTACGGATGTGTACTACGGTTGGGCGTGTTGGTGTTGAAGGGGCCGTGTTGGGATGTACTTGGATCGGGAGAGTGAGGGGGACGAAAAGGGCGCTTGGCAGGGTTGCGGGTACGAGGTTTGAAGAGAGGAAAACGTCCTCCGAATTGTCGTTTGCGATGTCGAGCTGGATTATGTCTGTTGACTCGGTGGTTGTGCAAGAGCCTAGGTCGAAGCTCTTTATTTGATCGATTGTCGCGTTGACTGTAGTTAGGAAGGAGGCCGGACGGGCACCCCTTGTAGGATCTTGATTGCTTGCATCTTGAGCTGCGAGTCAGCTGAGTACTCCAAGATTCGGGGCATTTGAGCAGTTTACAAGGACCTCAGAGTGCGGTGGGAGCTTTATCACTATTGTTGAAAGGGGGAAGAAGTCCGAGACATCATTGAGATGGTCGTCTTCAATCTCAATGGTCACGTCGGATGCGACATCATTGGGGATGTGCATCGGCTTTCTGCATATGATACCTTTGTCCGACGTGTACTGGAGTGTACCATTTTGTCATACAGTTCCTGGACGGGGAAAGGGGACGCCAATCGAAAGGTGAGGGTGCTCCCATCCACGGATCAATAAGTTGATGGAGGATCGCTGGAGTCTGGTGGCACGACGCCTGAACCGATGATAACGACATTAGTAGACGAATAGGATGATATGTTAGTGGAGCTCATTCAAATCTTGTGGCTCAGATCCAGACCTAAAAGGTCGTCCAAAATTGAATTGCTTACCTCCTGTAGTTGTTGGAGTATGCAGTGGATCGATGCTTGGAGTCTTGGCGGGGGACTTTGGGTTCGGGATGAGAAGCCTTGAAGCCATCCCAATCCACGGCATCGTTCCTCTGGTGGGAGTTTCCGAAATGTATTGTGAACGAGATGACCCACCAGTCCACCGTGACTTTACCAGCGACAGGTGGGCTATGCAATTCGAGATTGCAGCCCATGTGAACCTCGTATTTCTTTGTAATGCCCCAGTGTCTAAAGGTATAAGAGGCTCCAACTTTTACACCCATTGATGCTGTGAACATGAAAGGTTCGTAGTTGATTAGAAAGTCCGGCCATGCTTTGAGGTGAGCACCTAGGCTGCCATCCTGGGACAAGAGTGCTAGACGACTGCTACCTATGCAGGCCTTGAGTCACGATGCATTAGCTTCGATTGTTTCATGTGTCAATGTCCGCGAGGCATTTCCAGCCACACGAAGAATATTTCGCGATGAAGAGGACACAACTGACTCACCTTTGGTGTAACAGTAATGTAAGCTTCTCCATGTATCGAGATCGTGTCACCGTATTTTCAATCAATTGAAAGCCTTGGGGGGTTCGGATACCATGTCGGAGGCTTGAAATACGGATGATATCCTCCTATGGAGAAAATCCTGTCGCCGTCATGTCCCGATCCCTCAAACCAATAGTAAAGCGCTAACCCGGGGGATGGCAAATTTGATCTAAGATATACAACTTCGGCATCAACAGTCCCTCGCTTGTGAAAGTACCTTTCTCATAGTCGAGCGTTGTAAGTAGCCCTAGCTCGACGAAAGCAAAGCGTTCGCTATCGCTTTTAGCAGCGGTTGGAATGGTAACCTGGACGTCGCCAAAAATAGCAATCTTGATATCGTCACTGATGTCAACCGCCAGAACGACATCTACGTCTACCATCTGCAAGAGTCCAGCTGCCAGACCGCCCGCTACCTACTTCTTTTTATGTTTGGGACTGAACTATGGCTTAGCGCAAGTTGTTAGAGAGATCATGGTGTCTATCATGTTTGAACCGTCAGCATTAGGCTTTGTGATTTGGGATGATGCGAGGAACGGATGTGATGTGACTTCGTTAATGCTCGGTGTGCGCATCTGCGAATTGTACCCATAGCCTCCTGTGAGGCCGTCGAGGGAGGCGAATTTAAGCTCGGCAATCGGCTCTTCGACGGAAAGCAGCAGTAGAATCGATTTGAATTCGTCGATGGTCACTTGATGTGTTTGATCATTGGTGACCGATTGCTCAACCTTGATATAACCAAATATCGCGATAAATGTTCAAGGCTCAAATTTCGCAGCTATGCCTCCTGCATACCCACCCAGTATACGCTGCATAATTTCATCGATCGTGAGTGGTGGGCGGGCGACAGAGATCCCAAGACCATTCAGCAGTACCTCAACCTGTACTATACTTGCAACAATTTTTTTCACCCTGACCGTTGGGAAGTGGAGACCGAAGACTTTGAATTTGACGGTGGCAGCTGTAATTTCTGATCGACATAATTGCCCGACAGAGGCAATACTCAGGGGTCCAATTGTCTTCGCACAACTAGCTGTCGCCGTTCCTGGTGGTGCCGGATCAGATGGTGGATCGGCCTGTAACACTGGTATCTCGCTAAATGACTGCAACGATTGGTCGACAACGGGCAGAGATGGGGTGCCACCAAAGACAAATTCCAAGATGGCTGTTGGCACATTACTTTCTTGAGCTATGATCTATGAACGCCTGAGACACTAGACAGTATGACCTTGTAAGAGAGAGCTCAGTCGATGGGGTGACTATGGATGTGGCCCTCGTATGACTTGCGCCACTCGTCGCGACTCCACACACACAGAAACAGTCATATGCAGAGTTGTCGACGCTTTCGGTGCTTATATCGCTAAATTTATGCAGAGTCCACGGTAAGTCGCCATCTTTGGACAAGATCGAGCACCTCCGTTCCTGCCGAATATCTCCAGCAATAGACACTCAGAGATTATTGGACGCAGCTCCGATGTACTATTACGTCACATCACACTTGAAATATTCTTGAACATTTTATTTCATCTCTGGCCTGCACATGACATGCGCCACTCAGCCTCCGCTCCGAAGTTCTACGCGATTAGCATTCCTACGATTTGATGGTGTGCCCGAACAAGTCCCCATCAACTTGATGTCAAAGAGGAATTGGCCCCCTAATTTTAACTCCTCAAAGTCTATATAATGATGCTCATTTAATATCTCTTTGCCAGATCAAACCCGCCTCCTCACAAATCATAAATCACAAACCACTCGTCCCGAAACTCCACTCATCACAAGCACCTCCCCTCGTCTTCAAATTCGAACGTCCACGAACCATGCAAATTCTTACTCTCAACCTGCTCGCCCTTACCTTTACCGCAACCTCAATTATGCCAACCCTCGCTGATGACTTCAAGTGTCCGCAGGGGGACCTGGACGAACTCTGCGTATCTAATGGATGTTTATACAACAAACCTGACGACTGCAATGCGTTCTATCAGTGTTCCTTGGATGGCCAAGCACATCTCCACCACTGCCCAGAAAGACTAGAATTTGATTCAAGCGCGCATGTGTGCCTTGAAGGGCCGAGCCCGACATGCCCTCTGAACCAGAAGATTTGAACGCTTGAGCACTATCATTCAAGACGGCGGCAAAACTTGGTTTCGTCCTTGCGGGCTCGGTGGTAGACTCAATTGGCGGATAGGGTAGGTGAAGAAGTAACAAGCTTTTTAATTGAATTAGTATTCTACGTATATGTAACGGAACGGCGGTCGGTTGATGATGCCTTTGTAAAGAAGGTTACTAGCTGCTCATGCTCTGCGGTCTGGTAATACTTGCTATATTCATAGTCTCGATAGTCTACTACATTCATAAAGTACTCTAAATATTTACTAATACGAACGAGCTAAGGTTCCGGATGGGAAAGAAGTTAGGCCAATCATCCCACTCGGCCATGCCGGAATTGCGATGCACGATGTTTAGATTCTCAGTCCTGTTATATTTAAGAAGTAGACGGAAGAGTTCCGAGCCATAGATAGTGGAAGAATTGACCATACCTTAATACTTCGAACAGCATCCTGTTACAGAATCCGAGTTAACGGTCTGGAGACCCCCACGGGGGAGGGGGGAAAGCGCGTCGTCTGCACGTCGAACGAGTAGAGGCCAGGCGCTGAAACATTGACAAGACTGATATTGGCATAGTTGTTGCCGAAGCTATGGTAGTCAGGACAGCTTGTTGCGTCTGCCGTGGCTTGAAGGAACTTCTTACCACGGTGCACTCACGTGTCATAGAAAGGACCGATGAAGTATCCGCGTTCAACAGAAAGCTTCGCGTCCCTTTTGTTCCTCCCTAATCAACGATTATGGACAGTCGGTGTCCATCGCAGATATCATAAGACGACGGGAGCTGTGTGCAAGCTATTTTGGGAAATATGCGCGCCTTCCTACTACTGCGTGGCAAACACATGACAGCCCTACGAAGAAGGGGGGTGGATGCGGAGTACACCGAAGCCTAGATTCTCGTGGAACTCCTTCGGGTGCCCACCATCATCGTATCCGACGTCTAGCAAGTCGTCTATTCTCAAGCTAGCGCGTTCAATTGACCTGTCAGGCACAAGTTCAACGGGAAATTTCTGACGCTGCGTGTTGAAGCTTACGGCATGGCAACATTAATTATGCAGTCTATGCGGTCTAGCCAGGACTTCTTCGCCTACTTCGGCGGCCCTCAGCGCCATTTTTACTTAACCTAATCCTGAACCAGTCTGATTACTCATACTAGTAGAATCTGTTCGCTAAGTGGCTTGTTAGAAGACTCCTACCGTCATATGTCAAGTCAGGGCGATCCAACATTTGCCACTGCGTACTGCACCCAGAGAATACTTTGATTACATCCAGCGAATGAAAAAGGGCGTTTCGGGATTCAGTTCAGCCGAACGTTACAATATCACGTAGTATCGTAATTAGCATGACGACCTCATCGGCGCCAAATGTGGTCTTCAAGCCATTTGACGGAGCTAAATTGAGAGCCATGGCGGTCCAGCAAGTTACTCGACACCTAGACTAGTCAAGTATGAATTGTACATACTGCATGATGTGTCGCAGTGAATCCTTCAGACCTGCAAAAGCCACCACCGTCTAGATGAAACTACCTCTCGACATCTCACGATCAGGTTCAAGCCACGCACGCCATAGCTCGTCGTGCTTCGCCTACTCAGCTGAGCGAGAGCGTCTTGTGGCTTTTGTGCACCAGGAATCTTGCGAGAATTATGTTATCGTATCCTTTTCAGAACTTTTTAGAATCTTCGATGCATGGTCGAAGGAAATGTCGGTGGCAACCTGGACACATATAAGAGCAATGAAAATGCCTTCTCGAAACCATCATCAAAAGATATAGGCATCACGATTCATCAACAATACAATAAACTTCCCTCAACATAGCCTAGTAATACTTGCATTCCCAATACTTCTCAAAATGGCCCCACTCGAACTTAAAGGCAACAGCTTCGACCTTGCCATAGCGCAAGCCAATCTGCCTGCCAACGCATCGGACACCAATTATATCTTGGTGGAATTCAACGCACCACTCGGACATGACGAATACGAGAAGATGGGAAAATATCAATTGACTGTCGAAGAGTATGTTGGCAAAGACACATATCTCTGCCGCTATGAGCCTACCGATCTCAACAAACTCAAGGAATTGACATTCGTCAAGACTTTCACTATATATCCGGCTAAGGTCAAGGTCTCGCCAGAATTGCAGCAGGCTGTCTCTACCCAGACGGGAAACCAGCGAATCCAGATCCACTTGCATGAGGGGAAAGAAGGCGATGCTCAAAAGGTTATCGAACAGATCAAGACAAAGACTAAACCTGTAACAGTTCACTCGTCGAACGTCGTTCTCGTTTCTCTCACTGTCGACATCAAGTCTGTTCCCAGTATCGCCGCTATAGATGGAGTTCGATCGATTGGCATCGACCTACCTGAGAAGCCTCTCAACACCTTGGCTAGAGGGATCATGAATTGTCCTCCGATAGTTCCTTCAGTCGAACGGCCTAATGATCCTGTCCTAGATGGTGCTGGCCAAATCATTACAGTTGCAGACACCGGCTTTGACAAGGGGAATATCAGAGGTGATGTTCATCCTGCGTTCCAGGATCGGGTGAGGAAAATCTTTTCTATTGGAAGAAAAGGACCACAAAATGGTGTCGACCCTGAAGGAATAGAGTTGGGGCTTAAAAATGATACTATCGGTCATGGCACACATGTGAGCGCTTCTGCCGTGGGCAAGGGTGACTCGGCCGAGACAGGACTCAACACTGGCACAGCACCAGGAGCAGAACTCATCGTTCACTCTCTCTGGGACCCTGTTAAAAAATCATTGGAATTCAGCACTCGCTCAAATCTTCTAGAGATAGCCTTCCGGGAGGGCTCGTACGTACACAGCTACTCCATCGGCAATGAAGTGCAGGAGGAATACGATGCGACTACAGTCGACGTCGATCGGAAGCTCTATCTCAACCAGAAACTACTCTTTTGTCAAGCAGCAGGAAATGAAGGGGACGACACTTACGTCGATAATGCTGGGGTTACTAAGAAGTACGTCATTGCTGCAGTTGCCAACCAGAAAAATGGTATCACAGTCGGCGCATCCTACAACAATCGCCGAATAAGTGGCCTCAGTACCACCGACAAAGGTGGCAAGATGGGCAATCCACATGACATTGGAAGCTTCAGCAATCCAGGCCGAGCCGGAGCCGCGAGACTCAAACCCGACGTGGTCGCTCCAGGCGTGGGAATACTCTCCGCCGCAAGCCGAGACCCAGAATTCCAAGCCAAAGCCGCCGGCACGAAGAAATGGCTGGGGCTGGTCAACGTGCCTGGTACCGACCCGATCGACGAATTCGGCAAAGCGCCCAACAGTCTCTATTGCTTTTCGAGCGGGACAAGCATGGCGACGCCCCAAGTGGCCGGATGCGCAGCCGTGCTCCGGCAGGCATTGATCCGACGCGATGGCACCGCTGGCTACCAGCCTAACGCATCGCTAGTGAAGGCGCTGCTAATCCATGGCGCGACCGACATCTCCGATGGAACCTATCAAAAGAAAGCCATTCCCAAAGGCCCCAACAACATCCAAGGTAACGGCCTTGTAAACATGCAGCGCTCTCTCCTCCCGGTCCTCGATGACCGCATTGACCGCAACAATTGGACTGGTATGTGGGAAGACAGTATCCGTCAACGTGGAATTCCCGCTACACGTACCAGTCAGACTCCCAATGAAGCCGCAGGAACCTTCTACGACATTGATTTCACCCTGGTCTTTACGGACGCGCCGGGCTTGAACCTGCAGACTCGTCTTGACTACTATGTGAGTCTGCAAAGCAGACCTATCAAGATCTTCAATTCACCGGATAGAGAGGACAATGTTCTCAGACTACGCGTTGAGAATGTTGAGGCGGCTACGAACTTTTCGATTACTGTCAATGCGCAGAGGCTCTTTCTAGCCGCTGCACAGCCTTTTTCGATGGTTTGGACGGTGACGAGGAAGTGAAGGTTTTGCTGTACTAAAGTCTCTGGCAATGCATTTTGACTCCCTACAATTTTCTCCACCCTCGTTTGGCGATGTTTTGCTGCTAGAAACTAAAATTCACTCATTTATCAGGACTACTCAATTGTTAAGAAACGGTCGCTATAGATTTCTAATTTATTATGACCCTTTTCTAAGGATCTCTAAATTGTAGTTCTCACCGACTAGAAAGATAGCACTATAAAGAAATCATCTCTTGTTAACTGGAATAGGAAGTACATGATCATACTTGCTATTGTTAGTGTAAATCTGCTCATATACCGCAACCCTGTTGGTGAGAATGCCGTCGTGCTTACTCTCCGTGGGCGTAGGAGCGATTGGGTAGTCGCCTGGTAATTCCACGGGCAGAGGACCTGTCGAGTAGTCGTCTAGAAGCTTTGACAGCGGGCTTCATGTGAGGAGACAAGTCTCTAACAGGCAAAAGCTCTCTGTTGATGGTTGAGAGCTGTTTTGAAAGCGATAAAGTATGTGCTGATCTAGTGTGCAGTGAAATCTATGGTCGAATCTGCGAAGGCACCTAATCGAGATGCTAGGAGACGTAGGTGAAAATTCGTGAGAACCAAAAGTTGTAAATGAGCTTTTATATGGGTAGGTGCTTTTGAGATGTCCTAGAAACGCTGAGGACTCGATGATACTTAAATACGCTGATAGCAAGTTAGATGTGTAAGAGATAGTGATAAACTGATTCATTGTTTTCTGGGAGCTCCTACTTTCTCTACACCCATTCTCGCCGACTTGGGTTTGTATGTATATCTCCGATTTAGCTAGTAATGTGTGCAGCAAGAGGCTTCAGAGAATACTAACACAGTCACCCGACTCTGAGTGCATATTCAATGTTGATTCAGCTTCTAACATAGACCAAGCTTAGAGGACACCGTTAAAGAAAAAAAAGAGAGCTATCGAGCCTTGTCTACATCTTCACTCTTTTCAAGATGTCTCCTCGAGTAAAGTGACCAGCTTCATAAGACCAATCCTAACCTTTCTAAATCTAGACCGGTGGATATCTCCGACCGTCCCGGTATAGAAGCCGTCCCCTTACCCTCCCAAAGCTCCTTTGACTGCTCAAAGCCAGTGAATATGGCTCCGCATCGGTATAACCGACCCTCTTCCTCCCTCGACTCACTGAAACTGATCACTTTACCCCTTTTGAAGAGATTAGCAGTAGAGCGGACTAATTGATACGATCCGGCATGAAGTCTTGTTTCCAAATATTTGCTAGCTTGTCTTGGATAGAGAGATGACATATCCCCCAGACAGATGACATACGCCACAGGGTCAAAGGTCCCGGGACCAGCAACACGGTACTTCGATCAATGCTCATGCCGACAAGGACTCGCGGCCAGCTGCAAAATACGAAGCCGATAACGACACAACCAAGGCGTTGAGACTGTGATAGATTGATGGTTTGTTTTGCAGGGATTTTTGAAACTGTTAGCTGCGGGGAAAGTGGGAAACCCTAACTTTACGGCTCATCATTTTGCTCTAGCGTCTCTTTGCAATTCATTCTTCATACTTCCCTGGATCCTTTGGTCATAGTCAGAGGTGGTCTTGTGAACCAGGCACCAGAAGTCTGGCATGCCTGAACTTGTTCACTTTCCTCCCTCCATCTCAAATGCGCTTATGCCCCTCATTTCCTCTTTCATCCCCGCCTTCATTGGTATATACCCCGCCCTGGCACACGAAACCGTTGCTGAAACCAAATGCTAGCGTTTCACGACATGCCATGAATCCATGTTCCGTGGGTTAGGGTCTTGGCGATCACAGGATTTCACCAATAGGAATTTACCTTCATGAAGCACATCTGAGCACCCCTTGGAGCTTGACCTGATTTGAGAGCGCATTGTTGGGTCAATTCATGATAAGCTTATCAATTCCTCCAGAAAAGCTCACTTGCCAGCCGCAAATTGGCCGTGCAGGTCGAACACGCTTCGTTTCAAGACTCCTTGCCGGTCTCGTTTCATAACTTTCAGCGAGCCCGCTCCAAGGACGGCAAGATGATACAGCATTCCATGCCTTGCGCAACGATGATATCACAAGACATTCAGCATTTGGGGCCCAAATGATTTGTTGCATAAGTAACGACTTCTTCTCCACAAGATTGTCATCTCACATAACCTGTCCCAACTGCAACGAAGATCCTTGCGAGGACTTTCACGACTTCAACTCGTCCCTCAAGATGAAGTTTCGTATGTAAACAAACCCTGACCTCCGATCGAATCTCTAGCACGGCCTGGTTGTCTTCACAAGAGCTCGCTGACGAATCTCAAGCCCTCATCTCGGTCCTCCCCATGACCCTCCTCATCATCCCCCTACTTTCTGCCCCTACACCTCAAATGAGTGAAGCAGAGTTAAACGCGATGCGAGCGAGATGTAAGCTCCCTCCTTCACCACCGCCTTGTCCGGCCCCAAAATGATCCAAAAGTCAAAATTTTCTCTATCTGCAAAAGAGTGGAAAGCTAATGTATACGTATGGACAGACGGCCTGGGGCCAAGTAGACACACAAGGCCGATCGTGGTGGAGAATCCCGATGGGAGCCTCATGTATGGGACACCGGGGAAAAAGTTGTTGAATGCTGATGATGATGATGGTGGTGAAAAGACGTCGGAGCAGTAAGTGTCGGATCTTTTCATCGTTGGAGAGAGGGCTGATGGTTTGACGTGGAGATTGAATGGACCGAATGGTGCTCTTCTTGGTGGTGGGTTTAAGGAGAAGTAGTGCCCTACGTGTTTGGGGGAGGTGGGCAGGTCGGAATTGGCTATGATTTAATATCTACCGTACTCGTGCTAAGGTTATGGTCTGTTTGGGTAATATTGACATTGGAATCATTTTCACTCTATAATGTGTTCGTAATATATATAGTTCTATAGTGGCTATAAAATTTATTACGCATATGCAATAGATACTCTAATTAAATAATACTATATCTGCAAATTCCTTAGTAACATAGTATAATAATAATTTTTTAATATATGTAGCGCCTTAGGCGCCTCACTATATAAGCTTGTACTATTAGGGATTAAAAGTTACTTTGAAATTAAATTTAATCTTTTATATTAAAATTAGAAAACTATTAAAATCTTAATTATTTACTATATAATATAAAACTAATTATTATTATTTAAGTTAAGGTTATTAAACTTTATATTTATAAAAATAGTTAACTTAATTAAAGTTAATACTTTATAGTTTTATTAATAATATTTAAATTTATAAACTTTATTATTAAAAATCTCTTAAATATTTATATATATTTTAATTATATTTTTTATAATAATTATAATAACTTTCTCTATATTTATCCTCGCTGACTTAGGTTTCTATGTTTAAGTCCGAGTTAGCTAGTAATTCATGCAGCAAGAGGCTTCAAAGAATACTAACACCGTGTTGGTTATGGCTCGGGTTGAGCTCATGCACATAAGACATGCGCAGCGTCGACCAAGTCCAATCTATGTCCCCTACTTTGGGGTGGGCCACAAATCGCTAACTTTGAGAGATGGAACCAAAGAGACTCGAGTTCCAACACGCGTTGTCACGTCAGCTACCATTGAAGACTGGATACACTCTTCCTTTGATACCGTTCAAGCAGATCTTGCTTGAAAAAATAACGGAGAGATTGCCTGTAGGCGAGATCATTATTTGGTAAGTGTTTAGCTTCGTGGTAGAAACAGAAGGGTACAATGGTCCTGAATTTGAGGAGAGAGGCGCATGGGCTACTCAGAATGCAGCCGATGAGTACCACTCTCCCAAGTAAAGTCTGAATCCTTCCAACAGCTTCACCTTTCTTTTTCGCTAAGGGATTCCTAGTGTCAATTTGAACGGCTATTTAACAAGCCGAATTCGAGCTCGCTCCGATCTGTACTCTCTTGCATCGGGGTTCGGAAAGATTCGGAGCGATCGATTCTCCTCAGATCGAAAGGCTCAGCCAGAACACCCAGCCCCCGAAGCCACAAGGTAGATCGAGAGCCAACACGGCGTTGGTTGACGAATACATGGCCCCCTAGCTCAACCTGGATTTTCCGAACTTTGCCTTCGCCAAGCACTTGATCGTCATATCTGTCAATTGAGAGGATCCGAGCAATCACTTGTTGTGCTTCCTGAGTTGTGTTCACTATCACATGTATCAATGGCTCCGTTTTACTAACACCGGAGACAATCCATCCGTTTATGGCGCGTGATCCAACCCCAGCAGCCAGAATCAACGTCAAGACCGTCACGGCAACAGGTAGCGCGAGTAATTGTGCAGAAGCAAAAATAGCGGTGCCGACGACGAAGATAGCAATGCCCAAGCATTTGCTCGCAAGACGGAAGATCGACTTGGTACGATTTTGGCCATGACTCGCGACGGATACTATGACGAGTACAGCGTTACGAGGTCGTGTATATTGCTTCGAGCTTTGCAGAATTGCTGTTCCTGCTCTTGGGCTGGCGAGCTGATATAGCACCTGTTCGGCACTGGCAGCCGGATTTTCCAGTTTGGGAAGGATGCTATCACCTTCCCTGATGCTAACGTCATATGGAACATCAGAAACGTACAGCTTCCAATCTTCCGAGAACGGAAGCTGTGCATTATTTTCAGCAATGGCAGCGCCCTTACTAACAACTAATATTAGTGCGGTACTCTTTTGGGTTTCATGAACTCTTTTTCTGACCAAGAAAATACCACATATGCATCCACTACCTGGGAGTACACCACCACACAACAATGGCACCTTGCTCAATCACAATCGTTGCAGCTTGCGCTCCGACCGAGAGCACGATCATCACCAGTGGCCCAATCCACAACGTATACGCGCCAAAATCTTCTCCACCGCCTGATCCGAGCCCGTTTTCTCTTCGTCATGCGAGCCTTCCAGTCGCTTGTACACCGTTGCTCTAGAGGTTACGCTTCTCCCAGTAGTCGACTTGTGCCCATTGGCATCATTCTCATAGTCCTCGACCCGTACTGGTAGGATGGCACCCCTAAACGAAAGTGTTGTAGCAAGCACCCCACCGAAAGGAATGACGGTCAGCAGACGCCAGATCTCGGTGGTCGGAGCATCAAGAAGAGCACCAATGGTTGGTAAGAGCGCCAGGACGCTCGCGGCTGCAGCGTATTCTGTTGCTCAGATCGGATTGAGGCAATTGACGCTCATATGGCATGGGTTCCCTGGGGTTCACAACCTCTTCGTCTGGCCTCCAATATCCGATGAGAGAGAGATACCTCTACACATGCCAAATCTGCCTCGCTACCAAAAAGATTTCACAAAGATGTGCTAAACCTATGGTAGATCCGGATCAACTTTTTACATCATCCACATGAGTCTCGACTTTCCCACTTTCACAATACTTCAAAGCTTATTGCGCTATTGGAATCAGACTGATTATGATGTAGGAGCGATTTCAGAACAATCTGAAAACGAAGTTCGTCGCTGCGTGGACGCCCATAGAAATCAAGAATGTGTTATTGGACGCGAAGCGTGGACCGGGACCTGTACCTGATGGCAGTGAGCCTTCTCTGGCATCAGAAAACTTGGCACGGACTTGAGGAGGTTGAATAATGGTATGGAAGGCGTTGAAAATTATTGATCCTGCACGGCGAGTCGCTACAGCCGCCAAAATGCCTACACCTAGGCCTAGAGGAGCCTATGTTGACCAATGCCTTGAAGGTCTTGGCCGCGGACATGACTGTATCGCGGTTTACCGCTGTAAGTGCCTTCCCATGCTCGTCCAGGAGTGCTTGGGTTCTGGAAGTGGAAACGACATGGTGCTTGAGGTTGGGACTCATCGCGAGGTTCTCCACTGTGCAGTGATATACAAGGGGCCGGTTGACATATAGTAATATCTAAAGACTACTGTCTAAGTACCGAAAGGATAGACCTAAAATCTCAATGCTCGATCGCATCGATACTCATGTGAGCAACCAGCCAATGATGCGAGCCATTCCAGCGGCTTTAGTATACGGCCTTCTAATGCTGTTATCCTTCTTTTTTACATAAAGACATACTGCAGCCCAAAGTTGCTTGACTGCTACAACCACGAATCAAACGCACCGCTAGCCTCCACAGTGATCATTTTATCTTTTTACTGTCTTTTGCCAATGTAACCGCACCCAGACACAGCCTTCTCTTAGCCAGCCCTTACTCTTGAGTCAACGAGCAACTGCCGGGCACGGTAATCTCTACTCTTTGTGGTTTTGAGATCTCTGAGAATTCACCCCCTCATCCACAGCGACGTTCCCTGGCTCTTTCTGTTCCTCCAGCATGTCCGCCTCCTGCTTCATTAGGTCTGCAACCACTCTCAACACCTCCACTTTCGCCTTCTTTGAGCTTTGAGTAATCCTCTCTGTGCACTCGACGTCCTCTGTGATTATTCTACCAACCCTCCTGTCGGCTATAGTAACCCCAATTTCACCCCCAAAATCCAGCCCGAAGCCGCCAAGGGCGAGGTACGTAGCAAGATCGCCGAGGTATGAGGGTCGGATGACTACGGCAGGTCCTGTCAAAGTGATTAACGAGCTAGCCAAGAGACTGAGGCGCAAGAGGGACCCTTGGGGCGCGAGACATACTGTTTCTCTTGTCATAGGGTTTTATGTGTCGGAGGAGATCTGTAGCAGTCTTAAGAGCAGCGTGGTAAGCGCGCCATCTTCTCTGGCGGAATCTGTATGCTGTGTATACGCCTAGACCTAAGCCTACGAAGGCACTAATGTAGACGCGTTCTTTGTAATTTCTGTACGCGGACTTAATAGTTTTGTGGTCGGAGGCGGTGAGGTCGTCTTTGAGTGAGCCGATAGCTTCTTGCACGTCGGTGTTGACATTGCGGGTGCGGTAGAGAGCGAACCAGTCGAACGACATGGTATCGTGAGGAAGTGAGATGTCGACGTCTTCGCAACTGCTGCGAAGCGAGGTGGCGTTGTGAAATATGCAAGGAGACGAAAGAGGAAGTTAGCTGTGAAGTGACGTCACTGCTTCCAGCTCTTACTCTATCAACATGAGCGAATGGAGTCGCAGCGACACTCAATTATTCTAGACCAGAGTTAATCCTAATTGAAATGTGCAAAACGTCTCAGCACGTTGTCGTTGGGCGCCATTGGGCCGACAGCTATGATGTTTATATCGGACCGGCGCAAAGTCCATTCAACCAGCTTCTAGGCTCCGTTGCGAGTAGCGGAACGACCTGGGAACATTCATACCATTTGCGAATATATCACGACCAATTCAGCCCTGCAACTCGCCATGCATGCATTTCTGCGGACGCTTGAGCGGTCGTAACGAGGCCGAGAGCTCGGTAGACGCCTACTCTTCGCCGAATTCTCATCTGTCATCCTTAATTGAATCAGATATTTCCGATCGAACCTGCTTCGAGATCGAGGCGCTAGGTGGCAAAGATAGCAGATCTGTCGCCGTCCGCAGAAGATGGAGAGCCCCCATTCATCCCGTCGGGGTTCAGTGTACGCACGGCTCAAGATGCGAGTTTTATTATCTACTTACTAGCTCTGCGGGTGTCGTCGAGGTTGCCTAGGCTCGCTTGGAAGGCCTTCTGGCAAATATCTCCCACGCCGTCGGACCTTACGCACACGCCACGACTGACACAAGAAACGATGGAAAATAGGTGTTTATTCCCAATCCATTTGTCGGCCACTGACGTACAGTTCGCGAGGTTGCTAGCGGCTCGGGCGCGAGCGAATACGTTTATGAATCAGAGGAGGAGTACCTGCCTGTAGGCTATGAAAGTCGGCTAGGCAGGCCCGAAAGGTCTGGAAAGGCCACATATAGTCGTCGCGGTCAGGCTTGAATTATTGTACGATCTGATCGATTCTACCTTACATGTGCCAGCTTCCGCTTAATTATGAGAACATAATGCAACAGCAAGAAGACTCAAGTGCAAAATTTCAACTTCTTGCGAAGACGGGGGCGGAGCGAGCAAGGGAATCAAGCAGCACACCCCTCGTATAGGTGCATGCTCGTCCTGCATCTGTGCAAACAAGAACTAGTCTAACGGCCGCGTTCGTGCTAGAACGAGACTGAAGTGTATGGTGGTGCATTAGAGCGGTACTGAGTACTTCGCGACGTTCAACATGAACAGATGATCCTCTGCAACTCACCACTTACCTGAACATCCACGCCCGTTTTTGCAAGGATCTCCCATCATCATGGAAATCCGCAAACCTACTCAGGAAAAATAAAAGCAATTTTTAAGAATTCCCTGCCAATTGCTTTGGCAGCAATACCTTAGGGTTCTACATCTTTCTCAAGACGAGGCTGAAGCCAAGGCTATACTCTCCTCTTTCCCTCGCCCCCACCATCCCTACAAGCTATCAATTAATTTGATCCCTACCACACCACACCCACCAAACTCATCACGGCAAGTAATCATTTCTCTCCTGAGGTAAGAAAGGGCTAGAGAGGTTATAAGTTTTATTGCTTCGTCATATGAGATACTAAGGAGGGTGAGTTGGAGCGCAAAGATAGCAACGAGTACCGTGAACACAAGTAATACGATACGGAACACGTAAACGTGGTGGTAACTATGGATAGAGTATTTGAGGGGCGACGCGGCGCCCCCTATAAAAGCGAACCCTAGAGCGGAGGAACAACATGGATATAGCATTGTTACTTGGAGCGCTGAATTTTCGGAGTACAGAGGATGGTGATGAGAGTAAAAGAGCTGTGAGCAAGTTGCACTATGCGGGTTGCTTCTTTGCTTTATATAACTCAATACTAATTATTCTAATGAAAGCGGAAGATATGACTTCAAGTCCCTTCGACTGACGCAGTGAGTTGCTATATGGCAGACTAGGCCTTATATAAGATATAATAAGACGGTAGTATAAAGTAGTATAACTAAATTATATCTTTAATAATTAATCTTCCCTATCGTATAATGTAAAGAAAATAGCTTTAGGGGCACAACCTAGATAATATTTTTAATAATCTCTAGGATTTAAGAAAATAGGATTTTATTCTTATATTATAATAAATAATAAATAAGTTAAACTAGTAGTCTTATTAAACTATAAATATAGGTATTAATATATTAATAGAGATTTTATAAAACTTAGTATAATTAAAACTTCTAAGAATATTAATATTATTACTTTTATAAAATATTTCTATTTTATAAAGCCTTTTTATAACTTATATTTATTTATCTTTAACTAAAGTTAATAACTATTTATTTATAGGTTAGGTAAAAATATTAAGAAGACTTATTTAACTTAAAAGGAAAACTAGAAATATAAATAAGATATAGATATTATAAGTCTACTTAGGGGTGAAAACTAGCTCCTAAGGCCTAGGAAAGATAAAGAAAACTAAGATAGAGAACTAGCTCTATCTTAGGCAGAAACCCTACTTATATACTTAATAAATATTGCTATATATTAACTTTCTAGTTTATATATATTTACTTTTATATAAGAGTAGTTTATAATACTTGCTAAGCCCTTAATATTACTATTTTTATATAACTAAGAAAAATATAATTTAAATTATAATAGTACTTTTTTTTTCTATTAAAATATATCTTTATATTAATTATAAATAATCTAAAATATAGGTAAAGCTTTATATTAATTAAGGAATTAAACTTTTTAATAGTTATTAAGAATTTAATAATTATATACTTTATTCCTATATTCTAGTTTTTTAATAAAATAGCTAGGTAGCTTTATTATTAATTATAAAGACTATATTTTTAAAAAATTAAAATTAAAATAGAAATTATATTTAAGAATTTTAATAAATAATCTTTTTTTAGTTTTATTATACTTTTCTATTTAACTTAAATATCTTTTTAATAGTTTCTAATTTTATTAGTGTTACGCCCCGCAGGACTCATAGCGTACGGACACTTGTTACTGGCTCAGTTAGGCAACCAACTACGCATTGCTCGCAGCGCTTGCAGCGAACGCAGTGCTCGCAGTTCTGCTAACTGCGAGCAGCCCGCACGGTGCAAGCACCTTTAGATATATAATGTTACTCCTTTCGCGATAGATAGTTTGCTTTTTAGTTGTTAATACATTTATTACTGAATACCCTAACGGAGCTCTACGTATAAATCGCATTACTGTCGCAGTGTTCAGGCTCGCCGTTTAAAGCTTACTTTCTCTTGCGTCTGTAGCTCGTTACTACCTGCTAAGCCAACCTAGCTTGTATACAACCCAAGCTAGTCGTTGTATAGCCCTTGCATAGGCAAACGACCGTTATACTTTAACAACTTACAAACAACATAGGATCCGTCTCGACGCCTAGGACCCCTACGCTGTCCTTAGCATCGAACTCGGGATTAGGGGACTCCATCAAGTACGCCGCCCTAGAACAGTTCAAAGGGGACCGAGGTACCTTGAAACGATAGATAGTTACAGTGCAACTTTACGTAAAGATGCATATATCCAAGTTTCCCAACGAAACCGCTAAGGTAATGTTTGCTACATTATACCTTACGGGTGTAGCCCTTGACTAGGTAATACCCTGTCTGGAGGACTACCTTATAAACGTAGACAGTAACTAAAAAAGCGAAACAAGACAAATGTTCTACGACCTAGGTAACTTTATAATATATATCAAGACGGCTTTCGGGGAAGTAGACGAAGACAGGGCAACCGAAAGGAAGCTGCAAAACCTAAGGCAAAGAGCGTTAGCGTCGGTTTACGCGGCAGCATTCAGAACGCTGGCCTATAAGATAGAATAGGACGACTTAGCTTTAGCAGCCCATTTCTATCAAGGTTTGCACGATAGGGTCAAGGACGCTATAATAATAGCGGATAGACTAGATTCACTGGAATCAATAATTGAAATCGCGGTTCGGATTGATAATAGACAACAAGAAAGGTACTTCGATAGACAAGTACAGCGAAAAAGGCCTATAATAAAAGGACGATAGTCTATAGGAGATCCAATGGAAATAGATGTTTCAGAGAAAGGATCGAGAATCAAAACTTGTTATACTTGTAGCAAAGCCGGACACATTAGACGAAACTGCCTAAAGGAGGCTGCTGAGGTAACGGAACAATAGATCGAAGTAACTAAGGAAGTTATGCCAGCTACAGGGAACGATCATAATAAACTTTCGTAGACAGCTTGCACGGAGAATAGCTGCAGAATATATTAATCAGAAAAGGATAGGTCAGGTTAGTACCTAAAGATACCCAAACCAGAAAAAAGAACGACTAAACGGCTAAGGATTTAGTATTTACTGTTCTTTACTAAGAAGCCTATAACGGCGGCTATAGAAATGAAAATCAGAGAAAAATAGACAACGGCTTTGATCAACAGGGAACAAGGAAATAAGATGTCAAAAAAAATATTCGACGGAATTAAAGGATACCTCGAAGCCACAAAAAGCATCTGCAAGGATAGTTCAATACGGGATGTCGATGTCGAAAGTAAATATAGACTAATAGGAACAACATTATTCTAAGTTATCAACAGTAACCAAAGTTACATTATTCTGGGAGAAAAATAGAACTGGGATATAGGAGCTTTACTCGAGACAAGAGAAGCAAAACTCAAAAAAAAGACACTGTTGGAGGACTAGACGATATATCTCTTAGCATACAAAAACCTTATAATAACAAACTAGCAAGGACTAGAAGACGCCAATCACACATAGAACGACATCCTGGAAGTCGATACAGCATTCAAGAAAAACACAGACATAACAGCAACTACAATATGGAAATAATTCGAAACAATACAGGAATTAATAGCGAAATCCTATAGAAGGGATATTTCTAGGACAAAGGAAGTCTAGAAACACTATATACTGCGTTCAAAGGAAGGCGATTATTCGATATACTCCGAAGAAGACCTAGTCGATAATACGGACGAAGAATTAATCCCCAACCCAGCAG